GAGGGAGGGTGGCCAGGGGTGCTGGGGGTTGGGGGTGGGGAGGGAGGCTTGCGGAGCCGAAGGGGAGGTTGGCTGGGTCGGAGAGAGAGGCCCAATGCTCGATGCCGAAGAGGAAGCTGTTTTGGTTTTGGGGTGGAGCGAACATGGAGTTGGGGTATTCGAGTGGCTGAGGAGCAGCTGTCGTCGCAGGTGGTTGAGGCTGTTGGGTAGGAGTGATCGGAGCCTGCTCAGACTGCTGAGGTTCAGGTTTCGTATCCAGCGACGGTTGAGGCTGCTGAGATGAAGATTCTGTTATGGGTTCGGCCTTCGCGCTCGATTCTCCGTTTGTCGTAACTGCGGCGGCTTGAGCACTGGAGGCTTGATCGTCCGTAGTCTCTTGGGCATTGGAATCGTCGTGTGGTCTCGCAGCTTTCTGTGCTGTTTCTACTTCCTGTGCCTTTTCTGCTTCCCGTGCCTTCTCTGCTTCTCGTGCCTTTTCTGCTTCTCGTGCCTTTTCTTCTTCCTGTACCCTTTCTAACTCCTGTTGCCTTGCTGTTTCCTGTGCCCTCGCTGCCTCCTGTGCTTTGGCAGCGGCAGCGTCTTGGATTCTCTTGGCTTCTTTGGTCCTGGCAGCGAGACTATTCAGCTTCTCCTCCAGCTCCTCGACCTTGGGTGCGTCTTTGCCGGAATATTTGAGTCTGTTGTCGATCCATATAGCAGGGCCGCTGTAATGCCGGATGAATGGTCCCTCCAGCTCCCTGCTCTTCAGCGCCTCTAGCTTGGCCTGACGGTCGGCAGCCCTCCTCTCCTCGGCCTCCTCCCATCTGTGTAGACTCTTGCTGTTCTGTTTCTCGACCCGGGCGGCATCGGCCAGCCTCTCTTCCTGGGTCATGGCTTTTGGCTTGTCTTTTTCCTTCCGCTCCTCGGCGGCCTTCATCTGAGCTAGGGTCTTCTTCCGGTGTGCCTCGGCCCTCTTCAGCCGCTTCGTCGTCTCTTCCTTGTTCGCCATGGTGAGTCGGCGGGAAGACTGGCGAGCCGGTCCATCATCAGTTGCGGGAATGTTTTGTGTATAGATTCTCTTCTTTGGCCCGGGAGCGGGAGTGGTCTCGGCGGATGCGGAGGTGGGGACATTGAGCTTGACTTTCTTCTTCGCGGCAGCAGCAACACCGCCCGCGAACAGATTGGCGCCGTTCTTGCGCTTCTTGTTCCGCTCCTGTCTCTCCGCCCTCCGCAGCTCTTTCTCGCCGGCATCGTCGTCGTCGCCGCCGTCCTCATCCTCGCTGGATGACGACTCCATGTTGAAGTCGCCCTGGTCATCCCCTTCATTACCCACAAACTCCTCCTCGTCAGAAGCTTCGTCCCAGTCCTCGCCCCATTGTTGTCGCTCTTCGTCGACGGTTTCCTGGTCAAGCAGGGCCTTCATGCGGTTGCCAGCGTTTGCTCGACGTGTCCGCGTCACGACCATCAGCTCGGCTGTGTCTTCCTGCTCGGCTCCAGAGGACTCGTCCTCATCCTCAGACGCCAAGACCTCCATGTCGACAGGCAGATCTGCTGGGGTGTGTGGATCTGGGGCCATGGCGGGTGTGTGGACGCGGGCGTGGCAGGTGGAAGAGAGCGATCAGTGGAGGAGGGCAGGACGAGGCGGTAGGGACAGATACGAGGCAAGGCAGATTGGGTTTCGCAGGCCTGAGGACAGCGTCCGGGGCTGTTGGGGTTTCCAGAAGAGATCCACGGAGACTGTCAATGCGCGCAGGCGGCGTTCATGCCGTGCGGGCGGCGGAGATGGGAGGCGGACAGCGTGCGGTGTTAATGCTGATGGCGTGGCCAAAGGGGGGTATTTCAGGCTGGATGTCTCGGCGGGCGTGCTGTGGAGGATGAATATCTGATGGAGACGCGCTGGTGGAGAGAGAGGTTGCGGGCCGGCTTGGAAGTGGTGTCACGTGGGTGTGTGCAGGGGTGGCGCACGTGAAACTTGGTTAGCGCACGCGACAGACGAGTCGCCTCATCCTTCCTGCCTCAGGCTCTCGGACCGCTCCATCGCAGACGACTCCTCGCGACAGACCAGTGGAGACGGGCTCACCGCGAGTCACTCGAGCCGCAACACGCAGCGCATCGAGGTGGCATATCGTAATGCTTCAGCGCCGTGCCTGGCGCCCCTGAATGCCCTCGATTCCCTCACTCCGGCTGCACTCGGTCGTGTCTCAAACCTCGCGGGTGTCTGATAGACAAAGGGAGCGTCTGGAGCACGGCGGCCACGAAGCATGACTGAGCGCTGCCGAAGCCGCGTCGCCATATATAAATGCCCAGGCACGGCGAGGATGCGCGTTGCACCCAAGTATAGACGGCGTGCCTGGGAGCCACGTAACAGCACTCGAGGCGCTCCCGGGCTGCTCCCGGCGTGGAGCGTCGGGCCTGCACGTCTGCGGAGGTGAAGCGCCCCGTTTGTTTCATCGTGGTGCAGTGGTAAGCTGAATCGGCCACTCAGCGCAGTCCCCAGCCAAGCCAGCGTCTGTGACAGGAGAGCAGCCCGCTGCAGCACCGCCAAAGCCGTCGCCGTGTGATCAGGGCGCCCATTTGCTGCGAGCGGTGCCGTTTGAGGGCAAAGCGACAAGCGGCCGCGTTGAATTTGATGCCTTTGCTCCCTGCCCTGCCCTTGTCGCTCCCGTTTCGCCTGCGGCCACAGCTCCACCGACCTCCACCCCGAGAACCTCACCCTCTCCACACTCTCCCTCCTCCCTCACCCTCCTCCCTCTCCTTCACCGCAGCCGTCTCGCCCTCTGCGCGCCCTAACCTCCTAATCGGCATTGTCGTAATCTTGTTTCGTTTCCTTCTCCAGGCCGCCCTCAAGGCTTGTCTATTGCAACCACCGCCGTCTGTACCATAATCGAGCCCCCGACGAGCCCGGCTTCCTGGATATCACGCTCCTTGCCCATACCACTCCCTCCGCCGGCCTGCCGCCACTCGAGCCTCGTCCGCTGCCAGCCCAATCGTACCGGCCAGCAGCATTGGACGGCACTGCATCCAGCTCGCCCCGACGGCCCTCCTTCACTGAAGCTGGCTGCACTCGACTTGCTCGACATCTCTATCCGTCGCTCATCCGCGCTCTCGCTGGCTGCCCCGATCGGACGCCTTTCGTCAGCAGGTCTGGGTGGATAGGGGCCTTCCCTTGTACATTTCACGCACAACCCGCGCAGAGCCTTCGCCGTCGTCGCTCGCGCTGAATCCGGTCTTGCTGGCAATACTCGACTGCCATTACATTCCTTCGGCCGGCCCAATTCTTCTTCAACATTTACCCTGGTTTGGTAATCGGGGCAGCACTGCACCCCTCGCCTTTAAACGCCTACACGATAAACAGACAGGGTCTATAATTCATAATGGCTCCCCCGACGCGGCCTGACCACCACATCAACCTCAACTACCTCCCCCAGATGACCTCTCAGCCTCCGAGGTCCGGCTCCTCCACCACCGCTACCTCTCCAATCGAGCCGCCAACTAGCTCGTCAGCCCGATACCCTCTAGGCAATGGCAACACTGCGAGTGGAGTTGGCAATGCTACTGCGGGCGTGCGCCTAGGCGCCGGTTCACCTTCGCATGAGTACAGAGTCTTCTCGAAACGGTACGTCGCCTGTTGAAACGAACAGCTCGCTGGGGCCTAGCTAACCTCCGACTTTAGTGCCCGCGAGATCCAGGCCCAGGAGGGACTTGGTCCACAGTTGTGGGGACCGCCCACCAGCGGCAACTCGACCCCTCTGCGCGAAACCATCCCCGAGTCGCCAAATGCTGACAGCTTCCCTGACTTCAATCAATCCATGCCTGAGCCTCCTACTCCTCAGACGGCTGGCCGAAGGGCTCGTGCGGGTACCTTACCTTCGCGCTTCTCTCCAGCTGGCACACCCACCGGTGTGATGCCACAAGCTTCACTACTTCCAAAGACATCCCGTCCAACGCCTTCCACTAGTCCCTTCAAGCCAGGCTCAGGAACACCCACCGAGACCGTGGGCTTTGGTTCCAACACTTCTGCCGCTGCAACTTCAGCCCTTCTCTCCCGTCTGAGGGCTGGCTCAATGCCTCAACGCCCTGGCTTCCTGCCTTCGTCGTCACCATTTGGCTCATCTATCTTCTCGTCTAACTGGTCTACCGGCCGACCGCGAGGCGACACTTTGGCCAGCATTCAGTCATCCAATGGTCCGACTTCACCTGCCCAATCTTCATTTTCACGCGAATCGCTCGCAGACGCTGATGTTAGAACGCTAGATTATCTTGGTCTCGTTGATACCCCTCAGCCGGCTAGGGCCACACTTGCTCCTTCAGATATTGAATTACTCCTGGAGGGTCAGAGGAACGCGTTCAATCAGAATGATCTGCTGAACCGTAATGCCAATCGGTTCCGATCCTACTCTGTTAATGCAAAGGAAAAGTACGCCGAAGAGGACGACGAACTCGACCAGATGGGATATCCTGGCAACTATAGTGGCACACTCACCCCTTCCGCCGATGCTGCAGCTTATGCGACGATCCAAGAGGCCGTTCGACAGCACAACCTCGAGGTCCAAGCCTTTGCAAACTTTGCTAGTGCAAGCCGTCCTCGAGCCCGCACTGCTGGAGTCCTCGACTCTCCATCCTCACGCCTGATGCGAAATTATCTTCCAACTTCATCTAGACTGGACAACAGTGTATCCGCATCGGACTTGCAACTTCGCGAGGAGTCCGAATATTCTGGCCTTGCCGAAGCTGTGCATAACATGCAGCTTAATGGGAAGCCAAGCACTAACATGGGAGGGGATGATAACAATCTAGAAGGCCCAACTAGAGCTCTGTGGCTCGGAAATATTCCATCGTCTACGACCGTTTCGTCTCTGAACGTCATTTTCAACGCCTACGGTCCCATCGAATCTACTAGAGTTCTGACCCACAAGAACTGCGGTTTTGTCAATTTCGAAAATCTAGATAGCGCAGTTCAAGCGAAGTCGCAGCTGAACGGCAAGGAGATCTTCCCCGGTGCAGGACCTGTCCGGATAGGATACGCCAAGGTCCCAAGTGCGTCTGCCACCCCTGGAAACAACGGGCTTTTCCCTTCACCTAGCCCAGACCCGCTCGCCAAGGGTCAGATGGAAGGAGGTCCGGTAGGACTTGGCAACAGCACTGCTCGTCAGACCAATGGATCCCGGCCAGAGACTGCGGTCGCGCCTCTGACGACACCCGAATTGCCCGATATCCGCGAGGACATTGTCCAGATTGTCAAAGAACTCGGAGCCAGCGATGCTGAGCAAGCTACGATTGCTGCTTATGTAGAACAGGCCATCAAGAACAATCACTACGAGGACGAGATTCCCAACGTCGAAGAGCCGAGCCACAGCCGAGTTCATGACGCACCCAGACTCCGTGAAATTCGGAAGAGGATCGACAATAACTCTTGCTCTCAGCCTGAGATCGAGGACATTGCCATGGCCATGCTTCCAGAAATAGCCGAGCTTTCCTCAGACTACCTTGGAAATACGGTGGTACAAAAGCTGTTCGAGTACTGTTCCGAGCCAACTAAGGAGGCTATGTTGGCCGAAATCGCCCCTCATCTTGCAAAGATTGGCGTTCATAAGAACGGAACCTGGGCGGCCCAGAAGATCATCGATGTCGCCAGGACTCCTGAGCTGATGAAGATGGTCGTCGAGAGTCTCCGAGCGTACGCTATGCCGCTCTTCCTGGACCAGTTTGGAAACTACGTTATGCAAGGATGTCTCAGATATTCGTTCCCGCTGAACAACTTCATCTTCGACGTCATGCTCGCCCGGCTGTGGGAACTGGCGCAAGGACGCTTTGGTGCTAGAGCCATGCGAGCTTGTCTGGAAAGCCACTACGCGACCAAGGACCAGCAACGCATGGTTGCAGCTACTATTGCCCTTCACAGCGTCCAGCTGGCAACCAATGCCAACGGAGCTCTTCTTCTCACATGGTTCCTCGACACTTGCACCTTTCCTCGTAGGCGCACGGTTCTCGCTCCTCGCCTCGTTCCTCACCTCGTCCACCTGTGCACCCACAAGGTCGCCTATTTGACTGTCCTGAAAATCATCAATCAGCGAAATGAACCCGAGGCCCGCGACACAATTCTCCAAGCCCTGTTCTTCTCCGCAAATGACCAGGTTCTTGAGGACATCTTGAGCGACCAGAGCTGTGGCGCCACCTTGATCTTTAAGGTCTTGACCACTCCTTTCTTCGATGAAGACATCAGGGCGGACGTTGTTCAGAACGTGCGCAATGTCCTGCTCCGAATCAAGGCTCAGCCTGCGCAAGGCTACAAACGCCTCATGGATGAAGTCAGCCTGTCAACTCGGGGTGGCGGATCTGGTGGTCGTGACGGCCACAGGGACCCCAGCGAGACTCGGCCAGGATCAAAACAAGGCCAAGCAAACGGCCAACTCGGGCAAGGTAATATGGACGCACAGTTGAACAGGCAGTTCTACTCAAACGTGGCAGCTCCGGCATTTGATCCTATCGCATTGCAGAGGACCGGCAGCATGGACTCCAACGGCTTCGATCAGTTCCCTCTAAACGGCATGAACCAACCCATGTTCTCTCCGGAAGCCAATATGCCACTCGCAGCTATGACGCCACAGCAGGCTCAGTTCCAGTATCAACAAGCCGTTCTCGCTGCTTCTAGGGCGAGTGCCCTCTACCAGCCTATGAATGGGTTTCAGAGTCCTCAGACTCCATCCTTAGGTGTCCAAGGATATAGAAATGGGGCACCGATGGTTCCACCGGGCATGGCTGGCTCTCCAATGCTCCAACAAGCTCAATTTGGTCAGGGTATGGGAGGTGTCATGAACCCCCAGATGTATTCATATGGAATGTACATGCAGCAACCGCAGCAACAGCAACAGCAGCAAGTTGGTGCAGGTCAGGGCCGACGCGGAAGAGTGAGCAACTAGTCCCACAGCTATGCAAGACAATCAACGACGCATTTACTAACACCAATCTCAGAGATAGTTACTTCTATGAAGAACACGAGGATGTACTCTCACGATACCTGTGAATACTCCATTGCATCTACGGTTCCCTTTAAATCACATCAATCAGCTTCATCCTAAGCACAATCTTCTCGGTTCAGCAGGCGGCGGCGTTAACATCTGATTGGGAACGTCTAGCCCTCAACCTTCACATGCTGTATATGATTGCCAAGCTCGGAACTCTCCCTTTTCTACTTTTTGCCCGAATACCGGACTACTAGATTCCCTTCGGCTCGCCAATGTCACCGAGGCTCTATCGACTTATTTCTCCTTAGCCTATTTATTCGTATTGCAAAGGTGTCTGCAGCACACATCCACTCTCAGACCATCATCGCCCTCTCATCTCATCGGGACCGAATTTTCTCCACGAAGGCACTGGTTGTCGGCTTGGATCAAACGTCCCTGATGTGCGAAAAATACTGCTTCTGCATTTTCCTTTTGTCTCTCCTTCTCCGGATTTCCAAACGGAAGAAATTGGAGGAAAGGAAGCGGGCTTGCCTTTCGGAATTACGATTTGTATGCCCTGCTATCCTCTTTTCTGTTTTTCCTGTGGAATCACCACCATTCGCTTCGATACCTCGCCCTCGCGTCTGCTCACTTGAGTGTGATTGGCAACCGGCTTTTTGGTTCCTTGAGCTTCTTGCACTTCTCGGGCCTTCGGGCCTAACCTTCTTGTATCCTACGTTTGGTTTTCCGTGTTTACTTACTACTTTGGTCTGGTGTGTAGGTGGGATCTGAACGGCTTTTTTCCGCTTATTCTCTTTCTGATGGAAAATCGGACTAGGCTGTCTGGTTATTGGCAACGGTGAAAGGTTTCCTGTGGGGAAACTATTCTGTTATCAATGTAGGTGGCTGGCTGGTTTGCGATGCGGATGTGGATGTGGTCTACATGATTGACATGGGCAACAGAGGATACTAGGATGGGGCTAGGATAGTGTGTGGTCTTTAGATACAAAGCCTTTGCTTGGGTTGTTAGGAAAATGGATGTGTGGGTTGCATTTGAATTGATCTACTACGTGCTACGTATCTGTATGTGAAATATTCCGAGGAACACGTTGGACTTCCGAGAAGGCAATACCTGTGAATCAGGGGAGACAGAAGGTCATCGAAAGATATTTTCCGTGTCTACTGTGAGAGGTTGCCCGCAACGGCCATCCGACGTGATAGATGCACGCATCCACTTACAGCAACACGACAACCAGCCTCGATGACTTGCGACACTTGACCCAGATGGCAACTGGTAGTCCGTATAGTCGTCGACTAACTTGAGCGGCAGAGCTATGTTCATGATATTCTCGCAGCCTTACGTGCCTTTGATTGTTTCATAAGCTCTCTTCCAGCCAGCAAGCGTTTGCCTCCTTGCCTCAGCCTTATCTGTGCCGCATGCACGTGTGATGCGGGGGTTCTAGGCAGCATCTTGGGGCTGAGATCGCCAGCTGAGCTGTTCTTTTCATCCTTTCTTCGTCTTGTCATTCTTACGCAAATCGGGCTGTAGACTATATTTGCTCCCTCACACATCCATGTCTTTAGGTTGCCTTGACTCGGTCCTCTCTATCTTTAGAGTGTTGAGCTGCAAACGAGAGACTGGATATGAGGCTTTGACAGAAGCGACGTCTGCTTGCCAGCCTGCTTGCGAGCCATACGAGTACGAACCGCTTCCCGGGGATGAGTACACTAGACTCTTGGAATTTCAACCCGGAAGAGGGATAATATCATGCAAGCTCTTGCCAGTGAGCATTGAAAATGCCAGAGGGACCTACGAAGCAATCTCTTACGTCTGGGGAGATGCGGCGGACACGATCGACATTACGTGCGATGGAATGCTTCTTTCAATCACCCAAAACCTCGGCGACGTGCTCCGTAGAATCCGGGGTGGCCAAGAGCCAAGGCTGCTCTGGGCCGACGCGATTTGTATCAACCAGAATGATAAGAAGGAGCAGGGCCACCAGGTGGAGAGAATGGGACGAATATACGAAAACGCATCGAGAGTTCTGATTTGGATCGGCAAGGACGACGGAGCTGCGCGACGGTGTTTTGACAACATCGCGAAAACCAATCGGTCTTTTGAGGCTCAACTAGCTGAATACGGCTCAGTGTTGAAGATGCCTTTTGTTCCTCAAAATGGTGGCCGATTGCCTGAGGATACCAGAGTGTGGAATAGTGTCCGTAACCTCACTGAGCATGCCTGGTTTGGGCGTGTCTGGGTCCTGCAAGAAGTTGGACTTGCCGCATCCGCTCTTTTTCTATATGGGGACTTCTGGATGGATTGGTGCGAACTCGCCAAATTCATACTTCTAACCTCACTGCACAGTGAGCTCGCTCATTATACGAATCCAGATGTCTCGCAAAGATTTACACAGACATATCATTCCCTGTGGAAAGCTTATAGCAATCCTACATCTTGGAGAGCGGAGCTTACTTCCATCACAAAAGGATTTCTCGATAATCAGGTGGCCTACATCGACATCTTAGAGAACGGACGCAGGTATCAAACCACCGATCCAAGAGACCATGTTTACGCGTTCCTCGGACACCCGGCTGCTAGACTCCAGGACGGCCGCCAGATAGTGACAGTCGATTATAAAAAGTCGGTGGACGATGTATACTTTGAGACAGCGCGCGCGATGATAGAAAACGGACCACATCCGTGGATGGTGCTTGCCACTGTGAACCACTCAGAGTCCTCGGCATCGCTGTATGGTGACAGACCTTCATGGGTACCGCGCTGGGATGAAGGCCTGCGTGTGGAGAGAATAGGAAGTCAGGACTTCTGGTACCGCGCAGGGGGGGAAGAGCATACCAAGTTCAGTTTCTTTGTCCAATCGAACAATTGGCTCGCACTGCGCGGTTTCATTTTTGATCGCATTACCTGTCGCTCGGATGTGCTTCGCCGCTACACATTCCTAACCTCACATGCGATTCGACATGGACCGAGTACATCTCCGCACGTGGACGCTCTCTGGGAATCAGTCAAGAGTTGGGACTCAAGTCAACGCTATCGGAGCCAAGAGGACAGAGAGGATGCCTTTAGCCTAGTACTAGTGGCAGGCAAGGAGCGATACAGCTACGGGCCCACGGAAGATTCTATTATAGTCCATCGAAGGCGTTTTGTAGCCTATCGTGAAAGCGTGCAACAACTCAATCGGAGCGAGCGCGACCTGGCTGCCCTTGCCGAGCAAATGAGAGATGCTTCAGACTATCAAGAAATGTTCAGGTTCGACTACCAGCGCTTTATTTCTACCAAGACTGGTTACTACGGAATTGGCCACCACGCGTTCCAGACCGGCGATCTCTGCTGCATAGTCCCTGGCGCCAATATACCCTTCGTCCTAAGACCCGTGGCTCAATTATCTGGCTGCTACAAACTTGTCGGCGAGTGTTACATCCACGGTGTAATGAAGGGCGAGCTTATGGACAGGCTGAAGAGTGGGGAGTTCCAAGAAGATGACATATTTCTTGTATAAGCCTTGACACCTGCACAAGCAACCCGACGAGTATGCTACTGATTGTCTTTACAGCCTGTGCATTGCTAATGTACCTGCCAGAATTCAGAAAGCTCGAGAAGGAGACCCTGGTACGGACCTAAGTAAGCCTCAATTTCTCGACAAGCCATCCGAAGAGTGAGCCAATCTCAAAAACTCCTCGACCATAACGCCTCACTAACAGCCCATCAGAACCCCAAAAGCCCAGACCTTGGAAACACGAAACCTAGATCTTGAACTCTCCAGTGACCAACCTCACGCCCCTCGTCTCCAAACAAGACCCCAGACATACCTTAGACACGACAATTTCCTTCCCACCACCTCTCAAACCCCCCTTTTCTCACCCAACCATCCTCCCCACCGCCACCACCGCCACAGCTCCAACGGCCCCAACCCCCATCAAAACCCCACCCGCAACCCGCCCCACCACACTCTCCCGCACACTCACCCGCCCCGCCCCCGACGGCTTCCCCATCCCGGTGTTCGCCCTCTTCTCCATCTCCCCCCCCATCGCCCCCCTCCACCTGCCCCCCGCCGGCGCCTGCACGACCAGCATCGGCCGCCCGTCCGCCGCCGTGATGGTGACCGCGGCCTGGTGCTGGCCCGCCCACCGGCCGGGCCGCAGCCAGTGGGTCCAGAACGAGGGCAGCAGCGAGGGCAGCAGCGAGGGGTTGTAGATCAGCGAGCGGGTTTGGGTGATCACTGCGTCTGCGCCGTCGCTGGCTCCGGTGGGCGTGCTAGTGCCACTTCCACTTCCAGCCGCAGTTCCAGAAACTGATGTGGCGCTAGCTTTCGGCGTGCCGGTGCCTGTGGCATTCGGCGTCTTGATCCCCGTAGGCGTGGGTGTGGGCGTGGGCGTTTGAGCGGGCGCAGGCGCCTGACTCGGCGTTGATGGCTCAGGGGGCGGAGGAGGAGGAGCAGGCGGGGCGGAAGTGCTAGGGCTCGGAGTATCCGCCGTCCCCTGGTTGTTCAGCCCGCTGCGCGGCGTGAAGCTATCCGCCAGCGTCGTCACCACCGTGATGGGCCCCGTGAGCGCGGCGGTGTACGGCCCGGGCGTGTGCGCGACGGCCATGAACTTGAGCATTTGCGCGAGGAGGAGGTAGAAGGACGGGTCTGGTGGTTGGCGGGTGGGTTTGTTAGCCAGCGATACAGGTATTGAAGGATGGGTTTAGGGGGCAAGGGGCGCGGGCGCGGGGGAGGGGGAGCAAATGGTACAGTACCTTTAGTCTCGCAGAAGCCCGCGACGTCGTACTCCCACTCCTCGAGCGATTCCTCGTCGGTGCGCGGGTTCGCGCCGCGGAAGCAGGCTTGGCAGGCGTCGAATTCGGTCTCGCGGTCGAGTTTCCCGGCGTTGGCGGGGTCGCAGAGGCAGGATTGCGCGGCTTTGGCTTGGGAGGAGTCGTTGGGGTCGATGAGCCCGCCGATGGTGTTGTAGCAGGTCTGGATGGACTTGTACGCGCTCACGCAGACGGGGGAGAGCCAGCACCAGTACTCGTTTCCGGAGGTGGGCGTGGGCGCAGGCCCGTCGACGGCGGAGGACGCGGCGGGGGAGGGGGATGGGGAGGCGAGGGGGATGAGGAAGGGGTTGGTGAGGGTGATACGGGTGATGAGGGATTTGAGGCGCATCTTGAGTACCGATAAGAATTTTTGGGATGGAAAATGGTAGTGATAGATAGTAAGCAGATGATAATAAGTTTAAAGTGTAGATGAAATTGGTAGAAGAGGAATTGATGGAGATGGAGGTGAGGGGTTATAGGAACGAGCTTCGAATTGAGGTTGCACGGATCGATGCGGTGGGCGCGTGTCGAGAAGCGTTGGCAAAGCGGTCAGGGGCATATGATGCGCCGTGTATGGGAGGTCTTCGAGCCCACGTGGCTTACTGCTGTAGATATGTAGATAGATAGTGAAGGAAAGAGAGAAGACCGTATTGTCTCGCATAGATCATAAGTGAAGACCAACTGACAAAGGGACATAATTAGGAACATTGTATGAAGATCACTCCTTTCCAAGTACGCGATGCTATAGTACCTAGACAAAAGTCTGCATTCTTGCTTGCCACTGTCTGATGTACTTCTAAGAAGATTTGCAGTCCTGGGCAGCGCAAATGGAAGCGGAGATAAACCCCTTTGGATGGATTTATCTTGCCGTCGTCTGGGGTACATTCGCATGTGATGAGAAGCTGGGGGAGACATTGTAAAATAATACACAGACCTGTGTCACAAAGCTTTACTCCACAGGACGAACATGTCCAGCCACTTGTCCGCATCCCTTCGCGTCACGAACCCAAGCAAATGAAGATTTTGACCCACAGACAAAATAGATATATAAGAGTGTATATAATCCAAAGAATAGTAATATGATCAGGCAGTCCTATAACCGGCCTGGGGAATCTACATAGCATCCGACTTTCGCCGAAAATACAGTATCCAACCACAGAAGTGACATACAATGGCCTTAAACACGTGATCCGAGAGCTCATGAAATATTTTGGGTGAAGCCAAATGATGAACATACCTAGAACGCAAAGATGCATTATGAAAAAGACAACAGTAATAGAAACAGTCTAAATTGAAGCAGAGAAAGAAAAAGATGATTCGCTGATGGTATCACATCATAAGAAGACAGAAAAGACATGCTAACAAACAGTCGTAAACGCAATGCTCGGCACCAAAACATTTCTCTCACGTATCCAAACTCTCCTTTTTTTCCATCTTTCTTTCTCAAAATATCTCCAGTCCCTCAAAATCAACACACAAGTTCCTCTGCGTGACACTCGGCCCCCCGTGCCTGCGCTCATAATGCGTGGCGCCAAAATTCGCGGGCCGGCTGGCATACACGCCCACGCGCACCGCCTTGTCCTCGACGCCCCAGAAGAACCACGTCACCTCGCGTAGTTTCTTCCAGCCCGACACCTCGTCCTCGTACCAGACCCACAGCGCGTAGCCAATGCGCTCGATCTTGACGCGCAGGTCGAGCCGGCGCGCATGGTGCGGCGGCAGCGAGGTGAGGGCCCAATCCGCGCCGTCCGAGGTCGCGCACACCGACGTAGCATGGCACGCGTTGTTGCAGAACTCGAGCCCAACCTTGACCCATTTCGATGCCGGCGCGGGGGTGACGTACGCCGGCGGCGGGTCGTCGTGTCGTACGGCGGGAGGGGCCGTGGCTGGAGGTGCTGGTGCAGCGGGCGTCGTTGATGCTGCATTCGCTGCTGCTATTGCTGCTGCTGCTGTCTGGATTCGGCCTGGTGGCATCCCCGCGAATATCACCAGCCCGCCCTGGTCCCACTCCAGCTCCCAGTCAGCGTTCACGGTGACTTCGGCGGCGATGAAGGGACTGCGTAATGCGGTGTAGAGGATCGGGGCGGTTGACGTGTCGCGGCTGGGGGGCTTGCGCCAGAGATCAGTGTTCGGCGGCGCGGCGAGGGTGAAGGAGCCCATCCACTCGGGCACCTGGTGGGCGGGGACATTGAGGGCCGTGAAGGAGGAGCTGTCGGGCGGCATGGTGCCTCTCGATGCGGTCCGCGAGAGGGAGGGGAGGGTCCGGGAGGATCGTCGCGGCTCGGGCGATCTGGGGGAGGGCGCTCGTCTGGCCGCGTCGTCGTCGTCTGGCACTGCTTGGGGGAGTGTGCCGTTCAGCGTATGTATACCCCGCCCTTGCTGGTCCCTTGGTCCTGCGTGTGGGCGTCTACTCGGGCGTGTGCGACGGGCAGTAGCAGGTCATTCGCTTCCTCGATGCGCTGGAGCCGGGGGCCAGATGTAAGCTGACGGCGGCAGGAGGGTTGAGAAATTGCAACGTCCAAATGCCCGATCGGCCCCGCGATCTGGTGAGCGGCACAAGCGCCGTGATCGCCTCGTGGATTGCGGCGATGTCGAGGAGGGTCAGCAGTCGCGTCGGAGTGGTGGCTGGCTGGGACGTGACGGAGGCGCTCCGGCTGGCAATGGGGCTTGCGGCGTCAATTGGCAGCAGATGCTGACTCTAAACGAGGTTCAGGCGGGTTGGTTTGTCGTCGTCGTCTTGTTACGCAGCGGTGGCAACGCAGCGTCGTCCGGAGGCGTGGATATAAATATTGGGCTTCTCCCGATACTTGGCTAGTGCGACGGCCACGGCTCCTTGCGAGCTGAGTCGATGCCGCCACCTGCCCGGAGCAAGGCGGCGCGCTGGCTGCCATGGTGCGTTTTCGAGTGTTGGTTGTCGGGGGCGTGTCTGTCGCGGCGGGCGGGCATCATGGGTCTTGCGTGCGATGGCAGAGAGCGTCCCCAGGGTGGTGTCGTCGTCGAAGCAGCTGGGGGCCTGGTAAAGGGGCCCGCACTGGGCATGCAGAGCGCCGGCATGTGAGTGGGCTAGCGGCATGCAGTATACGCGGGGCTGGGCGCATCCATGAATGGGAACAATTGGGATGCTGCATGTCGTGGCGTGGAGGGAGGTGGAAAAGGGGTAACATGCTGGCAGGAGAGCCAGAATCATCCTTCGACTACACTCCTCTTACAAAGGCACACACATACCACTTACACACCTACGAATAACTATGCCGGCCTCCCAGCTGACTTGATCTAGGACATCTCGAAAGTCATCTCGCTCGAATTGTCCTAATCATTACTCAGTCTCCCTCCAAGCCCCCTAAACCGTCCCACCGCAAGCACATTTGGAATAAAACAACCCCATCCGAAATACGGCCTCCCTCACCATACCCACCATGCCCTCACAACTGCATCCACATCCACCTCAAAACCCCCATCTCGCGCCTGCAAATCAGCCCGCGCGCCCGCTACGTGGCAGCCCGCAACGGCGCCCGCCATCAGCCCTGCCGCCCTGCCCATCCAACTTTCCAGCCAGCTGCAGCTGCCAGCGCGGCCGCCCATCGCCAAAATGTCGTGCAGTGCACCCGAATCGGCCAGCTGTTTTTGCGGCTTTTCGCCTGTCGCATGAGACGAGAGCCAGAGGCGCGGAATGTTCTGCAGCCGCAGCAAGGGGGGCGGTCCGCCGCGTTTCCTCTGCCAGCTGGAACCACACCACGCCGAAGCCGCTGTGCCCTTCTACTGGCTCCCACAGCGCGTCAGCGCATCTCTGCGATAGCCGCTGGAGGCGGGCCGGCGCGCTAGGGCTGAGATGCGCTGGCCATGCGTGCTGAGCCTTTCTCTTAACTACCTATCCAGCGGATTGGCGGTGTTGGGTGGGAAAGTATGCCCCGCCTAGGATTAGGCGAGTGTAGAGTGGTTGATATTGCAATAATAGTCTAGTACATAGATGGGACCCCCTATTTCCGCCCTTCCTACCAAGAAACGCTGGGAGGAGTGGACCTGGCAGCAAGCACCAGAAAATGCATTATTGCATGTGTAACTCGCCGGTCCTGTAGCACGTCGGAACCGCCCCTGGCTGGGCGGCGGGCCTGATCTGCTGGCTTCCTGCTTCCTGCATTTCACTTTCTTTTTTTTCTTTTTCTTTTTCTTTTTCTTTTTAGTTACCCATCGGAAAGCCTTGTAGAAGCGCCCCTTGTCCGAGCGCTCGGGACAGCAACTTGGATCCACAGAATGGGCGGGTTTTCCAACTTCCCCTTTCCCACGTTGGCGGCCGCATCGTGCGACCTGCAGCATCGGCGGCGACATGGGCCCACGCGGGCGAAGGCCATTCAGGGCACGCCAGGTCTGTTGGCAGTGGAGTCGGACAAGGCGGGCTTATCAAGAAGGGGGCATTGGCATGGATTCAATTGCATGATGCGTATTTGGGGGGGGTCCTGAGGGAAAAAAGGCAATGGTACGGCTATATTTGTTCTCTGGTGCCAGTAAATGCAGGCACGAGATGGATATATGCGGGGCCCAGTGATGCTGTGGAACGTGGGATTTCCAGCGCAGAGCATCGGCTTTTCCTAATTGATCTTTCTTCCTTGCTTGCTGATGAAGAAAACAAGAAAACGGATGCTCTGTCGTCCATCACGAGACGCTTTCTTGCTCCGGCTCATGCTCTTTTACTCTGGGTATCCATTGCCAATCTCGCTGGTTGTCGCGTCACTCCTTTTGGTGTCTTGCAAGTATTCCCTTGTGCTTCTGCTCAGAAGATAAGTGAAGCAAGGTCTTTCCCTTTTCCCCATTACACTGTTACAATTAGGTGGGCGTAGGTCCGGTTCAGATCCCCGGCCAGCACACTCATTCGTGAGTCTCGTGCCCTACGCTTTCAGCGCGCACAAGGTCCCCCCTCCACTGCTGATCGAGGGATCCCAGGCCGAGGGAAACTGGTCGCCAGACCCAGGCCTTGACCACCCGTTCACTTCAATCCCGCTCACTTCCCGCGTAGCGTACCGGATCGTAGTCTGTCCACACCGCCACCATCTGTAATCCGACTCTTCAAGTACGACACCGAGCCTCCGGGTGCTGAGTTGGTGTTTGGTATTGCCTCGGGCTCGGACAGGGCTACCCACCTCACTCGTCCCACCCGCCGCAATCCCAACTCGTCAGACCGACAACTCAACCCCACGTGCAAGCAGCCGTTCTGTGGGAGGTTGCACGTGTGCTGCGTGGAGGGGTTCAGCTCGGCTGTGGGTCTGGATGTTTGTCGGGTGCCAAAGCCTTGTCAAGCTATCGGGTCGAGGGCCCGTATGTGGTTGGGAGGAATGTTCTTTAGAACAATAGAAAGATAGAGCGATGCGGCTATGGTCACCTTCTATGGACAAAGCGACGTCGATAAGAATGTTTTGCAGATGCGATGCTGAAGTCTCGCATTGCAGTAGTGTAGTGCGATAGTAACGAGAAACCACCTGATTGCAGGGGCTTGCGGCCGGAAAGAGAACACCCGATTATGACGTTACCGTACCGAGCACAGTGTGGTCTTCCTATGAGAGTTTTAGTCGCTTAGGGTAGGATTACCCAAGAATAGGTGGTAAGTAGGTACTCCGTACTGCACGAGATAATGTATACGAGGATTTGTCATGTGATTCCCGAGGTTCGAGCGGTAAGCGGATAACAAATCGTTGTATTTTGTTCTGAAGTTGACATTGCGTCCTTCTATGGGGGCCGCTTCCATCGTCGTGTTTCTTAGTTGAGTTGAGAGGCACTCGATTTCGTCTCTTTCTCTCGAACGCTAGGGATGGAACTAAGAATTCCGCAATCGCTAGGCCGGCGTTTGGCGTCTATCAGCCTCTATGCAAACGGCCCAATCCCTTCATTCTTAGATCAGAGCGGCTCTTATCATTCAATACTATTCGTTAGTATGCCAGATATCCGTGCAGGGGGGTAAAGGTGATAGATATATGAGACTTGAGCTAGACGAAAGTAAATGGTTTTTGGTAAAAGCTGGTCTATCAGATAATGAGAATGAGACTGTCAGCTGATGATCGGAAAGCTTTACCGTGGACCGTTTCACGCGTTGAAAGCTATGTTTGCCCTCTGCTGTCACCCCAAAGAGAAAGAAAAGCCGAATCTGCAGGCGTTAATGGAAGTCTTTCCAAGGCCCTGCATATGAAATTCTGGACTCCCGATGAGCATGAAATGCTCCGAGATGGTCTCGTGACAATGTGTGGAACAGCACTAAGCTCGATACCGCGTATCTGGATATGGAGGTCTTTCCGATAAGCCGGAAGACGCATCAACCGAAAGCCGGTGTTTTCATCCAGGAAAGTCTGCCGGTTGCGATTGATGACGTTTGCGAGCTAAAAGCAGGTCGTCCGACGACGGACAGTATTCGGGATCTCAAAGTTTGGCTCTGGGTCCTCGTGACAGCGGATCTTTGCATTAACCGCCGAAGAATTGCACAAGCTCCAAGCTGGCTTATTGGGAGGGTCAGCTAAATCTTACAATCAAAGCTGGCCTCGAGTAGCAAATCAGAACGCGTTTGGATTTGTGATTCTGCATGGGCACGTGACGTGCTCTACTCCTCATCCTGTGGTAAGTCATAGATCTACGTGAATTCTTGTACCGTTGCTTGTGGTACGCTAATGGAGTATGAACATCCAAATGCTCTCATGTTGAACCACTAGTAAGCTCGCTAGGCCACCTCAGACAGTGATAGAGAGGTGGACCCGGAATGGGAGGTTCCTGGCGCTCAACCTTCGGTCTGTTTACACGCCGACAACGTATGATTATCAGCCAGTCACACGGTGGACGAGCAGCATCGAACGATTGGTGGAGGTGCAATTACTCTGGAGACGAGACTGAGCAGATCGCTATTGGGAGCAATGATGAGTTCAGAGCGGCCTCAGTCGAGCTCATTCATCCTTCGGATCTCCCTTTGTCCCGGTCAGCGCTTGGGTAACCAACTCACTGGCTTTCAGAAGAGGCTTCTTGTAGCCTATGAAAGCGGTAGCTTCAATATGACTGGTAACTGAACTTCCGGTCTTGTGGTCAGTTTTCTGGCGTCAGTTGCACGGCGCGGTGCCTTGGGAAAGGATCCAATCAAAACGCTGCGGAATGAGCAAATAACTAAGATGTAAGACGTGAAGACCCGGCAACAATAAAAAACACGACGAGTTGGTTGAATTGGGATTCTCGGATCACTTTTAGTGTTATATAGGGATCCAGTGCCTGGTCGAGAGGTGGGGAAAGTAAGGAGGAAGACTGGAGCGCTCTGCACATACCCGAGGAGCGCCCTGAATGTTTCAGCAATGAGTCGGTGTGCAACGTTTGAACCGAACTTAAGTGCCGCAAAAGCAGGGCAAGATACTAGTCAAAAGGGAAGAAAACAGACCTATGCCACGTTCAGAATTACTGATTGGTCGGAGAACGCCAGGGAAATGCCAAAGCAGTGGATGAACTGCACGGCCACCTCTGGAACTGAGCACCGGCACGAGCCTAATGTCGAAATAATCCCCGCTCGGAGATCAGGTCACCCCGCAAATCTTCAGGCCTTGCGGTACACGCTTATCCGGCGCGGCAGTTCCTCGGACGTTGCAACATGAACAAGTTTGTTCTGTTCCAGCAGCTCGGTGTAGGACGTTTCAGGTCGATGTTTGAGCTGGTCTAGAGCATTCTTGAAATGAGGCGTCTTGCCCGGCGCGATGGCGGTCAAATACGAGTTCCAAGACTGTACCTCGATAACGAAGTAGCCACCTTCCTTCAGCGAAGAAGCGCACTTGCGGAAGAAGGCCTCCAGCCCTGCATCCAAATGTTTGAGGTGGATCCACTTGACGACGCTCAGCGCGAGGATAACGTCATATGGACCTGACGTCTTGGGGTTTTGCGATATTACCCAGTCCTCGCAGATGAACTGGACAGTTTGCAGATCAGGTGTGGCCTCAGAAAGTGGAGAGCCAGCGCCGGCGTCAGAACCGCTATCCTCGTCGGTAGCAGGAAGGGGGGGAATGCGCGGGCCGACGTCGTGAATGGCTGAAATGGGGAAGTAGTTGATCTGTCTGGGACTGTCCGCGGTGGCGGGCCGAATGCGTGAGGATTGGAATGCGCAATAAATGCCGGCGTCTTCAATCAGCTGAGGGTCGACATCCACGCCCGTTACGGAGCCAGTGTCATAGAAGTGGGCTGGAGGACAATATCAGAAAGTCAAAACCTTAATCGCTTGCATATTAGCAAGGGGGTCCCTGCAAGCTTACCAAGTTGGACTGTGACAGCGCCAGCGTTGCAGCCGACATCGAGCACCGCTGAACCATCCGCGAAGAGGCCCGGGATCAGGCCGTCGAGGACAGCCAAGCGGCGTTCTTTGATGTGCGGTGAAGGCGCGGCGTCTGGGACGTGTCGCGCAGCACCCTGATATCCTGATGGCATTGTCAGCGATGGACGCGACCGGGACCACCCAGCAGCGGCGGGCGAGCGCACACATGCTGCCTGTGATATTGCGCGATGCAGAGAACATGCGCCACTCACGGTGATAGTTGCCCACGGCTGTCATGGCTGTCACGCTGCGAGGGGTGGCGGCAAAGGCGCTGATCGTCGGCCGCAAGGCCAGAGGAAGCGGGCCTGGATTGCGATGTTGGAGGGTTGCGGTCGAGATGTGCTCTGATCTTCAGCGCGAGCCCTGCGCCAGCGGTGAGCACAGATGCGAGTGCATTAGAGGCAGGGAGGTGGGCGGTGGTGTACCTAGGAATTGGCGGAGGGAGGTTCAAGTGGTGAAGCGGAAGCGGAAGCGGAATGGCTCGCGTAGATTCGTGCATCACCCTGAAGAGCCAAGGAACATGAGTGTGGTGCTTCGAGGTACGTCTTTTCACCTGTTCAATTGATGCGCGTTCTCTGCCTGGATCTCTTCTCGCGCTCCTGAGCGCTACGGACAGTGACAAGCTGTACACAATGTGGTCCACCAATTCCCCAAACTTCACGCACAGCCGCCGTTGAAAACAGTTCCGATCCCATTGCCCAGACTCTCAAGCCGGCTTTCCAATGCGAGCTAACTCGACGCACGCTTGAGCTGCCGCTTGTGATGCACTCCACGGTCCACGGCAAATCATTCGACAACGGCCGCCCGCCGCTCACCGCCCAATCGGGCAATCAAAAAGCAATGCACAATCTCAACGGTGACTGCTGCACAGCGAGCGCACAGTCCTGGCACGGCCGCAGACCCCACGAGCTGGGCGTTCGGCCCTCCATAGCGTCTCACGCTCCCAGCGCTGCTTTTCAATAGCGCACTCCCTTCAGCGGTGTCACATGCATGGGGGATCTGGGCGACGACGGGGATGGCAGGGAGCTGCAGAAGCCGTCTGCTTTAGGATGGAAATTGGCAGTCGACGAAATTTCCGGCCTCCCGCCGTTGACGCTTCGGGAACTGCAGCCACGGCGGCGCCCCAGTCGGCTGAAACGGGCAGATTCGCGGCACGAGCTGCCGCGTTGTGGTTTAAGCTTCTCTGCATCTTGCGGTGCAGAATCACCGAGTCGCCAATGCGGTGGAGCTGGCGGTGGTGGACGCTGCCGGGGCTTCCATGCTGGCCCCTCCCCCATCTGGCTGAGGAAGATATCGCATGACACGATGTCGCTGCCGGCCACCTGCCTTCCGCCATGGCCCGCTCTGAGCAGACCGCTCCCACAATGTGCTTCAACCGCAGCCATGTGTCGCATTCGCCCGGACTGCGGTTCCGCCTCCCGTCGCCCAGGACAGACATGGCACATGGCATTGCGGGGACGGCCAGGGCAGCCACATCGAGGCACTGAGGACAGTCAGACGGCGCCGGCGGCGGCCAGCGCAGGGAGCGCACTCGGCAGATCGCCCGCCGCTCGGTGAAATCGAGGACGAACGGCCGCAGGCAGCGCAGGGGCATCGTCGAGCGGTTGTCGCCTCGGAGGCATCTCGCGATGCATGGCGGCCGTTGCTGCAGGGCCCGCAGACCCGGGACGCGGTGGCTGAGGGCGAGTGTGAGGATGTTGGTCGGCCGGGGTCGACGAGAGACGCATGGTGTTGAGCGCATCGCACGCCACACGGCCTGGGGCACTCGGGCGCTTGTGCCGAAACGGACGCCGAGGAGCGTAGCCGAAGCCGGCTGGCTTGGGCCACGGCCGTGATTCGCGCAGCCGAGCGGGAGCCAGTCCACGGTGGGCAGATCGCAGCGATTCCTGGTTGGGCGACCCCGTCCCCCCAGCACCACGACCGCGATGGCCACCACCACGAGAGCGCCCTGCGCAGCATATCATCGCGGTCGGGCACGCGGCCGCACTCTGCGAAGCGGCCACTCTGCGCACTCTGCGCACTCTGCGCACTCTGCGCACCGTGGCGGCTGGCGACTCCCCCCGGCAGTTCCAGGGCCGTTACGCGCGCCCTTGGAGCCAGGCTCGCGGTGGAATCCCCTCCCCGCGCCTGAGGCCGGCGATGCTACCTCAGGACGGGCTGGCGAGCCCGGAGTTACATGCCAATCTATGCGATCGTTGCCCAGTGTGATACGCCTCGACGCCGCTGGCTGGTGCCGCAGCGCCGTCGATTCGAAACAGTCGCCCTACCCGCCCCCTTTGCACCTTGCGAAACCTCAGCGCCGCAAGAGGCTTTGGGCCCTGTTTGATCCCGCGACACCTCTCTCGTCTGGACGGGCACGACGAAAAGCATCGCTGGCACTGCACCACCTCGCCGCTGCCGTCCTGCAACGCTCGCCGGCCGATGTCTTGCAGCGTCGCCCATCCCTCCTTTGCCAGTGCTCCCCATCCATTGCCTTGCAGTCCGCCTCTTTGCGCTCCTCGTCCTCCAGCACGCCGCTCCCACGCCGTCGCTAGCTCGCGGGCAGCCGTTGCAGGATAAAGCCCGCACAATCCTGACCTCTCTGCCCGCCTGCCTCTACACACACTACACCATTCCCAGCCACCGCGGCCAGCCAGTCTGGAGCGACACCCCGCGCCCTGCCTGCCCGGTCCCGGCGCCATATCAATCCACTGTCCCACTCCGTCTCTGGGGTGAGCTGCCAAGCACGCCAGGACTGTGGAGTCTCCAGGGCCGTTCCAGTGGACGAGGCTGTTTGCTTGCTGCCCGCCTCGGCTGCTTCCAGCGCTCCCCATTGCGTGTCGCAGATGTCCGCCCTGAGGCTTTGCTCCCAGAACCCAGCAGCCCGACCCCAGCCCGGATCCTTCAGTGTCCGCCGCAGCGTGCCCGCCTGCTCTGCCGTTCAGTGGTCCGCAGCGTGGTGGCGATCGAGCTGGTGACGATCGAGCTCCTCCATGCGTGCACTTGGGCCGCCGGGACCCTATAAACCTCCAGACCGCCCATCGTGCCCCAGCGCTGCCAACGCCGCCATTCCTGTCTAACCTCGAACCTGCTGCTCTCCCCCCAGAGCCTCTCCCGTCACGCAGCGGAGCGCCAGATGCGGCTTCGTGCAGTCTGTCCTGCCGCGGGCAAGTAATAATCCACGCATGTCCCGACAACCACCTCCTCCTCCGCCGCTGCATCCGCCAAATTCCGCCTTCTCTCCTCCAGCCATGACTGAAACTCAAAAGCTGCCGTCCTTCCCTCCGCCCCCGTTCCTAGGCAATCCATATCGCCGTCTGCCGCAGCCCGTCCAGCTGCCGCCGCTCACCATCCCGCCGAATGCTGTACGACCAGAGTATCAATTCCGCTCTCCCATCGCCCAGCCACTCCCCGCGATTCAGCCAGGCCCTCCAGCACACCCGGGCCAGGCTCGAGGTCATGTTGCGTCGGCGGCGCCCGTCGAAAAGCTGCTTCAGTCGAATCCGTATACCCCGCCAAGGTCGGATCCACCCTACTCACCTCAGCAGTATGGGCCCTCCATCTCGCCGCGCTCGCAGTTTGAAGACAGAAGCGCTCCCAGGCGCCTGGTGAAGCAGCGCTATGCCTACGAAGATAGGCGACACAGCCATCCCGAGCAGCAGTACGCATCCCTTGCTTCGCCCATCGAACCGTCACAGAAACCGGCGTATGCCCCACTTCCGTCACCCAGTTACACGCCGAGTTATGCGTCCAGCAATACTCCATTCCGGGGATCCATAGGCTCGCATCGAGGATCCATCCCATCTTCCCTGGGTTCGCTAGCGTATCCGGAGCCTGCAACGTCAGGCCCTCGACCGGTGCCCAGCGCGGTACCGTTGCCCGGTTCTATCCCGCAGCCTGTTGTGAACGAGAAGCTGTAAGATTGCACTTCCGAGGATCTGGAAGGAAAGCTAACAGAGTCGTCAAGAAACCTAGCGTACGAGCTACGAGTGCGCCAGCAACCCATCGCGGCGCGCGCTTGCGGCTTTGGCGAACGAGACCGGAGAGTCATAGATCCTCCTCCGATCATACAGCTCCTAGTGACTGACCCGAAGACCGGTGTTGCTGACACCGATGAGCTACGTTACTCGCTCAATGTTGTTCATTGTACTCTGTGGAACGCAGATGGAACGAACGAAGAGACGGCGCTCATCCAACCAGACCGACGAACCACACGCAGGCTGATGGGCCAGCTAGTCGCTTCACCATCGGTTGCGAAAGACGAGCACGACGTCGAGGGTTGCTTTTTCTGCTTCCCGGACCTGTCTTGTCGGACACACGGAAAGTACCGGCTACGTTTCGTGTTGATGCGGATAGATCCGATGAATCTCCATGTGGGAGGGTTCTCACCGATCTTGACTGAGGTGCTAAGCGACGTCTTCACCGTGTACACCGCAAAGGACTTCCCTGGTATGCGGCCGAGCAGCGCTCTTACCCGAGCACTCAAGCTGCAAGGATGCAATATACAGGTCAAGAAAGGGAACGAGAAAGCTATTGCTGCGATGACACGCGCGCGTAAGCGGCAGGCTGGAGAGGCCCAGCAGGCCTGGAACGAAGCCAACCAGCGAGAGGCGGCCTCTCAGCAAGAGCCGCCCTACCACCAAGAGGACGACGATGACGAGGATCCAAGCAAACGACGGCGCAGGGAATGACGATATGGCGTTGCGGCATGCATACGGCAGGCATTTTTTCTTGGGATATAGGTTATAATTCCTTCTAGACGCAGGCGGTGCGGCATATTGATTCGAATTTGGCACTTTACTGGACAGATATCCCGGGCATTTTTGACGACGTACGAGACGGACGGAGTGATGGACTGGAACGTATGATTACGGCGGTATTTCTGTACACGACGCGTGTAGTTGGCGATGCATAGTTGTAATACATTGGGGGTTGCGAGCGCATCGAGTACGATACCAAGACACAGCCTACCTAGCATGTTAACGAAGAGTACAATTCACCTACGGGACGGACTGGATCTGTGAATTCACGGTGAAGCGACCAAGTGACGTTGAATGAAAGATCGATCGCGCTGAGCATGGCGCCTCGCTGCTCGTCTCGTGGTTAGCGCGTCCGAGTCCGCCCCACCCGCCGTACAAAAATCTTTAGGCCGCCGCTCAGCTTCTTCTCTTCTTTCCCCCTGGCATTGGCCAGGAACGGCACCACATACTTCGATCGCCATCATGAAATACGTTCTTGTCTCTGGAGGTTCGTCCATGCCTGCTGCGGCAACTGTCAATGTTGTGCTAACCCGCGTAGGTGTCATATCCGGTGTGGGGAAGGGCATAATCGGTATGCATGCGCCCGCCCCGCGTATGTTTGCATATAATATTCACGCGTCAAAGCCTCCTCCACCGGTCTGCTGCTCAAGACGATTGGCTTGAAGATAGGTGAACCCTCTAAACGCGACGAGACACGTAGCTGACATCCTCAGAACGTGTCGTCCATCAAGGTCGACCCTTATCTTAATGTCGACGCTGGGACTATGAACCCGAAAGAGTACGTATCTCATTCAGGCGGAAAACTACAGCATCTAAAGTCTGTGCAGACATGGCGAGGTGTTTGTCTTAGACGATGGCGGCGAGGTCGACCTGGACCTGGGCAACTACGAGCGATACCTCAACATTACCCTGACGCGCGAGAACAACATCACCACGGGCAAGATATACCAGCAGGTCATCGAGCGCGAGCGCCGTGGCGACTACCTTGGGAAGACGGTGCAGGTGGTGCCCCACATAACCGACGCGATCGAAGAATGGATAACCAGGGTGGCGCGGATACCGGTTGATGATACCGGCGAGGAGCCCGACGTGTGCATCATTGAGTTGGGTGGCACCGTTGGAGACATCGAGAGCAGCCCCTTCGTAGAGGCCATGACGCAGCTGCGGCGGCGCGCGGGAAAGCACAACTTCCTGCAAATCCACGTCTCATATGTTCCTGTGATCAACGGCGAGCAGAAGACGAAACCCACCCAACAGGCTGTCAAAGCGGTGCGGAGTGCTGGTCTCATTCCCGATCTGGTGAGACATCCCCCCGCAGTGCCCAATAGCGAGGTCTGACCCTTCGTTTTAGATTGCCTGTCGCTGCGAGGTAAACCTCGACAAGGGAGCAGTGGAGAAGATTGCCCATTTCTGCCAAGTGGAAGTTGAATCGGTTATTGTGGTACGCGACATGCCTACCGTCTACCAGGTTCCTATGCTTCTGGAACAGCAAGGTCTCATCCCGCTGCTCCAAGACATCCTAAGCCTGGACCGCCTCGCCCTTTCTCCGGCGGTGGTCGCGAAAGGAAGCGCCACGTGGAATCAGTGGAAGCGTCTCACTGCCCCCGAGGACCACTTCTTCGCGACAGTGAATATTGCCCTCGTTGGAAAGTATATCGAGTTGCACGATGCATACCTTTCCGTCACGAAGTCTCTCGAGCATTCCGCCATGCGGTGTCGACGCAAGTTGAATATTATCTGGATCGATGCGGAGCACCTGGAGCACTCCTACCAGACAGAGGATCCCGCCAAATACCACCAGGCCTGGCACCAGCTCTGCACTGCTAACGGTATCCTCGTTCCTGGTGGTTTCGGCCACCGCGCCACCGAAGGCATGATCCTCGCGGCCAAATGGGCTCGTGAGAACCGCACTCCGTATCTGGGTATCTGTCTCGGTATGCAAATCGCCGTCATCGAGTTTGCGCGCAACGTCTGCGGCATCGAGGGTGCTAGTTCCGAAGAGTTCAACGCAGCAAATTCGGAGCGCCTCATCATGTTCATGCCCGAAGTTGACAAGAAGACCATGGGCGCGACGATGCGACTAGGGAAGCGGCCGACGCTCTTCCAGCCCGGGAGTGAGTGGAGCAAGCTTCGTGCACTCTACGCTGAGAAGCCTGAAATCTTGGAGCGACATCGTCACCGCTACGAGGTCAATCCCGCTTACATTGAGCGCCTTCAGCAAGGCGGTCTCAGCTTTGTCGGCAAGGATGACAAGGGTGAGCGTATGGAAATCATCGAACTCAAGGACCACCCGTGGTTCGTCGGTGTGCAGTTCCATCCCGAGTACCTGAGTCGCGTCCTGAACCCCAGCAAGCCCTATCTGGGCTTCATGGCTGCCAGTGCTGGCTTGCTGGATCAAATCACGGCAGACGTCTTGAAGGAGAGCAAGGGTCTGGCCGTGAATGGGGCCAACGGCGTCAATGGTGTCAACGGCGAGGGCGCTGGATTCTAGTTGCACAGCAACTGGTTTGCGTGGAAGCTTACCAAAGTGGCAAGTCGGAGAGTACACATGGCTTGATGTCTCAACTGCAGTGTCTGATAGGATGTTGCACTACATAGTGGAGTAGGTCAATTGAGGGTCTAGAAGTGTGAAATATTGCAGGTTCACGGGATGATTTAGGAGTTTATGATCATGAGTACTTATGCTTTGAAGACTAGCATTTGGATTTAGACGACATCAAAGCAAATGTTCTTTCCTCAGATATCTCTAGTTTCAGGCCCATTGTGCACTACAGCGATATCAAATCACCTCCGATGTGGAGCGAAGTTGCTGTGGGTCCATGCTAGAGTAGAAAAGTTCTAGCGCCATCGCACCGCCCCTGTTACCTCACTACACTCGCGATCCCAAATCATCTACAACTAATTTTTAAGTGCGCAACCTTTATTCAATTGGACACAACATACATCATGTCAACCGTCAGCAAGTCCAAGGTAACGGCCACCGAGCCATTAGTGAGTTCTCTCCGCCTCTTTTCCCAATTCCGTGTCCTGATGTCGTCAGGACCCTAAAGATGCACGCTGGGTGAAACTAGTAAAGTACGCATTCTCTCATAACCAAATCTTCTCAATTCTCAGTCTTCAAAATCAATCTCTTCCTCTACAGAAAACCCATTTTTGTCTCCCGCCCTACCTCTCATCCTAATTAACCCTCGTCACCCCCACTAAACCCCTCCCTCCCTAGACTAACCTACACCGACCCCACCGCCACCGTCCGCACATGGGAATCCGCCGAGCGCCTGACCCGGCCCCACGGCAGCGCCATCGACGGCGTCGGCATCATCGCCATCATGCAGAACGACCCCGCACACCCCTCCGCCCCGCCGCGCATCTTGCTGCAGAAGCAGTTCCGGCCCCCGATCGACCAAGTCGTCATCGAAGTCCCGGCCGGGCTGATCGACGCGGGCGAGACGGCGGAGGCGTGTGCGCTGCGCGAGTTGCGCGAGGAGACGGGGTATCGGGGGCGAGTGGTGGAGGGGTTTGGGATGACGCCCGTGCAGTGGAATGGTGAGTGATTGAGCTTGGAGGGAGTGGTGTGGATATGGGGTGAAAAGGTTGTTTAGAGTGTTGCGGGTTGATTTGGTGTGGTTGGGTTTCGCCGTTTCCTCCCAGATACTCTGCGAAAGGCGCATTCCCCTTCCCTTCCCTCCTCCTCCTCATCCCTTTTCAACTTTCTACGTCGGCATTTCCATTTCACTAACACCACCACCCCCCAGACCCGGGTTTCTGCAACACAAACGTCCAAATGATCCACGTGACGGTCGATATGTCGCTCCCCGAGAATCAGAATCCGAAGCCTGAGCTTGAGGAGAGCGAGTTTATTGAGTGTTTTACGGTGCCGATGACGGATCTGTATGCGGAGAGTGAGAGGTTGGAGAGGGAGGGGTATGCGATTGATGCGAGGGTGGGGACGTTTGCGGAGGGGATTGAGGTAGCGAAGAGGTGGAAGTTGGTGTAGGTGTGGTGGAGAATGGGGGATTTGCGTTGAAGTAGGTAGGGGGGTGATGATATATGAGGAAGGGAGTGAGTAAACAGAGTGTTGTGGGACTTTGGGTCCGCCGACGCTCGTGGTTCTTTCAGACTCCTAAAATGGGCTTTCATATTAGAGTTTCACGGTTACGGGGTAGATTTGAGTATCTTCAAGAAAGCAGCCTGTGATTCTAGAGCTCGTGAGCGTAGATGTCTGCTCCATACCAGCACAACACAATCCCCGCCGTTCCACTAACGCCCAGCAATGCCCTACCCGCCCAACACGCAAGGAAAAAGAAACGCTCGACCACCACACCACCGAACACCCATCTCAACCCCGCCACTCTGATTCAGAAGCCCGACTCAATACCCTCCACCCCACCTCTCACAACGGAATCACAACCACCCTCTCCGCAAACCTCACCCTCTTCTCCCCCTTCCGCCTTCTGACAACGTCCCTACCCTTCCCCTCCTTCCCTTTCCCCACCTCCCTCCTAACCTCCCCCTCTTTCTCTCGCCGTACTTCGCGCCTAGCCTCCCTTCTACCCTCGCCCTCCCCCTTCGGCCGCGCCATCTCCGCGGCTCGGATCCGCATCCACGCCTCCAGCCGCTCCTGCGATGCGCTTCTCCGCCTTTGCGAGACCGACGGGGGTTGTAGGACCGGGGTTACGAAGACGGTGTAGCTGGGGTGGTAGCAGCAGGTGCATTTTGAAGGGTTGGTGTAGGTCGTCACTTTGTAGGTGGCTGTTGTTGGTGGATTGGCGAGGGAGGAGGTAGATGCGTGGGTGGAGCGGGGAGAGGGGTTTGAGGGCATCGTGGGGTTGGGAGGTGGGCTGGCGGTGGGTTTGGAGGAGAGTCTCGCCGGGGATGCGCGGCTGGGTGCTTCGAGGATGATGTGCCGGATGGATGAAGATGTGAGATGTAGCGGGTGTGCTGTGAGGGTTGAAAGAGGGAAGCATTGAGGGGTATGAGTCGTAGGATGAGGTGCGGGAGCGGAAGATGGACATTGCGCGTGTGTCACGAATGAGCGCGGTGTTTCGTTTTGAGGTAACTACTTGATTTATATGAGGTGGCGGAACTGGATCTTGGACTTGGAAAGAAAGGAAGCTTGTTTTTAACACGCCGTCTTTCTATTTCTTCCAGATTTATGATGATGTGCTGAGCACCTCTCTCTGGTTTAAGCTCTCAAAGCTCTTGCAACTTGTCGGAGCTTTTATAATGCGCCGAAGCACCTCAAACGGTGGCGAGTAAGTGTATACAAACTTTTGTCCTAGTGCTATGCCTCTGAGAAAAATTGAAGCAGTAATGGTTATGTTCATGGAATCGTGGATATTCTATGCGCGACTGGGTTTCCGCATTTTTGAATAAACATGTGGGTATGGCCGGTTGCCACTGTCGGAGGTGCTCCAACACGCTTACAAAATCTTGAAGAGGATGATTGTGACTCACCACTAGACTCTTTGGGGCAATCTAGACAGTGGTACCCAAGTGTGAGCAGACCTCTATAATCACGTGCATTGGCGGGCCCCACGCAATCTCGCGTTTGCGCGCTTGCTACACTCTTTTCCCATTTCAACTCACCTCCAAATCTCGCCTCCTACACCAAACTTCTGTCACTTCGGATCTAACGTCGGCTCACCCCCGGCGCGTGCGATCATGGCTCGCAACATCGATAACATTGCTCTGGAAGTCAAGGAATTGATCGTGCAGCATTTGGAGGAAGAAGACGCCGGGCCAGGGTATCCCATATGGCCGCAGCTGACGGAGAAGTCTCGTCGTAATATTCTGAGTATTCGGCAGGTCTCTCGTGGGTTACGGGATGGCACCTGGCGATCGTTTGGGAAGTTATTGGCGATCTCACCTTTCGCCTTATCCAATTCGACTTGGATGATCTCGCCGATATTTCCAACGATTCGAACCTCTCGAGATGGATCAACACCATAACCTTCGGCACCGGCGGCTTCGATGAATTGGCACCGTCCATACATCCAGATGATTACGACGATGAGAATTATGGGACGAACCCCTGTGTCTTTCGAGATCTGATGATGTACACGCATAAGACCCAAGATAAAGATTCCTTCTCCACCGTGGCCGAGAAGTACGTCAAGTGTTCCAGAGATCAGGAAGAGCTCTATCAGTCTGGCGGTGGAGCCAATCAACTCACCACTATCCTCCAGACGCTCCCACAATTGAAGAAGAACGTGAGGATAAAGACATTCGACCCCGTCGGACGTAGAAGCACTCATCTGCGAGGATGGATCACTCCGAAAGAACGACCGCTCTTCAAGAAGATTTGGACGGACTTCTTACTGGCTACTAACAACAACGATTCATTATGTAGATCCTCAGATGCAGAGATCATCAAATGCGCCGAGCACATGAGTCGAATCTACAAAGAGTGGAGTTATCAGCGCAGCTTCAAGGTTCTTCCAGTTGTCTTTGCTGCACTAGCTAGGTTAGCAAAACATCTAGAAGATATCAGGACCGCGGGTCTTTATTATCGTCAAGCGCCCGAGGCGCCTTCAGTAAGAAACTTGTTTGAACATCTCCCCGGTACCTTGTCGTTCCTCCACACCCTCAGAGTCACCATCCAGTCCGCCGATGCCAACGCACTGTCGAACTTGCTGGGGACAACTTCATCCATACGCGATATTGAGATCAAATTCCCAAGACCCGAGACGGACGGACACAAGGAACGCACCATGAGACGAGTTGTGCCAGCCCTGACGACTACCAAAAATAGCTTCATACAGATGCGTCTTACAGGTTTCTACAGCATCCAGGAGAAGGACTTGATCACACTGCTTCAGGCTCACTTGGGAACGCTCAGATGTCTCGAGATGGTGGGCGTGTGCGTCACCGACAGTTCGGCTAACATGGATGGAGATGTGAACGGTGTCCTACGCCATGTAGTCACTGAAAACCCTACGGGTCTGAGGGACTTCTACCTAGCGGCGTACTGTAATTTCGGATACACGCTATGGGATCCCAAGTCAAAACTGGATAAGACCATCCTTGCTGGGATTACTTTCAGCTTTGAAATCGAAACTCCAGGCAATGATGCGAATCTACACTTCTGTCCGACTGGCGACATCGAATCGAAGGAGGGACATTGATGAGATATCCAAAGATAGGAAGGATTATGGAGCGAGAAGATGCTGGTCAACTGGATAGTACCCCGATCTAGCTCATCAGTAGACTCTTCTTCTACTATAGGACGGAATAACACACCTCGGTGAAATACCTCATCGAAAATATGTGCATTACTCGGCCACACAACTGCGTGAAGCATTCTAAATATGTTCTTAGTCGATCTGAAGTCAGTATGCTGAAGTGCTTGTTGAGTGGCAGATATCGTTGTATGAGGTGGCCCGGCACGGTTTCGCACGATCCAAATTAACAACGTCTTAACTCGTTCGGATCTGTATAAGGATACTGAGGTACTTCAGTTAGCAGCAAACAGCATGAAAAATCGGCGCCCAACCACGATGCGGAGTGAGCGAGTTGGGGGATGGCGTGGAGAAAATTACATGATGAACGAAGGACGTCGTGGAACTCCTCTTCTAAAGGCAGGGGTCGGATCGACGCTATCCTCTGTGCCTCTTTAGACTAATGGCTAACCTGCACTCTTATGGAACGAGATCCCATTGAGCGCCCTAGCATTCCTACAATTTACTTATAACGCGATTAAGGCATGTTTACACGACATCGCGTTAAAATAGATTGGATACTGCTTGAGATTTCTCCATGACAAAGCGGTGTTAGCATGTAGTGGCGGGCTTAGAATAGAACTAGCTCCATCTTATGTCCGTCTTAATCCCTTCCCCTCGTCACTACCTACTTCCTTTTCTTTCCAACGCTCTATCCGTTCTCCGACAGCAACGGAGATAGAATACACTTTCTCGTCCGGCAACCAAGACTGTCCGCCCTGATCATCAGCAATGCAGTGCCACGTTTGCTTCAATACGGCCGAGAATTCTAAGACCGTGAGCTGAAGTGGAGGATATAAAGACGCTGACAGTAGCGAGCGTGGCCAATTTCTTTTCTCTCATCACAGCTAGTTACATTCTATTGTCTTTCAATCTCGCATACGACATATTCCGTTTGCTTCTGAGCCTCGATCATCATCCTCAAAACAACTGTCTCATTTTTCAATCTCCGCTCGGCTCACTCGAACGCCTCAAGCACCTCCCCATCATGTCCACTCCAGTCTCCACCTCGAACTCCGTCTGGTTCATAACTGGCAGCACCAGTGGCTTCGGCAAAGCCATCGCCCTCGAAGCCCTCAGCCGCGGCCACAAAGTCATCGCAACCGCCCGCAATGCCGCGAAGCTTGCCGATCTCGAAGCCGCAGGTGCAGACGTCATGAGCCTCGACGTGACAGCCTCGCTCGAAGAACTGAAGAGCAAGGCGGCTGAGGCTCACGCCAAGTACGGTCGCGTCACCCATCTGATCAATGCTGCGGGTTACATCCTCGAGGGCGCGATCGAGGAAACCACGTAAGTGCCTCCACATCACCAGCACACCCTAACCCCCTTCTGACCATCGTATACAGGCCTGAGGAATCCCAGGATACGTTTAACACGAATGTGTTTGGCACTCTGAACGTCGTTCGCGCCTTTCTCCCGTACCTCCGCGCCCAGCACAGCAGCGTGATCGCCAACTTTGGAAGCATAGCCTCATGGGGCGGCGGGCCGGCGTTCGGGCTATACGCCGCGACGAAGTGGGCTGTTTCGGGATTGACCGAGTCGCTCCGCGCAGAGGTGGAGGCATTCGGCATCAAAGTGACCGTGATTGAGCCCGGGTACTTCAGGACTAATTTCTTGAACCCGGGCGCGAGGGTGAAATCAAGTGTGCAGCTGGCGGCGTATGAAGAGAGCGCAGTGGGGCAGGTAAGAAAAATGCTGGATGCGGTGAACAATAACCAGGCTGGCGACGTGAAGAAAGGAGCCAAGGTAATTGTCGATGTGTTGACGGAGACGGGTGTTGCGGAGGGGAAGGGGATTCCGATTAGGTTGGTGCTGGGTAGCGATGGGGACCAGATCATTCGAGGAAAATGCGAGAGCACGGAAGCCTTGTTGACTGAATGGAAGGACATAATGTACAGCACCGATTATCCGAAGGGGGAGTGAGCTTGGGTACATATTTTTTTCGCTGAACTTTGATACCAGAACTTTCAGCGTGGTAGCACATTCAACACACAACAAAGAAAAGCGTCTATTGTGCACCGCCTGATCTGATAGCGAGCTTTTCAAAAAAAGTTCGTTTCTTCTCAAGGTTTTCTGTGAAAGAAGAAATACGCTAGGCCCAATTCAGAACACAGCCTTGGCACGCCTTACCACACGTGGTCATCTAACATCCACCGTTCACGGACCCTCCTCCATGTCCGCATCTCTACCCCCACAATCTTCATCAACTACCGGATAACTATCATGTCGAGCAACTCTGATCTTGCAGACCCTTCGGATGATGGCTTATTCACAGAGGCAATCAAGGCCCATCTCGACAAATGTCAACGCACGAGCTTTCGCGCCTGGTTGTTCGACGTTAGTGTGGCATCGAACACAACGCCGAACCCCGGCTCCACTCCCCTTTCCCTCTTGAAGGGTTTCCAAATCAAGCAGTTCACTCTTGGAGTCAAACCATGCTTCCATCCTATCCGCTCTGCCGATAGCGTCTGGCTCGGCGCCTGTGCCGTGAGGACGTCGCAATCGGAGAAGGTTCAAATCCGTGATGTTCTAGTTGGCGTCCCCGAGAAATGGATCTCGTTGGAAAGCTGGATGAACGAACAGGATGTTGAGAGCGATGAGCCTGGAAACTATAAGATTCAAAAAGAGTGGTGGAAGATGACAGCAAAAGTGTTCAGGTTCCTTGATCTTCCCGGAGAGTTACGAAATCAGATCTACGAATACGCCATCGGCCGAGACATTTACCCTACTTTCAACGACTCCCTCTATATCCGGGGCTATGATGAGCCGTCGGTGGAGGACGTTCGCTTGTTGGGCCGAGGTATACCAGGAGGGATGACCTTTCATCGTGATAGACCGTATCACGACCACCCGACCAGTGCAGAGCCACCAAATATAGGCCTTATGCTAGCAAGCAAGCAGTTGTTCCACGAATCATTTGAGATTGGCTGGATGAACAGTCGGAAGATATTCCTGGACCCGGGCGTGTTTGGGACGTTTTACTTCACGGATGAACCGATGAAGTTAGATCTCTCTACCTTCACGCACATTAAACTCGATTTCATGATGGAGAACTTCATGTATTTCTTCGGGCTTCCGACTCCAAAGTTTTCACCGAACTGGCGCCCGGCTGCTCAATGTCTTTCTACAAAGCACATGCCTAATCTCCGCCATCTAGAACTCAATTTCCAGAGCACCAAGCACGGGATTCAGACAGACCCATATCTATGGCGGATGTTTCCAGCGAGATCAGCACACGTACTTCAGCAACCTACGTCATGCCACAAGATATTGGTACAATGGATCCTAACCGCGGCAAAGAAGTGGATTCAACATATTCCCCGGGTTGAACTCACTGGCTACATCAAGACTAGCATCAAGAACGAGTGGGACCAGATCTTGAATGACGAGCGCAACGGAGTTCATCATAGTGTTGATTCCAGGTTGAGGGAGTACATGCGCATGAAAAACCACCACTGGTAAGCATAGTTCTTATGATCTTCTTCCGTTCTCGACATAAACTGTTCGGGTTCAAAGTTCAAGCTACAGCTGTATATTTTCCTTGTGACGGCCGGTTCGCTTCGTATGGTGACAGCACCTTGCAAGAGCGATCGAAGACAAGCCCGATACGCACACATAGAGTTGCCAAAGATGCTAACGTATGAATAGGCCTCCCAAATGCCACTGCTCGACTCCCTGCGACTTTGAAGGTATCCGAACCATCCTTACGCGCGACGGGTGCTTTTGCGGAAACAGGTGCACCTGCGACCCAAAGAACAAGACTACAGCGGAAGAGCGGTTCGAAATCATGAATAGCTATGTTTTCAACTTTGACGATTGAGTTCGGAGGTTTCTCGATGGATTCAAGGTAAGTAGTTGCACTGCATAGTTTCATGGCTGATTGACGGCGACTCTGAGAAGGACATCAATAAGGGGCTGCAAATTGGGTAGTGGTGTTAGGCTGCTTTGCGCTTATAGGTAATGTGTTAGAGAACTCCTGACCCAATCATGACTGCATGTCAGATTCTACAGATTTGAAATTGAGCGATATGAGCGTGACTGATGTACAAATGCATATCGACTTGAATCACTCTCGAGAGTTGCTCTCAATCGCAAAATCAGCACCCGACACCGCCGATTTTTGTTCTGATGGAGGTAGATACACGTCATGCACACGGACCTCGTAGGTCTGGTTCTGTGTTTCCAGTCCTCTTGAAGCTACTAGACTGGCTTCGATCCGTCACGTAGGTAGACAAATTCCCAATCGTGTCACACTCGTTCAGAGTCTTATTTCCTATGGTAACGACACCACGTCCGGTTTGAAGAGCTATGTCATGCAGCGCGAATTACACGGTCATGGCCAGACCTTTTCCGACCTCGTGAAGGTATCAAAGTGGCTTCGATCGGTCTCATGGCTAGGCAAACTTGAATCTACATCACGCTCATCTCGCTTCTCGCTCCATATGATCTTGGTCATCCACAAAGACAAGCAAGGCGTGTCACCCGAATTTGAAGGGCCTTTAGGCCACGAAAAAGGTATTTAAGAGTGCAAGACTGGACTCTTCATGATAGTATCAGCAGCTTCAACAAGCAGCCCGTTCATGCTATCCTACCCATGGCGTAGAATGTTCTTGGTATCCCCCTTTTAAACGACTCTTATATGTCATTCAGCCCATTATCTTTAGTGGTGCTATGGGGCAGCCGATGAGAGACGTTGCGTGGGGTTATAGGCGCTTTTCCTGCAAAATCAAGACCATTCACCATCACTAGCCGCTTCTACGTGACTCAGCACTTTCCTCGGCGCATAGAAGTCAGCTTATTTCATAGTTTCTTGTTTTTGCTGCCGTAGCAGAACGTTCTTCCCGTTAACAACACCAACAAAAGTCCAACATCCACGAATCACTCACCTGGGTCTGACGCTTCTCACTGCCTTCCATCCACCTTCTCTTTGAGATAATCTTGCATAGCGATTGACACGGCTTCCATGGCTTCTTTTAGCGGCTTCGACTTCAATGACTTGACCACCACCGCCGACCAGCCGCCGCCCCCCTCTGCCCCTCCTACCTCAGAGATTCGCGAGCTCCAGGCCAGGCTGGACTTCAAGTCGGTCACTGCGTTCATGCAAGTTGGCAAGTTCTGGGGCAAGTACGAAGAGGTATTGCCCAGCGATAAGGCTTCGGCTACTTCTGGTCCTACTGTTTCCGCTGCGACTCCGTCTGCTTCCGCTACTTCTGCATTGAATGCCTCTCCTGCAACACCAACACCTGTTACACCCGCCATGGACCCTACTAAAGAGAACCGTACGTGCAAGGGAAATCTCTCGAAGATGCACCGCTTGCAGTGCCTCCATTACATTTGGACTTCCTCGGTTAGTGCTTGTGCCCCGAACTGCTTGGGTGGTCAGGTATGTATAGCGTGTCATTCACCTCTGACACTGAAACAAGTACTGACACTAGCAGCACCCAACTCCCCTTCCCGCCAGCATCCAAGGGCCGCATTTCGGCTGTCAACTGTGCCTCCGTGCAGCACAGGCCAAAGACCCCGCGCTCCGTAAGCCTGGAAACCACTGGGTTGACCTGCTGTTGGAAGATAATCTTGAGCGGGATTCTAGTCCACTCACTGGCCTCCGAGCTTGCCAGATCGTGTTCATGGCGAAAGACGGCACGTTAATTCCAGCCATGGAGCCGATCGACTCGGCCCTGATTCGCGCTCTGATGAGCTTTCGCTTCAAGATCAAGCAGCGACCGGACCTTGATTTCAGGCCTGCCCTCCCAGGCCCATCTGGGGTCGATGCCTCCGGATTTGACTACAGTAAGGTACCGAAGGGTCCTGGCGGTGGCAAGCTGAGCAAAGCAGACAAGAAGAAGATCGTCCAGGAGGCGAGAAATGCAGACCGTGGTGGCAGAGAGAAGCGAGGACAGCCCTCGGGTAGAGGCCAGCCATTGGGCAGAGGCCAGCAATCGACCAGAGGCAGAGGAGAAGCAAGGGAGTCGAGCTCTACAGCTGACGTCGGACTGGATTACGGAGAAGAAGCACTCGGGGCGTCCGTAGCTGGTATCCGGTCGGAGGAAGAGACGAGAGCTCGTCGCGACAAACGAGAACGCCAGAAATTGGAAAAAGAACGGAAGAAGGCAGCGCAGGAGGCGACGAAGATGAGGCAGAAGGCTGAGGAGGGGGCCAACAGAAAGCAGGCAGACGAAGTCTCTACGAAAAGCAGGGAGGAGGCTGAAGAGGGCGAGGTAATGGAGAATGATGAGGAGACGGCGAAGAAACTCCAGGAGGCTGAGGAGGGCTTGGATAAGATGGCCCTGGAGTAGGGGCGGGTGGATAGATAGTGGGAGCGTGAGTTGAGCTTCTGGTCTCGTGGTAGTCCTTCCTTTGCTTCTCTATTCACTTTCGCTGCATAAAGCGCGGTAATTCTATACGAAATCAACCCAGACTGCATTATCTATATATTTTGACTTCTGATTCTCTTTCTCTTACTATAAATCCATACACAACCAGCTTATGAGAGATGTTGCATTGAGCTCTTGGCATTGCATTCACCTCCTTCGCTTATCTTCGGGTGAGCCCGTACTTTTACACGGCCCGCAAAATCTTTTCCCCAGAATTTTGTTACCACGTTAGACTTTGGCCTTGTTCACTTCGTCAACACGTATCCGCGTTGGTAACACCCTTAGACTTCATTCCCTTCTTCTCCTCTTTCTATCCTCCGTCAACCCCGCCTATATACGCTGATCATGGCTTCCTTCCCATCTTTCGTCGAGTTCAACTCACCATCTGCCGCTTCGCCTGCTACCATGGCGCCTGGATCCCATCCTTCTGAGATCCTTGCGCTTGAAGCAAAATTGAACCACCGCGGCGTGACGGCTTTCTTGGAAGTTGGTAGATTCTGGGAGAAGTACGAGAGGACCCTTCCCACTCAGTCTCCTTCTACAACTTCTATGTCGGCCGATGTCGCCTCCTCTTCCGCCTCCGTCACTCCAGCTGTCAACCCCTCCAAAGAAAATCGTCGCTGCAAAAACTCCCATTCGAAGCTTCACGTCTTGAAGTGCACCCACTTCATATTCACGCCTTCGGCTACTGATTGCGCGCCAAACCGTTTGGCCATGCAAGTACGTGTAGTAAACGGCAATACATATTCAGACTCACTTCAACAACAATAGAATGTCAATCCCCTTCCCGTAAACGTCCAGCCACCGGACTTCGGGTGCCAGATTTGCGTACGCGCGGCACAGTCTAACGATCTCGCTCTCCGTGAGCCAGGCAAGAACTGGACCGACCTATTGCTGGAGCACAACTACGATCCCGGCACCCAGTCTGGTCCTCTCGCTGGTCTCCGAACCTGTCACATTGCTTACCTAGCGAGAGATGGGACCATTATCCCGGCCATCGAACCTATCGACGCGGCGCTTATCCGGATTCTTTGGACAGATCGCGTCCGTCTCCTCCAGCGTGCCGACTTGGAGTATGGACCTGCTGCAGTTAGTCGTGCCCCGACTGGCATTGACTCGACTGGATTCAACTGGGACATGGTTCCCACGCAACCTAGCGCCAACGCGCCTGGTGGCGGCTCGCGGGCTACTCGCGATCGCAACCGTCGCCGTCGAGAGAAAGCGAAGACTGATAGGCAGGAAGCAGCGGAGGCGAAACGTGCTCAAGAAGCTGGAGAGAAGGGCAAAGGCAAGCAGAGAGCGGACAAGAACGCGATGGACATGGCGAGCCCATCATTGGACTATGGTGACGAGGCGATCACGTACGAAGAGGGATCAGAGGAGGGCGAGATGCGTGCCGGTGGCCTTCTCTCACCAAAGGAGAAGAACGCTCGCCGCAAGAAGCGTGAGCAGCTGAAGATGGCTAGTGAGAACAAGCGGAAGGAGTTGGAAGAGCAGAAGAAGCTGGAGGAGGCCCAGCAGAAGTTCCGCGATATGGCACTGAAGTAGGGTAGTGCTATTGGGACCCACCACGCCGATGAATTCAAACACTTTATACTTCTCAAACTGTTTCTTTATATGAACTGGCCTCTTTAAGCTTGTACGGGGGAGGTTGTCTTCTACAGTCCTGCGACATATGTTTGGGCACTCTCTTACTACTGCTTGGGGTACTCATATGGGCTTTCAGAATCCCAATACAATGCCAATGCCGATACAGTGGGATTTGGGCAGCCTTCTAGCTAGCCGGCTACATGCTAGCTAGGCTACTCCTGACGGTAGTGTCGAGTGATCAAGAGTATAACCCGTGTGGTGGTATATGCGGGTCCCCAAACTTATGACCCAGTACGGTACTCTTAGTTTTGGACCCATCACAGTGGCGGGAATGTTTTGCGATTAGCATTCACCGGTTGCCAACAGCTCCACGTGAGCCCACGTGTACCCTCGGCGCACAATCGGACCTTAGTCTTTTTGGATAAACTTAAAGTCGCCACGGCAGAGCTGACCTCTTCTCATCAACAACAGCCTCAGTCAGTCAAATCTTCTTCCTCCCCGTGCCTCGACTGCTTTTTCTGGCTCTTTTGCTCCCACATACCCATCGTTCACTATCAAAACTCTCACGAAACGTTACCATGTCTTCCTCCCTCGGTGGACCCAACCAGCCGGCCTCAGGAGCTCAGCAAACCGCCCAGGGTAAACAATCATCATGAACTACACACTATACAGACACTTATCCATGTAACAGGCGCGACGGCCCCTCCAGGAGCCCCCACTGCGTCTGCTTCCAACGCTCCGCCCAATGCTCCCACAGGCCCTGCAGCCACGGCAGGCACGACAGCCCCCCCAAACGCCCCCACAGGCCCTAGCGCTATGACAGCTCAGGGTGCGCTCTCGGGCGTTCCTACGGCACCCCGCGCTATGAGAGCATAGCATACGTCCCCCAGAGCCTCCAGGCGTCCGAAAGATCCCGTCCTCAGCCCAAGACGTGGCCACAGCGTCATTAAGGGCGTGCCTACCGGACCTAGGAACTCCGGTATGGGTAGCAACATGCTTCGAAACCTACAGAACAAGAACAGCAAAGCTCGTAGAGGGATGGCTGCTCTGAGGGCCAGACCGTCCGGACAAACTGCTTTGAGTGCGGCGGCTGGTGGTGTGGGAAGGGCGACTGGCAGTTATGGTGGTAGTGATACGGAGATGGGAGAAGGTCTGCCATATGGGGACGAGGGTGTGGACTACCGCCAGGGGTCCGAGGAGGGGGAGTTGAGAGCCGTCGGGACTGCCGAAGAAGAGGAAAAGCAGAAGAAGCTGAGAGAAGCCCAAGAGGCGCTTGATAAGAGGCGCTTGATAAGATGACACTGGGTTAGAGTGGGAGAGGCTGGGTGGTGTAGACGTTCGGAAAGCGGAAAGATGGAAGAGAGAGCAGGATGATTGCTTGTTGTTGTTTTCTTCTATAATAGTCCGGTAATTTTATGCAAAATCAACTAGAGTAGAGGACTTGCTCTACTCCTGAGTCCTTTATACCTCTTCAAACCCTCCCTCTACAGGTTAACACCTTTTGAGTCTATCTATAGAAACGTACTTCCTTGGCTTTCTCACTGTTGCGGCGATTCTGTTGAATGATTGATCTCTATTCATACTATTCACCAAATTTTCGTTTGAGCGTACCTATACCTTCGGCCCACACTAGGAACCTAGCATTTTTTCATAGACTTAATATCGCCCCTAGCAGAGCTGATTTTCTCTCATGAACATACACCTCCTTCAATCCAACCTTTTCCCTTCTTGTGCTGTGACTACATCTTCTGACTCTGCCCCTTTCTCTCCCTTTCGCCTATCATCAAGACTACTGGCAGACAGTTGAAGATGGCATCGTTGCTCGGTGCCAATCAGAGCCCTGCTACGGCCTCGCAGACCGTGCTAGGTGCGCAGTCTCGCATCAACTACGAGTCCATAAAGAACCGTATGGTCACTAAGAAAAAGGATGGAAAATGGGAAACCATGGTTCTTCTTGACAGCACCGAGACTCATCCTGATGAAAATCGACTCCGGCACCAACCTGCCATGAAGCTCCATAAGCTCGTGTGTGGACACTGGGTTTTCACCAAGCAGCCCGAGCAATGCGCTCCCAACTGCAAGGTCATCAATGTATGTACACACTGCCACTCTACCTCAATCAACCTACCAAATACTCATATGGGCAGACTGGCAACGTCTCCACTACTGCCTCTCTGTCCCCAGGCTTCGCTTATCGTCTCTGAGAACGTCGCAACAACGCGAGCGACCCTTCAATTCTGCAGGGCCCGACGAGCTGGCCCGAACTTCTGTTGGAGAAGTATAACCTCAACCCCTTTGCTGAAGCCTCCGGTCTTGGTGGCCGCGTCTGTATGGTCGTCTACCTCGCCGTCGACGGCACAATCATCCCATGCCTGGACAACGTCGACGCGGCGGTCATACGCATCCTGATGAGCAAGCACGATGACCGTGGCGACCTCGTCGTTCTCCCAGCTCGACCGGACCTCTTGTATCTCTTCAGCAGCCAGCGTAATACCCCCCCCCCCCCCCCAACTCCTACGGAACCTAAGGCTATGAGGGGCCTACATACATCCCCAGGAACCGGAAAGGGCCGAAAAAATCTCACGAGCCCGAAGCGTGGACGAGGTGTGACCAAGCAATCACCACCTTCAAAGTCTAGCAAGGATAAGAGCGCCTCTTGGGACAAGAGCGGCCAGAAGGTGTTTGGGGCAGCGAGGCGGTTGGAGGCGGGTGGTGCGGGCTAATACACTATCAATAAGAGCAAGCAGCGGGCTACTGGCGGTGGCGGTGATGGTATGGACGTTGGCGAGGGCTTATCCTACGGGGACGAAGGGGTCGAGTACCAGGAGGGTTCCGAAGAGGGCGAAGTACGTGTGAAAGGAACCTTGGAGGAGGAAGAGGCGGCAAAGAAGCTTCGGGAGGCCGAAAAGACGTTCGAGAGAATGGCACTAGACTAGGGCGGGAGAGGTTGCCTAGTGTGGTGCAAGTGTGGTGTATGCGTGGCATCAGAACAAAAAAAGGGGAAATTAGGACGGTGGAGGGGGTAGACGGTTTGCGGAGATGAAGACGATAGAACATCAGTATAGATGAAATACAAAGAAGAAATGAGACGTCTCAACCTGTACTCCATCTCGTGAAGACGTGATGAACAGTGTTTGAATCGCATCGCAACCGCATGGCCTTTGACTATTATCGTACAACTCCCAAGGCCCTCTGGAGCATCGACGTCGAGCGAAGGTAAAATGTCATAAACCTTAGACGCTGAATTAGAACTCTGGAAATATGGTTGAAGGCATGCTGAACCGTCTTGAAACCGTGTAGCCGGCGCATGATCTTTGACCATCCTGGCACGACCATGGGGTCCCTCCGGACTATTAGTATCGAGGGAAGGTGAGATGTAATAAACCATTGACACTGAATCGAAACCCTGGAGATACGCTTGAAGTCAAGATGAATCGTCTTGAAATCGCATCGCTAGCGCATGATCTTTAACCATTCTCGCGCGACTCTGGGGGCACTCTGGGCCATTGAAAAAGAACGTAGGTAAGATGTAACAAACCTCCGATGCTAAATTAGGACCCTGGGAATACACAGTCAATCGCGTGGAGACATGATTGATGAAGGCCTTGAAATCACATCGCTAGCACATCAAATTTGACCACCGCCGTATGGTAGTGGGGTCCCTGCGGACCATTGATATCGAGCGTGTGTGTGATGTAACAAATCTCCAATGCTAAATCAGAAGCCCGGAAATACACAAGAGGTACCGGAAGCCACTCAATATCCCTTACAGAATAGCAATATGATTGCTAATCTCGGTGCGATCTGAACAGTGGAAACAGAGACATGCTAGCTAGATACGAAATCACGAATTTGACCGACTAATTGAAGGCCCGGGGGTGCTCTGAAGCTGTTCCTAAGCTAGCAAACGACATCACAATTACCGTAATTCTGCAGCATCTTGCCATCTAACGTCTGATTCCTAAGCCTAGGGCGGTAATAATGCTTATTCAATGCAAAATCTCGGGCTTGAAAGCACCCTGGCGACTGGATTCTGGAAACACCGGAAGTTCTTGCAGACCCATGCTGAGTTAGCAATATTATTTGCAGCATTGCGCAGTTCAGCACCATCGAATCTCATCGCCTCATCTATGCCTAGTCAGATCAATAACGCCGACTCCATTCTCCATCTGGCTTGCTTTTCGTTTTCTCAAACCCCTTTTCTCCGCTTCTTGTTTCCGTAGTCTGGCATGTGATTCCAGCTTCCGTTGTCTGGCTTGCGTGCAATTAGCGTTGATTGCTTTTGATATTTCTGCCATAGAAGGTCTTTTCGTACGCTCCGCATCCTCTCGCCTCCATTGTTCGTCTTGCGGCCCAAAGATTTGTTGTGGTTGACAATGATGCTGCTCATACGCCTGTAAAACGCGTCTACGGTTCTCCGCTTGTTGTCTCTGTGGGTGGCCTTCTGCCACACAGCGACATATGACCTGGCGTTTTTGCTCGGTCCGGAGTTCGTTGGCTTTCTTGATGCGCTCTTGTTCTTCTCTACGGCGCTCCGACTCTTGTCTCTGCCGCCGTTCCTCTGCTGCGCAAGGGCATGTGGCCTGGCAATTCTTGTTGGTGTGGAATTCATTGGCTCTTTTGAGGTGTTCCTGCTCTTTCCTGCGGCGATCCGCTCTTTGTCTCTCTCTTTCTTGCTATCGCTGTTCTGCCGCTTCGCGCGCGCGTTGCTCCATGACCTTTCGCTCTACTCGTACTGCTTCCCTCATGTGTCTAGCACGCTCTGCTCTCTGTCTTTGTCGTTCCCCCTCGGCTTGGCGATCACGAATATGGCGTTCCGCATCTTCTTTTGCTCGCTTTTCCTGTGGTAGTTGAATACGTCTGGCCAGGACCTCTTCCTCAGCTCGGAGCTCCTGAGCTAGTCGAACACGCCTGGCTTCTTGCTCAACTTGGAGCTCCTGGGCATTCTTGATGCGCTCGGCCTCCTCTTCTGCACGTTCCTCTCGCTCCTCCTCCGATAGACAGGTGCCTTGTAACTGCGTGATCGTGATATAGCTATCTCTAAGCAGCGTACGCAAAGACGGTTGATCCATGTCATCAATGACAGTCTTGATTTCGTCTGAGCGCTTTTGCCATGCAGTTCATGTCTCTGTGGATCCTCTCGATCCCGGGGCTTGAAAAGGTTCTTTCCCAACGTATTTTGAGACAAGACGAGCCAGGACATCTTGGTAGAAGCTTTGATATGATGAATCTTCAAGACGGGCATGCCGCTTCAGTACTTTGATAGCGTCCTTGAAGAAGGGTACCAGCTCTCTCAAAATGGTGCTCTCGTTTGGACTTTCACTGATGGTCGCTCGGATGCGGTCGATCATCAACGAGCCTACTTCTAATTCAAACTCGAGAAGCATATCGAGGGCAATACTGAGTTCACTGGTACGAGGTGTAATTATTGGCGGTGTATATGTGATCGAGCAATGGCGCTGCCGGTCCCAGCCGTACCGCTGGGGTCCTAAGGGGCTCTCATAGCGCGGCACGCAGGAGTAACCGCAGCCCATGTCGTCGCACAGGCTGAGCATATAGCAGTTTTCTGGCGTGATCATTTTCGAACCGAGACTCGACGAGACTGATTTAGTGCACTCGCTGGATATTTGACCTCAGCGATAACCCTTCATGATGGTGGCCATGAACGAGATGATAAAGGGAGTGCTGCTAGTGTAACCCTGGATCATGGACCAAAAGTCAGATGTCCTTTCATTTTCGTTTTGGCAGTACTTGGGTTTGTTGAGTATCACCAATAGCTCGCCGCAAGCTCTCCCGTCCTGGTATGTCAGGAGGGAGTCTGAAGCCTTGAGGGCGGAAGTCATTTGTGAAGTAACAAATGCGAGCAAGGGATGTGACCACTCGCACTCGCTGGCAACACGCGTCTTTGTGGAGCCATTATTCGGGAGAAGTTGCGTCATTGCCTCGAACCTTGCATGTGGTTTCTGGATTGCGGAAAGGCTGTTATCTAATCTACGGCTATCGTGAGTATTGATTGCTTCACTAAGGTCCAATCTAAATGACTTGATAGCTTACAGTGTCTCGAATGAGAGGAAACCAATCTCTGGGACAGCGGCGCCGATTAGAGCTAGTGCTTTACCTGACAAACCACAGCTTTGTCGTTGCGTCAAAGTCTTTAGAAGACTCAGATCTCTTAGCAAAAGGCTGGCTTCAACGATTTTCATCGCAATTTTTCCGAGAGACTGTAGTGAGACTGTCCTGTGTAATCGCTTTCATGCGCTCTGATGTGGTGTTCATGTACGTATGTGTCTACCATTATCGTGGAACGCACGGAAGCGAGATTTGCGCAACTCTCTTGATAAGACAGATTAGAACGGCAGCGGGCGATGTGATTATTGAAAAGGTCCGTAAGTTCGAAAATTGTTTCCGGTGGTGGCGGACGTAGAGGAGGCCACCTAATGAACGGTGGCCGAGAGACGAATCTTTTCAGCAACAGCCGTGTTAAATTCGCTTTGGGGACAACGATGATTACCTATGCATCGTTAGTTGCAGAAGTCAAGATTGAAAGACGTAAAACTTACTGTAACGATCCAAAAGTCGGTACACTCCAGAACATTTTCGTTGCACTGGTTGGTCCCGTACTCCGCATCCGGCATTCGGACGAATGGTTCGGGGTGCACTATAGAAGAAGAGTCGACCGGCGTATTGAGACCAATCCCTTAGACCATCAACATCGAACATCCGCGTCAAATTCGTACTTATCCCATATACTTCTTTCACATAGTCAGTCGTTACTGCTCCGATCTGAGAGGTAAAGCGCTTACCGGCGTTATCTGGGCTGTCATTTGACCCATCATACCTATGCTCGTGCACCATATTAGCAGACAAAACTGCACATCAAGCGTTCGAGCATAAAGCCTCAAGAAATTTGATCCGAATGGGCTTCAAAAAGTCGCCTATCTTTTCACGATTGGGACGTTTGTAGGATTCGTTAAGACCTGCGTAGATCCCGTCGGAGTCTGGCGAGAGACTTTTGTAGCGAAAGCCATGTCGGAGGTGTAATTCGGTACATCCCATGCTGGGTAAGCCTTGTTGTTTTGGCCATGGAGAAAGATCTGGAGTGATGCTGTGGCTAGGAACAATGTAAATTAATTTCTGCGGGATTTGCGGGCTAGCTGGAATGTCTGCAAATTTTTGGAGAGCTGAGGACGCTTCTTCGAGGTTACATATTGGGAAATCAGAATCTGCGTTGTTGTCGAGGGTAAAGAATGCGTCAACACTCTGCTGTAAGGTTTTTTTTATGTCTCTCAATGCGTCTGCGTCCTCCGGAGGACCTATGCCCTCTTGCACACTCGTAGTAGGGAAATGGAAAGATTGCATGATGGGATGGATATACCAGCTGTTACATGAAGCGTAGATGCTAGTTGACTGAGCTCTGGTCGAGATTTGACGAGGTCTAGAAGTGCGGTCACTCCTGAGGGCGGTGTAGAGGCCTGGTGGGTTTGGAACACAGCTCAAGGGGTCCCTTGCAGAGACACCAGTGAGCACATATGGTAGAAAGAAGAAGGATGAGGTGAGCTTCATGGTGCTGAGAGTCTGACGATGAAGGCGGACTTGGTAGAGAGAAGATACTTGAGAAATGAATAGGTATACCGAGAATCAGACGAACCCGCAGACGCTATGCTCCTATGCATACTTTCTTCTGTTTACGTAATCTCTCTCCAAAAGCCTAGCAGTTGCTCCCCGGATTTGTTTAATTGCATCTATAGAGCTACCCTGGATAACTCAGGGGAGGCTCGAGACTTCCTCCGCTTCGAATGTTCATCTCCCATATTCTCTGCCCCTGCAGCATTACGCGGGGTGAGTCACAATATGCTGCAGGTACGCTTTACAGCTACGAATAAAAGTGAAGACATTTGGAGGTAAGAAAGAAACAAAAATGTACCTACCTCGCTCCGTCACGTGATTTTTCAGCAGTTCATGCGAATACTCAACTCCATAACGTAGCCCTATTACGGGTGGGCATGGTGCACGCAATAGCAGCTCTAACCCCCCAGATGGGCTGGAACAGGTCTAGAGTTCCCACATGCTTCATCCTATCCCACTGACGCCGAATGCCGCAGCTAGAATACCTTCGAAACAGACTTCGACCAATCGACGCTACAAACAACCGCAGACCTCGTTTCAACCGGTCTAAAAGACACCGGCTACAATTACCTCATCGTGGATGAAGATTGGCAAGACCTAGGAAGAGATAACAGCGGACGCCAGCAGCCAAACGTAACGAAGCTGCCTGACGGCGTTCCAGGAATCGCGAAACACGTTCATGGCAAGGGGCTGAAGCTTGGGATATTTTGAATTGCCATCCAGAGATAAAGTTATGAGGTTCCCTTTCAATTTTGCTGCTGTCTTCGTCGGATTCATATATCTCTACTAAATTCTGGTCTCGTTTTTCTGAGGATCTAAAGACTCGTACGGCGAGCCTGCACATGTGGTGCGATCTAAACTGTCGGGTTTGACGGCATCCGGGCCGTGCTTAGAAGGGCCACATTGACATCGGATGATGATAGTGGCAAGCTCTTTGCTTTTTTTGAGCTTACTGATGTTCGTACGAAGTGGACGCCGTTAAAGTCGAAGTCTCCGGGCGGAGAGATGCGGATGCGACGTTGGCCCCCAGCCTAGCCGAGTTGGGAAGATCACATGACGGCGCGAAAGATAAGCCCTTGTTTTGTACGTCTCGAAGGTCTCAGTCGAGTCCAGTAAAGAAGTATACTACTTAGTGTGTAGTGCACAGCTGTCCTATATCAATTTACTGAAGTACGAACTTCGTGATACATAAGCGGTTAGAAAATAGATATGACTTCGTACAAAACTGCGTTGAAACTCTACAAAGGTATGTCTTCCTCCCCCACTGAAACTGACCTCCCTCCATTCTCTCAAATTGGAGTATCAAAAGCATTAGCGAGCGTAGATAGATGGAAAAAACATCTAGTGTTCTACTTCTAAGCGTTCAAGTTGAGTGGTGACCGGCAGGAGAACGTGTTCAACTGATGGACCTTGAATGCGTCGATCATACCTGTTGCAACATATTAGCACGTTGTGAAAACAGCAAACACAAACTACTCACCAACAATGGCGGCATACATGCCCAAGCCACACATAGACAACGAACACAAAAAGTACAGCACATGCCATATGTTCATGGCAACTTGGAATTTGCCACCGCTGGTGAAGCCGCGTATTAACCGCCCGACGGTAGTCTCTTCTCTCATTACGTGCCCTGTCACGGGGTCGAAACCATCGCCTTGGATGGCGTGTCTCTGTATGTCGTATCCCAGAACAAAGAACGGAGGCATCGTATATGTTAGGTTCAGCAACATGGACGAAGAGATGATGGCGACGAAACCGAAATAGTCCGGTATGGCTCCGGCAATTACAAACGCAATGGCCCACCAAACCGGAACTATGGCAGCGTAGAAGAATTTCCCACGCTTGGTAGTGAGGGACGGCACATGGAAAATGTCTATGAGGACATTGTTGTAAAGAACTTTGACGCCGATGTTGCCGTAGAGCCCAGCAGCAATGAGGGCGGCGATCAGGGAGATCATGTTGCCAGCAGTCTGCCATCCGTAGGGGCTAACACCTTGGTAGCTCGGCTGGAAGCTGTACTGGCCTTGGTAGTGATAGACAAAGCATCCATATACGAGATAGACGGTGTATATGAAGAGCTGCGCCCCCCACATTGCTTTGAGAAAGTCGCGAGGCCGTCTCATCTCGGCCAAAAATTCCACGAAAAGTTGGGCGCCAGAATATGCCAGTACGCCGGACAACAAGCCATTAATTGATCCGACCAATGAGTTTGTAGGCATACCAGCATAGTGAATAATTGAGGGGTAATTTCCCTGGTCGTCTGGTGCGATACTCTCGGGATCCACGGCGCTACCAGCTGAACCTAATACAGAGATCGCGAAATTTGGAGGCGAGTTTGCGATTACACCCATGGTGATGAAGATGACCAACAAGTTTAGCCATACTGCGAAGTTTGCTATCAATCCGTAGGCTTTGAGGGTTCGGATCTGTGACAGCATAAAGCCGACGGCGATGAAGATGACTGGGCAAACAACGTAGCACAGCTTGAACTTGGACACCTGAGAGATGTTTTCGCCGAATTGAATGGTAACCTGACCGAGGAGCAGGAGTAATCCGATCGCCTGCATGACATTGGTCACATGTCGAGCTATTGTGCCCCAGGTTCTGAACCCAAGGTCTCCGTAGTTCCTCGCTGGAAATTCGTAACTGTCGATGCCCAGGAAGACCTTCCAGATGAGATAACCGGAGTAGCCGGCCATGAAACCAAAGACGGTGTATAGAGCAATGCCTGTGCACAATTAGCGACGACCATTCTAAGGGTTTCATAACCATGAGCATGTCGCCTACCTGGTCCCCAGCCTAGAGTACCCATCGCAAATCCTACTCCATAGGGCCCCAAGACATCTGTGGTGATCAAGTAGAAACCTTTGCAAGAACATTAGCCCAGGATGGACTATTTTCCGATGGTGATAGCTTCACTCACAAGCCCCTCCTGACGCCGTTCTAAATGCGCGACTCGCATTTGTCCACTCCTCATCCGATATATGAAGATGCTCTGAGGCTTCTTGCACCGTGGATTCATGAGCAGTCTGCAGCGCGGGATTGGCGCCTCCGAGAGGGTGCGGGTTCTTCTTGCGGAGCACGATCTCCTTCCAATTGGCTTTTGGAGCTTCGGAAGCATCTTCTTCTTCTCTTGTTCTGAGCGCATAATAGTGATACTCTTCGAACGTGACGGCCGAATCGTGCGGCTTGCGATATTGCGGTTTGATCGCCGTGCTCGACCCCGTCTGTTCGGAGTAAGGCGGGGTATCGATGGGCTCCTGTTTTTCGGCCATTGTGTCTTGTTGAAGGCAGGATAGAGGGTGAAGGTGGTTTCTCGAGAGACGGGCAGACGATTAATATCTCCACTGCAACTTGACAAGCTTTGACTACGTGATACCGGTCGAAGCTAGGCTCTTGGGAGGCAGCCACTTTGAAGCTTGTCTCTGGAAAGGAAGCTTGTTTCGCGGGATGGAACGAGTCGAAGCTTTATCCCTGGGGTCGACCAATCTCGTTGATCATACCACCCGACCACGTAATTGATAACAGGCCCGGGACCATCCGGCTTATTCGACCTTCCTTATCGGGGAGTTGCCCGCAAACGCCACAAAGACATTCAGCACGCGATAGCCGGCTAAGTACGGGGTAACGAACAGCACGAGGGAAAGACACGGCGATGCCAACGAGAAGCGTCGCCGTCTCCACCCACGAGAGATATGCCGGATACTACAGTAGCAGCGGTGGGTTCCAAAGACCGGGACGGCGGGAAGTGTAGCTTGCGAGAACCGAGAACCACAGAGAGTAGCATCACGTGATGCGGCCCTTTCTGCGCTTAGCAGAAAAGCGAGCAGGGCAGAGAGAGTAGCCACGCTCCCGATGCTTCTTATACTTCTCTAGCTCTGCGGAAGAGTAGAGGAAGCAGTGGTAAGCCATCTCTGCGGTGCCATCAAAGGTGAGGCTCAAAAGGGAAAATGGGCTTTGGTGATGTCATGCGTGGGGCCATACAAAATCTGACATCTCCGAATAGCACCACCATGCTACCATTGTGCCATTGCAGCTAATATTTACAGAGAGGGCCAGATGTAATCACACCATTGGCAACCCGTATTGCTCAGTCTCAAGACCTCAGCTTGCTCCAATGCGCATTCCACCAGCGAAGCTGCTGCTGCCGAAAGTCGTCAGTCTCGACATAACTACCTCCTTGGTTATCTCGATAGACGACATTCTTAGGGCATTTGGGATCGCAAGCAGGCCAATTTGACAGCTTAGTCTTCCCATGATGATTGGGATCGAGGTCATGGACGACATATGTCGTGGCAGCTCGTGATAAGATGGATAAGGTCCAATGTAGTTCGGGATTGCCGATGAAGGATGATTAAAGACGATGACGAGCCCCGGAGTAATGCGTGCTGAAGACTGGCGCCACCGTTACGATGGCATCCTCCGTTCTATTCCATGGCGTCTGATCGAATCGATAGCTGTACAATATGTACACAGGCAAAGCCATCTTCTTGGACGCGAACTGCTCTCCTGCACTCGCCGCACCGCGCTTGTACATCCAGCCTTGGTCCGTAAATCGTTCGGATCTTATGTGGTACGAGCATCCTTGGGCAGGGTCGGGCTAGAGCTGCAAAAGCTCTTCGACATCGCGTGCACTCAGACCACCACCGTTCAGACTTTGAACAAACTCGCCGACATCCTCGTGGTATTCAAAGGCCCTCTCGGACCCCAGAAAGAGGCAGCTCCTTCATCTGTATGTGCTCCTGCCAGAATTGCGGCATCTGCGATCAATCCTGTCGCGACACTCATGCGGCGGATGAGATGTGACGATGCCGCAAACGATAGGAGTGTAGGCTTGGGGTTCAAATGCCTTGAAAAGCGTGCCGTATGGAGCTGCACGGAGGCATTGCAGACTATCTTTCGCAGTGTCACATCCAACAGTCTTGGTCACGTGATAGTACTGTGCCTGGGACCTACCTTTGGCTTGGATAGTAACGGCGTCCCGGACACCGGATCCGAGTATCGTCCCACTGTCCATGATAGCGGCTCGAAAGACCTTGTCTTTCCGACTGGTCTTTTTGCCACCCCGGAGATTGTACGAGTTATCACCGTCGAACGCGGTGAGGTGATACTCGACACTAAAAGCGCCAGCGGACTTGCCCCATAAGGTGACCTTGCCATTGTTACCGATCGATGTTGTTTTGCATCCAGGCCATGGCCATTTTCTGTCCTTCAGCACTTTTTTGGAAGCCCGGAAACCCCAACCACCAGCGCGATCATTTTATGGCTACGGCGATGATGGGTTTACCCAATGGAAACAGAGTTCGAGACAACGTATGACATGTTGTATCTTGAATCTGCAATATCGCTAGTTAGCATCAAAACCGCCGCCATACATCCACACCAGAACCGGGAGCTTCTGGTCTTTTGCTTCTGGAATTTTGCTGCGCTTCATTGTATCTGGAACAGTCACGTTCAGGTAGAGACAGTCATCGCTCAGTGGACTAATGCCGAAGTCGAAGCCGACATATCCTGGACAGCTCGGTGGTTGCTTGGTTGCATCACGTGCTCCTCCATATCTTCCGGTGAATGGTTCCGGATGGCGAAGCCTCAAGTCTTTAACTAGAGGCTGCGCAAAAGGAATTCTGAGGTATGCTGACTGGAAGAACTGCTGGAGTGCTTCCCCACATAATGCTCCATTTTGCGAAGTCACAGTTGGAGCATTCTTCGGACACTGATGTTTGTTCCCGGTAGCTGCAAGACCTGCCGACAACGTAGGGATTAATGAAACAACAGTATAGAGCAGCCTTTGAAAGGTATAAGTAAACAAGGCTTAGCTATGTCGTCGAAAGGGGATGATTGGCGGACGATTGGAGCTACTGTTATCAATTGACTGCTGCTATGAGTGAGCGCACCCTTAAGCCAATCCCCGCGCGGAGTAGGTCCCCGCAATGTTCCATTTGATATCGAAACTGAGGTTCGAATGTTTCTCTGTCCAGGTTACCATAAATTCCCGAGCATTAGACCTGCGGAGGTGGCTCCGTCGTTCTCCCGGAGCGCCGTCTCCACATATCCCATAGACCCGTCACCATGGTACCACCCAAGTACACACTCGAAGACCCGGGAAATATGCAGAGGGACAGGGGTAAATCTGGGGTACATACATACCCGTTGTAAACCACGTGCAAAGGTAGACATGGGTTCGTCTGGGAGCCGGAACGACCCTGGGATCGATCAAACCCAACCCCTGCAAAACTTCTAGTAGAGACCTTCGCCATGTCTTTTTCAATTTCGAATTCCACCCCTACTTGACCCTACTATTAACTTCGAGGGTGAGGTTAGGTACCTCAGACGGTGGCAGCCTGTAGTCTGCATACTTCTTCCGGTAGTCTGATTCAAAGTGTCCGCTAAAGGAGATCAGATCAAGGCTTTAATCGGGCAAGGGAGCTGATGATGTTGCTAGAGGTGCTAAATCAGGTCGGTGTCGTTATGGTTTTGCACACTGTGATAATGGGTTGAGGTACGTCAAACGGCGGCATCATGAGTCCAGAATCTTGATGAGTGAGATCTGATCTGAAGTGTCCGTCAAAGGACATCAGAAGGAGGGTTGAAATCGGGCAGTGGAGCTGATGATACTGTTGTTGGTCCTAAATCGGGTCTCATAAGTTTGGGCACATGGATATATCACTGCTCTTGCTCCACTCTTGCTCGCTCGACACCGCTGTAAGGAGTACCCCAGCTGGGTATTAGCTTTGTCAAGAGGTAGTCTAATTTCCACTGCGTTGAGTTTACATTGTATTTAGAGCTTTAAAGCCTATCAGGTACCCCGAACAGTTGCAAGGACTGTGCAAACTTATGCCCGGTCTAATGGAGCATCTGCTTTCGCTCCGCCCAGGCTCGAATCTGCTTACCGTATACATACAACGGCAAAGTTGTAGCCGTGACTCCAACGGTGAGGCCTCCCCATGTGAAGAAGAACACCAGTGCTCCATGGGTTGCTAAGTAGTCGTTGAGCATGAAGGTCAAACCAAATGCAAACGCACTTTTCACAAGCTACTCGACCATTAGCATAACAAGTTTCGCGTACAGTAATAATGCAGCACATACCATAGCAATACCAAATGCCTCTCCTGCCCTGTGCTGGCAAGCATCGTTTGAGTAGGCCACGATGCCGGTGCAGCCTACTCCCACCGCGAAATTGAGGAGGGCTAGGAAGACGGCACAAACGATGTTTGAAAGTTCGTTGTGTATAGCCAATCCAAGACCAAAGGACCCGGCTATCATTACCACGAGGAAGGGGAGCATGATCACGAGCCGAAACTCGGGCTCAAAGACGCCCTTATTCCGGATCGCCATAGCTTGGGAGATGGCATCGCACGCCCAGCCACCGATGAAAGTCCCAAGCGCGGACCCAATCATTGGCGCGATGCCGACCAGGTTACCAACGGCCACCGTCGACATGTTGTAAGGTGGAGCTTGGAAGATCTGATCGGCGACGGCTCCTTGGATGATGACCCATGTGAAAACGACGGACCACATTGCGCTACCCCATATCACGGCCGGGTGACGTAGAATGAGGAGAGGAGTGACACAAAGTTTCAGGACTCGGGACTGGTCCTTGATTTCGAGGTTCTGAAGGCCAAGGGCCCTACGCCATAGAGGAGCTGGCTGGGAAGAAGAGCCGACCTTGTAGTCTACGCCGAGTTCCACGGCTGGTTCTATGTCTTTTGTGTCGTCGGCTAGCTTCAGCTCCTCGATCTGGCCACCATGAATGGCGACTGTTGACGAGTGCGCTTGGTGTCGGTCGAAGGTAGTCTCGGGGAAAAGCAGGACGACAGCTCCCTGGAGGACGCCGAACAAGATGGCAAGTAGCCAGAAACTCCATCTCCAAGAAAGCCTGGTGATGACATATCCACTGATCACTGGTGTGAGGTTGACAGACACCTGAAGGTGTGAGTAGTCACGAATTGTTATCGTAAAGGGCGGAGAAGCTTACGATAACAGCAAAGTTCCATAGACCAACGCGAAGACCTCGCTCGTGAACGAAGAAGACGTCATTAATAGAAGCCGTTCCAGCAAGAGCAAAGAAGCCACCCATCCCAAGCCCTGGCGCACTGTCAGCATGTCTTTCGTACGGTGCGCTTGCTACTTTCCGAGTGCTCACCTTGGAAAATGCGGGATGCAAGCAGAGAACTATACGATTGCGCAGCCGCACCCCAGCAGCAAGTTACAACAAGCATAATGGAAGTAATTAGGTAGATTAGTCGTTTGCCGTAAACTACCGCCAGACAGGAGCAGAGGTAGGAGCTGACCCCTAGGGCCATGACAAGGGATCCGTTAAGAAGGGTCACTTTGGTCAAGCTTTCCAGATGGAAGATGCCCGCGATGACACTGAATCCAGGGACAAGGAGAGGGCCGATTACTCCCGTTGCGCATGCACCAAGGATGATGGTTGCAAAGAGCAGCTCCTTGCGCAGGCGGCTCATGTTCAGCGGGTCCTTGGGCGAATCTGAGGGCTGTGGTACGAGGATAATCCGAGCATTCTCCCTTTGATCGCTTCCATTGTACGATACGGACTCGAGAAGTGTTGTTCCTAAGGGCTGGGCATTTCTTGCGTCTTCAAGGACTCCAAAAGCCATCGTAGCCTCAGAGCGCTGAAGCCTATGGTGGAAGTATTAATTGCGCAAAGCGTGCGAAATTGCTGTAAGATTGACGAAAGAACGGTTGGCCAGGGATGCTTTTCCTGGACGTATAATTGAAGGAATATGAAGATCCATGTGCTCTAAAGCTGGGTCTATATGTACCAGGTCGTGATGGGGGAAAGCGCCCATGCCGACCGGCAACTGATAGGAAAGCCATCTTTTGCTCGCTGTCAGCAGCGGATCTTCCGTTCCACCCTATATCGCGCTGAGATGTGGCAAAGTGTGAAAGTGTGGAAATAAAGTGTGGTGTTGCGGCGGCTCGTTGACTTCCGCCGCTGATAGAACCCCCAGCTTGGCACACTAGTTCCTAGACCGGTTAGCATGCTCTCTCAATCCGTCACCTCGTCTTCTTGGCCGCTCCCGAATTGTTCTGGCTATCTAAAGGCTATTTGACTAGCTTATGACATAGGCGTGAGAAGAGAATGGCAGCGTTATCGGGAGCGGAGTATGCGGCCCGCCACAAGGTTTTATCATAAGGGTGAGTAGTATACGCATCGTGTCTCTTCTGAGATTATCAGACCTATAAATCGCGGTCAAGTTCCGCATAACGCGGCCTCGTTCCGTTTAAATCAATACCCCTAAAAGCTCCAGTCGTCGTAAGACGCCTTAGAGTAAGATCCAGGATTCCGATTCCCTCGCTCCCACAGCTATCCTAATTTCCGGAAGTTTCGGACTATTCTCCATTGCAAAATGGGTGTCGCCGCATTGCCCGACACTGTGCGCGTTGCTGTAACGCAAGCCGAGCCGGTCTGGCTAGGCCTGGAAGGAGCGGTCGAGAAGACATGCAAATTGATCGAAGAGGCCGCGCTGAACGGGGCGGCCTTGGTCACATTTCCGGAGTGTTGGATACCCGGATATCCAGCGTGGATTTGGTAGATACCTCCGGAAATATCTCAAGCAATGCTGATTCAAGTATAGGTCTCGTAGCGTAGATCCTGATCTTTCAGTTCGCTACTTGAAGAGCTCTCTGCAACTGGAGTCGCCACAGATGGATCGCATTCGCGCCTGCGCGGCTAGTAACGATATCACTGTGGCGCTGAGTTTCTCGGAGAACCTCCATAACTCTGCGTACATCGCACAGTCTTTGATAGGGACAGATGGAACAATTCTGTTGCACCGGAGGAAGATAAAGCCCACGCATATGGAGCGGACCGTGTTCGGTGACGGTGCGAAGGGCTCCCTAGACAACGTGGCTAACACCAAGGCCGGACGAGTGGGTATGCTAGCGTGTTGGGAGCACACCCAGCCTCTGCTCAAGTACCATACCTATCTTCAGAGGGAGCTACTTCATGTTGCAGCGTGGCCTCCTCTTTTCGACCACGAGGAGCAACCACAAACCTTCTGGTCGATGTCACGCCAAGGTAGGTCGGAACATATCAGTTGGTGCGATCAATGCTGATATCCACGACTCCAGGGGGCCACAGTCTCTCTCAAACCTACGCCATCGAGTCGCAGAGCTTTGTTCTGCACACGACTGCTATTCTCGGCCAGCGCGGAATTGATGCCATGGGTACTGAGTCCGGGGTTCTATTTAGTAGGCCAGGTGGAGGGAGTTCTGCCGTCTTTGGGCCTGATGGAAGGAAGTTGACGGAGGATCTCCCTGAAAATACAGAAGGGCTTGTTTATGCCGACCTAGAGACCGACGCTGTACTTAGAGCAAAGTCGTTCATTGATGTTTGCGGCCATTACAGTCGGCCCGATCTGCTTTGGTTGGGAGTAGTCGACTACGAAAAAAAGGCAGAAGGGGCGACAGAGACAAGGAGCTAGAGCGTCTGAAGTACTGTAGCATGGATGATTATCTCTGAATGTCTCTTTCATCTCTTTCCATGTGTTGTTGAAGAAGAATTACACCATCTGGTAGAACATCTGTTATCTTCGACCCGCGATGCCTAAGCAGGCCTAGTTTGAACCCCGGGAAGTTTAAAGAGCTAGCGGTGCCCCACTGTAGCCGTGACCACCATCCTGCACACTCGTGTAGAAGAATGAGATCAAGATGGAGCGTCAAGAGGACGCCCATGATGCGAAACGAGTAGCCGTTGCTTGCGAGACCTGTCGAAAGCGTAAGCGTAAAGTTAGTTTGCCCACACTTTCACCTTTTTCTCCTGGAAAGAACCTTTCTGACTTCTTCAGTGTGATGGGGCTAAGCCTGTCTGCTCTACATGTAGTAGCCGTGAGCTTGAATGTCAATACGCTGACCAGAGTGCAAGTCGCAAGTATGGTTCTCCCTACTGAGACGTGTATGTCGCATACTGACACCCTTTTGTGTGGCATCAGGCGCAAGCAATGGAGCCTCGACTACGTTTCGACTCTCGAGGAGACCATATCGACGCTCAAGGGCTACATTAGTGATCTTCAAGAGCATGGAGTGATTGGAGAAACGCCGGCCAACATTAATGGTCTTCTGGTAGCCCATCTCGATAGTGAGAAGACGTCTTCGTTTGATACTGTCAATGCCATGACATCAGCAGAAAACGAAGATCTACATGTCCGGAGCCCTGGTGACAAAGCAATTTCTGAGCGTCGGTTACCGTCTGCGATTGACGAGATGAGCGCGATGATTTGGAAGATGAATATCTGCGAAGATGGCACTTCTACCTTCACGGGCCCCTCCGGAAACTTCTGCTTCGAACCACCCGCAGGAAGGATGTTGCCCGTCGTCCAGTCGAGAGTCCATCCGTCAAAGAGCGCAGCTAGGACTGACTATCTCCAAGATCATAGCTTGAAGGAAGAGCTGATCTCGCTTTTTATGACTAAAGTGAATTCGTATCACCAGTTTGTCAACCCGTTTTTAAAGTCAGCGGAAGAGACAAATGGGCCTGATCTCCATCTCCTTCGAATTTCAATGTGCACAGCTGGTTCATCTTATTCGCAACGTCCCGATGCCTCGGCGGTAGGTCAGGCGTTCGCTGAAAATGCTGAAAATATTGCGCTTACCTGCTGCCGTACTCTTCCATCTCTTTCAACAGTTCAAGCTCTCAGCATTCTTTGCTGGTACGAACTGGGTCAAGATCATGACAACATGGCTTGGGTCTATAATAGCACTGCGTCAGCTGTAGCTCTTCATCTTGGACTCCATGTCATCGGCTTCGAAAGACTGGCCGGTGGAGTATCCAGCAACGCAGCTGATCAACACGAGAGGATCCGGACTTTCTGGAGCTTGTCTCTAATGGATCGTATTGCAACATCAACGCTGGGTAGACAATGCGTCATGCCTTGGCGGCGAACGAGAGTTCCGTCATTACTAGATATACTGGACCATAGCGCTGGACCAGATGAAATCGCATTTGGCCACCAGTGTAAACTATGGTTTCTGCACGATCAGTTCATGGACCAGATGTAAGTTTATCCTTTCTTCTCAATGACTGACCTGACTTTCCGCCGTCCAGCTACGCCTTTGATTTCGACGAGCTGAACTTTGAAATCCGGAATAAGATTCTCGTACACGCTCGCGAGAATCTTTTCAACTTCCATCAAGGGATCGACGAACGGCTACACGAGATGTCCACTCACCACAGCATAGTCTTCTTCAAAATGTCGTATCAAACATCTCTCCTCTTGATCCATCGCCCATACATGCGAGAAGATCCTGGAAGCTCGTCCTACCGACTCGCTCTTCGTTCGATGACAGCTGCCGCGGCGCAAATGACGCGCTTGATTCGCATGTTTCGCAAGACTGGAAATTTTGTCGATGCTCCGCCGTTTGTCATTCATCACATCTTGACAGCTTCCATCATGCATCTGCTCAACGCGACTACATTGGAACCGAGCATCCGTCAACAGTCGATCGGGCGATTCAGAGTTTGTGTCGATGCGCTAGAGGAGATGCAGCCGATGTGGCAACACGCACGGAGGGCTGTGCGACTATTACAAGGGCTCGCGCAGCGATGGGCTGTCGTGTTTGCATTGCCTATACGGTTGAGCAATCCCCTAAGCTCCATCGATCAAGAGACGTTGGAATCGGTATCACTGGTTGCATTGCCAGAGCTCGCGCAAGTCGATGAGCATACCACAGCCAGTCACCATAGCAATCAGAGCACCTCTTTTGACGCCAGAGGGGACGCTGTTGGCGATGATTGGTCGTTCGCGTTGTCGGACGGGCAATTCGACCAGAACGCGTCTATTGATATCAACGCGTTGTGGGATTTCAGCGAGTATCCCGACCTGTCACAGGCTCCGGGGTTTGAGTGGATGGGTGGTAGTTAGTCTTTTGTGAATGACGCGTGAAACGCGTATGATTGATGATATGTTGGTGTTGAGGGTTTGGCAGGTTCGCCGAACCAGGAAGGTCAGGTGGCGGCGTGGCGCAGCATTTTTTTCCCCTTTCTCGATTGTGGCTGGTGCGGCACAGAGCGGGGTCGTCCCGACCTTGTTCCGAAGTCAGGTTCTCTCGATAACCTTACACCTTCATATTAAAGATCTTTAAACCTCAGGGGTATTGTTCAATTACTTTCGCCGAGCATCTTCGCAACTGAACAATCTTTGCTGACCCTTGTATCTAGACCGAATTAATACCAGATCTTCGACTTGTCACCCCATCCCGTTGAAAATATGTCTGGCCAGTCTCAATTGGAAAGCAGATTACTTCTTGCGCCATACGACATCCGTCGTGCGATCTATGTTCACCTCATTCCAGATCGAGTCCATGTGGTCCTTCGAGAAGGCAAGATTCATATCTCAGCGTGCGTGCAACAAACCCCAGGATTCGACTATGATGGCTTGGAGCGTCAAGTCCCCGGGGATGATCGAGATGAACCTGTTTATGCGCGTCGCTTACGATCATGGTGGGGTCCGCACTGGAAATGCGAGGAGGTAGCGGCAAGCGTAGAACACAACTACGAGGCCGTTTTCCATGTATGCAAGAGAATGTAGGCAAATGATTCCCTTCACGCGCCGTTGCTGACCTCGCTCGCAACTTTTAAAGGTCCATTGATGTCTTTGACTTCATGGCCGAAATGACAGTCTTCAACATCACCGACCTTGATACTCTTAGCTACACGCTTCAGGAAGTTAACGCCTCTGCCTCTGAGCCGTCTCCTGCGTCCATGCTCCTAGCCTGTCTCTTTCCAAGCATTAGAAAAATGGACATTACATTGAGGCTTCCTCTATCAGTCTGCGAGGCACCGAAATCCCCAGCTATCGAATCCAGCTCTGCATCCCTGTCAGCAGAGGCACCGACCTCTAACGCGACGGCCTAGTCTGCTGCGTGGCTGCGACTATGCCCAGCCATCACCCATCTGAAGGGCCTACGCAATCTCGAGATCTTGCTAGACCACGGCCAACCTTCGTCCTGGTCCATCGCCAACGAGCGTGCTATCCTCTCTCCCCTCACGCCACTCGCCACTTGTTCCCGATTTGACTATCTCCGTCAACCTCCCTAAACTACACCCCAAATACGAAAGTCCGGATCGTCACTTTACTGAGGACAGCCCCGCACCACCATTTAAGATACACCGAAGGCTGAGGCAGCGGTACCATTGCGTTCAAGGTGTGAGTATGAGCTACGAAGCCGATTTTCCTTCCCCGTATGTTCATTCCCGAATTGAAGACGCTCGCCTCACAGAGCTAGAGGAATTCGAACAGGATATGTGGACGAAGGCTTGGATCTACGCGCAGAGTGGGCGTTTTGTGGTAGCTTAGATCCTACGTCAGCCAATGGCATACAAAAGAGTGAGTAGGTACAGTCTATATGTATAGACTTAGTTTCATCATTTAGAAAGCGCAACAGCTAACATCAATGATGCAATTTAGATATGTGGTGCCGAGAGTCGTTTCAGTGCGACCTACGATCCAGATTTCCCCTTCTTATGCGACATTGCCGGCCTGCTTCATATTCCCAGGGCAGAGCTAGAGAACAAGGAACGAACGATGTGGAAGGGAGGCCATGGGCACTTTGTAGTTGAGATATGTAACGACGAGCCTACTTTTTGCTCTGGGTAGAGCGCGAAGGCTGACCTTTATTATCGCGCGATGTAGAGTTACCATGGCGTTCCACAAGATCTCAGCAAGGGCTATCTCTGTATATCCTTCCAGCCGGATTTCCCCATCTTATTTGAAGGCCATCCTGCTTGAGAAGATACATCGCAGCCGGAGCTAGAGGAGACGGAACGAGCTGGGTGGAAGAACGGTATGAACATGTATGAGGCTCTCCAAGGCGACATCTGTCATCACCCGGCGCCCGACACATACCTATGCGACGGTGTGTGTCAGAGGGAAAATATATCCGACTACCTCGTACTCAACTGTAGAGAGCGGGACTAGAGGAGAGAAATTGTCTTGATTTGGGTACTTCATTCACTTCGCGACAGAAAGCTGTTCAGCGGCGGGGTGTAGTTTTGCTATGGATAGGGCGAGAAGGCTGACTTCTACCATCATGCAATTTAGGGATATTTTGGCAAACCGCAAGGTAATAGCAACAGTCCTTAACGTGTACCCTTCCAACTAGATTTCCTTATCTTGTTAGAAACTCATCCCGAATCTGATGATACTCCTCGGCTGGAGCTAGAGGAGATGGAGCGGTCTTGGTGGAAGAGAGGTATCAATGTGTACGAATTTCTCGCACTCGATATGTGTCATCACCCGACGCCCGACTCGTCCTCTGCGGCGAAATGTGTCAGGCTGTTCCCATTTGAGTCATTTATTTGATTGCCATTTTCGAAGAGAGCGGGAAAGCAGAGCGAACTTATCTTGCTTTGAGTACTGTTGTTCAGTTGGCTAAGAAAGGGGAGAATTGTCTTTGTCTTGCACGCATTCGGAATCAGCCCGGCAACGTCCATGTCTTGATATTCGGAAGCTAGATTCTTCGTTAGACCCTCATCAATCAATGAGCAGTGCTCTCCTTTCGTATCTTTCTCGGCGTTGCTATAAGGACCTCTCTGACTGGCGAAGAAGACGTCATATTTTCAGCGCAGTGATTGGATACGTGGATTTCATCTAGTGTCACTTGAATAGACTTCATAATAAGAATATTCCTGCTTTTGGCCCGTTGCAGACTAGAGGCCGTTGCTCCCGCGGAGCATCCGGATGCTACGGAGGGCGATCATACGCTGCAACGATCAATCCGGCAGATTGGGTGTTACGACTTGCGATGATCTTGAGGCTAATCGCCACATCGCAACTGAACTACCCGGGCTACCTGGTCCGACCGCTGAATGCTCCGCGGCGCTACAATGGCGAACATGTCTACGTGGACGAGTTTCCAAGGGGCTGGAAGTGTCAGATGTGACAACCGTTTTCTCGGGGCGAAGCTATACATACACTCTTCTACTAGAAAAAGATGAGGCGAGGACTTCGGTCCGTGCTCAATTTCTTAACATGGGGTGCATAATACCTTTATCCCTGATACCTTTTATCGAATCTGTCTTCTTCAGTTGCCTTCGCCTCAGGATGGAGCCGCTGTGAGCCGTTACTATGTACGGATCGCGCATTAACCACGTGATATCAAGATTGTGCCACGGTTGACCCCAGAGGCGCGGAGCCGTAGAAGGCCCTTTGCGATCACTGCAATCGGGAATTGACCCGAAATAGGTCCTGATTCGGGCGAAACTAACTAACAACACAGCGATTTTTGTTTCTCGGAGATGACCAGAGCAGGATGTCCTTCTATCAAAATTAGTGGGGCTCAGCTTTGGACGTGCGAGATGAGAAGCTTCTCTAGGTATCTATGGTGATGTGGCGTCTCCATGCCGCGTCCCGCGTCCCGACGCGCCGTCCGAAATCCTGATCGATGTGGCTGCAGGGTCTTCTTTGAGCGATCAAGACGTCCGCATTCCGAACTCATCCTTACATTACTTCTTCTGACTTCTACTCTATGTCCTTATACACTCAGAATCTAGATGAAAGCCGTTATTGCACTAACAGCGCTTGCGAACCTCGCGCGTGTCACACGCGTACCATTACTCGTGGGCAAGAACATGGGGTATGTCTACTTTTTTCGCTGTCTCACTTGTCTCCCGAGGTCTCTTCATCGCTTCAAGCACTGTGATTACCTCTTGTGCTTATTGGGACCTATTATAGGCCGTCAGCAGCGCACTAAGCATGCAGGTCAGCTTCACGATATACGTTTTGGTGCGGATACGGAATAGAGACGGTGCCGCGTCAACAGAAGCAAGCCCAATATCATCAAATGACGGAGGTGGCCCTGATATGAATGCAACGGGCGCCTGTCTAACTGCTTCGGCTGGCACCTGCAGCCACGCTTATTCAGTCCGCAATGGCCAGTTATCAAGACCCCTGGTACGGCGCCCAATGCCCATTCTGCTTTCACCCGGGCTGCTGAGCACCACATTTCCCACGCGATTGACCATGTGCACCTGCGACTCAGATTGATCCTCGTCAGGTTGCCCTGGAAGCTGATCGCTTCTATTCTGCAGATCTCTGGGATCTGGAACTCTCACCGACTCTCTAAGTCGTTGCCACAACAAGTACCGAAGAACATGGTCCCAGCTTCGGTCCGGCTCCTCCCACGTTCCAAGCCCGCTACTTGCCGACCCGACCCCCTAGTTTCAGCCATGTGCGCGCTATCCACATCCCAAATTCATCATCATGAATCGAGGAATTGGGGACATTGCCATTCCGCGACTTTCAACGGCCCGTATCAAGCCCCTCCGTTATTTTGTGGCGGCACAAAATCCACCATGTAGTGGATCGAAGCGTGCGGACAGAACGCGTCCGTCCATGTACTGTACAGAGTAGAAAACAAGCATTACCAGCAAGTCTTGAAAGCAGTATTTAGGCATTCTCCTTACTCGTTCAATCTGGGGATTTATCACACACACAGCGAATAGAAGTGCCGCGGTTCCTTTTAATGTAACCGTGGCACATTAGCTCCCCACGGCGCCCTCGGGACGTTAAACTTGACGGGGATGATCCCTCAACCCACTGCCAGGTTCTGGGCCGTTGGCTGGGCTTATTTAGGAAAAGCAACTTGATAAGAGCAGGCATGTCCATGGACTGTGCTTCTGTCACAGAGACTAGTGGAGTCCACTACCCTCTACCGAGGCCCCTAGTCGAGGACGAGGCCTGCAGCGATAGCAGGAAACCTCCACACATTACTTTTTCAAGCCAACAGCGTCTGACAGCGGCATATTTCTGCTAGGTACGCTTATTCCAGCATCGCTGCTGATCCCCCGGCATGGGCACGTATATGGCCGAACGACGCTGCACTCGGGTTGCAAGGCATCTCAAAAGTGACCATTTATCTGTCTCCTGTCTGTCAACAGTCTTTTGATTCATCTCAATCCTTCCTAGCCTTAAAGCCATCCATCATGAGCAGCTTTAGTTCCAGCACGTCGAGTACGTTCACGGATCCAATGCTGCCCCAGGGGATGAAGCATGTCGAGCGCAAAGACCTATACACCTCTCTTCCAAAACGTTTACACTATCTTCAAAGCTTCATTGAATGGGGTCAAGGTAAGCTCAGTCCTTTCTCTAACCTCTCTTATTGCGTAAATACGCAACTTGTCGTCAAAATTTGCCATCCTAACTCTTCTCTCAGCCGACATCGACGCGCTCCGCGGAGCTCAAGCGTTCGTCAAGTCTTTGATACCAACAGTATGCGAAAAAGTATACAACAAGATTCTAGAACACGACATCACAGCGCAAGCCTTCCACAACCAAAGCACGAAGGGCGCAAACGACTTAGACGTGGACGACTATATTAGGAAAGAGAGCCCCGCGATCATGAATCGGCGGATGGTATGTTCCTAGACCAAGCATAGAATATATAATCGGCAGTGCTAACTATGTAATTAGTTCCTAAGGTGGTACCTCACAAAGCTCAACCAAGACCCCTCGAAGCCAGAGTACTGGGAGTACCTCAACAAAGTCGGGTAGGTGCCTTCCTTTGGTGCAACACCCCCTCCCCTTCCCTCTGAGACTCAACGTCCACATTCTCCGCTCCATAATATACTTCCTACTCCATAAAAGCCGACCTAACTCTTTTAGCGCAATGCACACCGGCCTCTTTCGCCGACAACCCCTAACCGTCGACATCATCCACATCAGCATGATGATCGGCCATGTCCAAAACACCCTTAACGCCGCCGTCATCTCCGCCCCCGAGATCCCGACCGACTCGAAAGTCAAGATCGTTACCGCCTTTGGTAAGCTGCTCTGGATCCAAAACGACCTCTTCTCAAAGTGGTTCGTCAAGGATGGCGAAGAGTTTGGCGAGAGCAACACGAAGCTACAATACGAAGCGGCGATAAAGGGGGGCAAAGCGGATGACTTTGTGGGGTTTGGAGGGGAGAGGACGTACTGCCCGTTTAGTGGGGTGGCGCGGACGTTGAAGAATCAGGTGGACGGGCAGCCAGGATATGCCTATGCAGTTGGTAGCGGGAGCGGTGCTAGGAGTATGAGGTATGCGTGATCACAGGGAGGTGGTGTGGAGCGGAGGTTTCAGTGAATTTCATTGGCGTTTGGAGTGATGGATTTCGAGCGACGCACTACGGTGCTGGGAGGGGATAGGACGGGTCACAGGGAGGTCACGAAAATGGTCACGTAAGTGCTTGGAAGGAGTTGTCTATTTTCAACGCATCGGTCTTTGCTTAATGGTGGAGAAAGGAAGAGGAACCGTGCTTTAGGTCCCCACTGCGTCACCTTATCAGTCGACGCCGGATTATCAGATCCGCTATTTCGAATCAACATTTAGCCAATCGCATTTCAATTCTCAGAGTGAAGGAAAGACTCACACATTCCCCTTCTCACCCCTCTTCATCCCATCCTCCTTCCCTCCCGCGCTCTCCCCCACCCGACCCCCCCAAACCCTCCTCGCCACCCCCCTCATCCATTGATACTCCCGGACCCGCCCCTCCGCATTCCCCTGCAACTCCACCACCACCAACACCACCGCCAGCATATGCGGTCCATGCTTCACATACCTCCCCACCTCCAAAAACATCCCGTACCCCCTCTCCACTGCCCTCCCCGCAAGCCCCTCCAGCACCGTCTGCGCATCCTCCATCAGATCCCGGCCGGGGAACTTAATCATCTCCTCCACCAGCTCCGCAACCACCTTCCTGAGACTCCTCCCCGCCGGCGTGCGCCGGAACATATCGACCGCGATGCCCACGAGATCGGGCGTCGCGTAGAGTGGGAGCGAGGTGTCTGGGCTCCGGGCCATGAGGAATTTCAGCGCTTGTTCCGGGCTGGTGGGCGCGGTGTCGCGCGCGAGGTAGCGCGAGACGAGGAGGGAGTGGGCGGCGCGGCGGAGGGCGTTGCTGCGGGCTGCCTCGGCCTTCAAGTTCTTTAACGCGTGCGGGGGGAGGGTTTGCAGGTCTGAGGGGTCTTGCGAGAGCCATTTTTTGGCCGTGGCCGAGGAGACGCGGTGGAAGGATGCGGTGAATTTCACTAGTGATTCGAGAACGCCATCGTCCGAGGGTAGGGGCAGTTTGGGAAGGAGGGGCGCGAGATCTCGCGCGTGGTGCTTGTAGGCGGAGCTCCAGGGGCTGGTTTGTTGGTGGGTGTCCGGGCCGAGGAAGGTGATAGCTTCGAGGAAGGTTTGGATTCGGGGGGAGGACATTGTGGTGGTGGGAAATTGAGGGACAGGGGTATGAGGGTGGAGATGTTGCTGTGGACATTTTATATTGCGGTGAGGGCGTTTTACAAAGCGGATGTATTGTTCAAGTGAATTTTAGAGCGTGAGATTTACAAAGACATTACAGGTTCTACTCTGCGACGAAGCATTGTGTTGCACAAGGAAAGACGAGGACGTTGATCTACTCAGCCCATCAACTACGAGTCGGCTCGTACGCGGTCGCCACCATTCCCTTACTCCGAAGTGGAAGCAATCCAGCGCTGTCTTCGTTGAATTTCTGATAGCCAGCCGTTTGGGATCTCGTTTGGCCGAAAGTATACGCGTCTAGTAGCATCATGGCCCATGCGAGTAGTCTACCGTAGCATGTCAGCATAAAGTTTCTTTGCCTTCGCTGGGAGGACTCATAAATACCCTGATACATGTGCGGTGAAGAACGCGACTTTATACGCAATGCATCCCATGCCAGAATCGCACTTCCCGACAAGGCCCAGAGCGAAGGAGAACGCCGCCACGCCCGCAACGCCCGCAATGTAGAGGAACGTGAGACAAAAGTTGAGCACGAGGCCGAACGGTGGATAGAGCTTCTTGAATGCATGAAGAGCGAATAGGACGATGGCTGAAAGAAGGCTGAGATGGGCGGTGCCGTGGAGCTGGGCGTGGGATGTTAGAACATGCTTATTTGCCTCTACCTAGACAACCGGGGAGTACTAGAGACGCGGATACTCACCAGTTTGAAGTACCAAGGCGCATGCCATTCATTCGGGTTCTTGGTCTTCTCTACCAACCCCAGATCATCCTTTAATACGACAGTCTTAGCGATGTCCGCCCATGCGACGTAGAAGAAGACTACTATGATGCCGGATGCGACTATCTGTAATATGCAAAGGATTTGGAAGAGGGGAGAAGGGTAGCGTGCCATGGTAGCTTTCTATGGTGCTTGAGAAAGGGACAAAGGCTGAGAATGGGCGTTAAGGGAATGCAATTCTGCTGGTGGTCGTGGAGAACGGCGAGCGCCATCGCTACGGCGACTCTTATAGTTATGTTGCTAGTAGAAGCTTGAGAGGCTGTAAAGGTCGGTTGGGTTAGAGACACAAATAGAGTATGTCTTATTCAGCTGCTGTGGCTAGTGTTGAGCTAAACAAGCGTACGGCTGAGAGACGTGCTAGTTATCCAGTCATTCTGCAGCTTCAGGTGCCAGGAGGGGCGCCACAGTAATCTAGAACTTTAACTCGACATCGAATATGGAAATGTATCGCGAGGAAAAAAAGCTAGCTTGTGCCTCGCCTCGGCTTGCTTCGTAGATGTATTCCAATGAGGACAGTGGACTTTCATTGATTGCTCAGGGTAGCCAGCAAGCTGTAATATCATAAGATAGACTTGGTAACAGAGGTTAGTTGTTGATAATGCTTGAATAACCCAAACGGAAGCGGGATGTAGATGGTTGAGGAAAGGGTGTGGTCGTGGGCTCAGCTGAGTAATTCATACCGCTGATTGGCTGGAATCTTGGTCCTGTTTTCTCCCTTTCGGGTAACTCATCAGCCTCCATTTCAGCTTCACATCTTCATTCTGTTATCGACTCAGCCCAACGACGCTACTGCCATGAGCTTTCTTCACGAATACCATCGGGGAGGGCTCAGACGGACTGCCCCATAGTCTTAGCACATCGTTCCTAAGACCCATCTAATGCTCTGACCTTTCAGCACCTCCACACTTCAAGCAATAGTGTTCGCTCAACGCCTTCGCATGCAAACAATGATCAAAGTCGCAACAAATGATCACCTTGAACAAGAAAATCACTATAATGTCCATCCCTGCGTGCCGAGAAACCTACCGTGCCGAGAAATATAAGGGGGACTTTGACTTTAAGTAACTCACACCTCGTGCACACGTCAGTATCTGCAATAGTTCTATATGAGTCGTATAAATTACTATGGCTATTCCTAAACATCCAGTACTACTCACACGCAAATGCATGCAAGGACGCCACGCAGGCTGGTACCTCCAATAGAAGCGATCACCAATCCGGGCTAGTGGAAAACAAACACTGCCTTATATAATCAATCATCAGGGTGTAATTTACTTAAAGTGGCTGTTAAGCCTGTGGCTGTGCAGTGTCTTGGCAAGCGGGCCAACCCGCAGCCTTGCAATACATCTTGGCTATGCCTCCAGTCAACCAACTGAACTATCTAAGGACACCTACAGAATCGCCACATCACGTATATATGTATGTATATATGCATGTATGTTCTATTATGGCCATCCACCTGTAGGGTATAGGCCGTTACTATGCGCTAACTAGAGTAGACTGGCGCGAATTATACTGGCTCCAATTCAGTAGCCAACTACAAGAGCTGTTTCTCTTTCAATTGACTCTGTGATCAACATACGAAATAAAGAGAAAGTATACAAACCTCGGAGAGAAGGAGAGTGAGAATGTGTCGAAATCCCGTCCTGTAAACTGCCTATATCCGCCCGTACCCTTGAAAAGTGCCTTCCCAGCCACTATTGCCGACAATTGCAATAGCTGCTTCCCTCGATAGCAGTTTACCAAGTCGTATTGTTCTTAAACGGCCCAATGCTGATAAGTAGGTTGAGAGGGCGGCGGCGATTGCGAATTAAGGCGAGATAAAATCGAAGGTTCGACGACGGATACTCGGTTACCCGTGCTGCTGAATCGCAAGAATCCTGTCCCTCTCTTTTCTGTACGCTGGGCACTCCCGTTGCGAGGCTCAGTGAGGCCTTGACAGTTTATGCAGCGCAGGTTTACTATCTCGCATTGAAGGTGACCCTCCTGGCCACACATATCGCATGTGTCGGGCCGCTTGCAGTCTCTAGCTCTGTGTCCGTACCTCCTACATTTAAAACATGCCACCGGGGTACGTCGCTCTTTAAATGCTGACATGATAACCGCGCCTCCTCCAAACAAAACAATGTCCGAGCCTAGTAGCTTCTCCGCATCCTCCTTTGTCGCCACCTTAATAACCACAGACGCATGCTGCCCGCTTGGCCTAGGCCTCCCGAGCCATCTCATCGTGCACACTTCTACTCCGTTCTCTTCACCGAAGCGCTCCATGGTTGACTTGCTCACTTTGCCACTGTCTATGTCCATCGCCAGCGATACTTCGATCCAGTCCGCTTTAACAGCATGCCATTTTGGGCCGATAAGCCTCGCCCCGGGGATGCGTGATTCCAGCAACTGCGTGGCTGTCTGCCTAAATGCGGCTTCCTTGTCCTTCTCCACTGAGAATTTAATAACCGTTGTTTTGTTGTCTGTGTGCCACATGCGGAAGTCCTTAACCGTGGCTCCGGAGAGCCTATCGATATCCCTTATGCCATGTAAGATGGTTTGCTTCGCGACCTCGGTGGTCAATATCTTCTCTGCCGCTTCGCCCTCGACCCGACTAACGTCAATCACCAGTTGGTGGCTGGGTTCCTTGTTTGGCTTCTCGGCGTTCGTTGCTTGTGAGAGACTTGTCCCCGATTCTATCGCGCTTCAACTGGCCGCTACTAACGCCCATAATCCTGTTAATGGGAGCGATACTGAGAAAGTGTTAAGCTGCGCTTGGAGGGAGCGGATCTCCTCCTGGAGTTCGGCGTTTTGGTTCTTGAGGCTTTGCTATTCTGATTTGATCTCTGCGAGGTCGGCTCTGAAGCTATCGAGAACGCGGTTCTGATTCGTAATGATGCTGATCTGCTGTGTGATGGTTTCCTTCAGGGTCGCGATGAGCGACGCAACTTCTTCCCGGTTCGTGTCTCTCCCTACACGTTCAGGAGAAACGGTAGCGCTTGCGGATGGCTCATTCTGTGTTGATCTAGACGCAATTGTTCGTGTTCTCAATGACTGCTGGGCTTCAAGGACCTTTGCGCTTGGTTTTCTTGTGCGGCCTTTTGCTGGTGCTGGCTGAATCGGAGGTGGTGTTGTGGGTACGCGTCTGGCTGCCATCGGAGCTCCGGGATTCGCGGCGGTTGGCCACAAGGGCCGCCTTGCAGCGGGAGCTGACTAAACGAGTGACTAGAATGCAGGGAGCTAGTGATATAGGAGGCAAATCGTACAGTCCGGCGACTTGTATCACTGTATAGAAAATATCACTAAATCCCTATATCACTATAAGTAGGTTTTATTGTACTGTATACGATGGCGCCAGAGTGGAAGGCAAGCATCGGCCCGCCCCACTGGCTCGCAAGCACGGACGATTGCCTGGAACATCCGGCGACGAGGCTTGGTACTCCGTGGTCGAATGCAATTAGATAATAACAGCCCCAAGCAGTTCACGTGATAGTTATGAGATTCTGATCAACTGCTTACTGATGCCCCAGGCTGAGGATTCGAGCGAAACAACAATAGCGACGCAATAATCATACTCTCTAGTAATCATACTCTCTAGGTGACATCTAGCTTCTACCAGAACTACGACCAACGAATTAATCCAAACAGAGAATGAGCAACACCGTGGACAATGCAGCGCGAAGACCACTACGGCTCCTCGCTCTTGGTGAGTAGACGTAATCGAGCAAGAATCGGCCAAGCTTACCACGTTTAGATGGCGGCGGTGTGCGCGGCCTGTCCGAGCTTCTAATCCTTCAAGAGGTCATGAGAAGGATCCAACACGCAAAGAAGCTAGACGAAGAACCTCTCCCGTGCGAATACTTCGACCTCATCGGTGGCACAAGTACTGGAGGCCTCATTGCCCTTCTTCTAGGGCGACTAAAGCTTTCGGCGGAAAGCGCCAAGAATGCGTACCTCGAGCTCGCGGGCACTGTCTTCTCAAAAAAGCAATGGAAATTGATAGATGGTGGTGCATTCAAGGCCTCAAGTCTTAAAGAAGCTATTCGGCAGGAGGTTGAGCAAGCTCTTGGGCAAGGCTCAAAGGACGCTCGGATGATAGATCCAGAAGACAAAGATCCGAATTGCAAAGCGTAAGGCACCCAAGGATTACTTTGGGATTTGCTAATCGTTTTAAGCTTCGTTTGCGCGGTCGCAGCGGCAGACACTGCGGCCGCAGTCGGACCAACACTATTCCGAACCTACCGGGTCGCTCGAAACCGTAGCGACGATTGCATGATATGGGAGGCGGGTCGTGCAACTAGCGCCGCACCCACATTCTTTAAGCACATAAAAATTGGCAGCAAAGGTGCTGAGGTAGCTTATCTAGACGCCGGTCTAGGGTACAACAATCCCACCAATCAAGTTTTGAAAGAAGCTTGGGATATCTTCGGAGAAAGGCAACTCGGCTGTATTGTCAGTCTCGGGACTGGAGAAACTGATGCTCAAGATTACAGTGAGCCGGGCTGGATTGAGAAGGTTGTGCCTGTGAAATTGGTCGAGAGCTTGAAAAAGATTGCTACAGATACAGCTCAGGTTGCAGAGGAATGCGAGAGAAAGTTCCAAGGTCACCCTAATGTCTACTTTCGGCTAAACGTTCGCCGTGCCATCGGTCGCATGGCTCTTGATGAGTGGAAAAAGCTGGCAAATATCTCTGTTCTCACAGGAAACTACTTGAAAGAAGAGGTGGTCAGCCGCGACGTTGATCGATTGGTCCAAGTCCTTATTGGAGAGACTCCGGAGTCCCCGGTTTCTTTGGAAGCTGCTGGTATGCACACGACGTAGCAAACGTATGTAATGAAGCTAACAACGCAAGCTGGAATCATAAGCTTACTAGTCTCGAAAAAAGTTCTTTGTAAAGTGCCATTTGAACGGAATCCCCGCTTCACGGGCCGCGAAGTCCAGCTTGCTCAGCTAGAAAAACTGCTGTGCGCACAAGGTCGCTCCAAAGACCATACCGCAAAGGTAGCCATCATCGGACTTGGTGGTGTGGGGAAGACGCAGCTTGTGCTTGAGTTACTCTTCCGAACTAAGAGCAGGCACCCCGACTGCTCCATTATTTGGATACCGGCAACTAACAAGGAAAGCCTCTATCAAGCATACCTTGACGTTGCACGGGAGCTCGGAGTGCCTGGCTGGGAAGAGGTGAAGGCGGATGTGAAGAAACTGGTGCAAAGCTATCTAAGCAAAGAAAGCGCAGGCCAGTGGCTACTTGTGTTTGACAACGCCGATGACATGGATATGTGGATCGCCAAGCCCGGACCTGAGCAGGGATCGAGCGGTCTGATCAACTACCTCCCAAAGAGCAAGCAAGGGTGCATCGTCTATACAACGCGCGATAGAAAGGTGGCGGTCGAGCTCGTCGCCCAGCAGAGTATCGTAGAAGTGCCCGAGATGGACGAAGAAATGGCTACGCAGCTGCTACGGAAATCCCTAGTTAATTCGAATCTCCTTAACAACAAGCAGGATACCCAAGCTTTACTTATAGAGCTTACACATCTCCCGTTAGCTATCGTTCAGGCGGCGGCATACATCAACAAGAACGGGATACTCTTAGCGGCGTACCTTTCGCTTCTGAAAGAGCAAGAGAAGGATGTCATCGAGCTACTAAGCGAGGAATTTGAGGATGATGGGAGATATCGCAATATTAAGAACCCAGTGGCTACGACGTGGCTAATCTCATTCGCCCAGATCCGGCAGCGTGATCCTCTGGCAGCAGACTACCTGTCGTTCATGTCCTGTGTGGATCCAAGGAAAATTCCGCAGTCTCTTCTTCCGCCCGGGCTATCGCCGAAGAAGGAGATTGATGCGATTGGAACGCTCAGCGCTTATTCTTTTGTTAGTAAACGGCCAGACGGAGCTCTCGACCTCCATCGGCTGGTCCATTTGGCAACGCGCAACTGGCTTCGAAAGGAAGGCCAGCTTACTCAGTCAACGGTGAGAGTAATCGAACGATTTGAGGAGATATTCCCAAACAACAACTACAAAAACAGGAGCATCTGGACAGTATACGTGCCACACGTACGATATGCACTTGAATCCGATCTCGTCGATAGAGATTGGAAGAAGAGGATGGATCTCATGTGGAGATATGGTATGTGCCTCTACGAAGACGGACGATGGAATGAAGCCGAGGTTCCAATTAGTCAAGTTCTTGAGACGAGTTCGAGGGTGCTTGGCGAGGAGCATCCAGACACGCTAACCAGCATGGCCAACCTGGCGTCGACGTACAGGAATCAAGGGCGGTGGAAGGAGGCCGAAGAGCTGTTTGTGCAAGTGATGGAGACGAGAATAAGAGTGCTTGGGGACGAGCATCCTTCCACACTGACCAGCATGGCCAACCTGGCGTCGACGTACAGGAATCAAGGGCGGTGGAAGGAGGCCGAAGAGCTGGACGTACAAGTGATGGAGACGAGTTCAAGGGTGCTTGGCGAGGAGCATCCAGACACGCTGACCAGCATAGCCAACCTGGCGTCGACGTTTTGGAATCAAGGGCGGTGGAAGGAGGCCGAAGAGCTGGACGTACAAGTGATGGAGACGAGTTCAAGGGTGCTTGGCGAGGAGCATCCAGACACGCTGACCAGCATAGCCAACCTGGCGTCGACGTTTTGGAATCAAGGGCGGTGGAAGGAGGCCGAAGAGCTGGACGTGCAAGTGATGGAGACAAGTTCGAGGGTGCTTGGCGAGGAGCATCCTTCCACGCTGACCAGCATGAACAATCTTGCATTCACGTTAAAGGGCCAATGTAGCAACGCGGACGCTATTTCACTTATGGAAAAATGCTTCCAACTACGCAAACAAGTCCTAGGTCCTCATCATCCACACACAACATCATCACTAGAAACTATGAACAGGTGGCGGCTGGAGAACATGGAGATTGGCATTTGACAGAACTTCATCCGTCGTGCGCTTATAACCATGCTAGATGTTGCCTAGAAGAAACCATTTTCTGTACAGAGCTAGGAGGGCATTTTCCTTTTTCAAAATTGGTATTAAAGCAGCAGACAGAAGGTAGTGCAAATGCGAAGGGGTCCACGTGCGGAGCACGCTTATGAATGATATTACAAAGGGGCTACCTGAGCGGGCTGCCGGCGCTCCCTGCAAGCGTCTCTGTTAGTGCTTACAATCGCCACATCGCCACATGAAAACAGTGCTTATTTAGTAACTAATATTTCGTTAGGCCGCCATCAGCAGCAATTACAGCAAGGCAACGCTCCCTTATATTGCCCGTATACTTTTCAAATTCTTCGGGCTCAAGCTTCTCCCATTCCTCCTCAGCGTACTGCCGTACTTCCTCCTTTGTTGTAGGAAACCGGCGTTGTATTCTCCCCTTTAACAGCCGCCAAACGTTCTTAATTAGATTCAAATCAGGGGAATTCGCCTGCTATTCCATTACAAGCATGCCGTTCTGCTCCCAGGCCAGGCGCGTCGCTTTTGCTAAGTGAATTGAGGCATTATCCTCTACAAGAATAGGCTGGTGTTGTAGTATATGCTATAATTCCTATATAAAAGTCTTGATATTGGGGCATATGTAGGTATAGTAAACGTCGCCGTTTATTATCTTTCTTTTATATCCCAGCTTAATTAACCAGTCCTTTTCAAAAACAACTAAAGGCCCCTTATTCCCATAGGAGATGCTGCTATAAATCATCCAGCTAGAATACCCCCTAAATTTAGGGACACAGCAATTAATATTGTATTTCTCCTTAGCACGCCTAGTAATAAAGATCTGGCCTCCTCCGGTTTAAATGGACGCTTTATCGGTCCAAATTACTGCTGCCTATATCTCGGGAGTCCATTCCAGATAAGAATATGCCTATTTAAGACGGGCCTCTCGCTGCTCAGGCGTGATAAGGGGCTTCTCTGTTGCAACACGCCGGAAATAGCCCTCTTTTTCAAATGCCTTATATAGGGATTGCTTGCAGGCAGAGACCCCCTCTAGTATTGCAATCTCCTCTAACGGCTTCCTTCAGTGGATACAATTAAGCTTAGCCCGGGCAATAAGGCGCTGTTGAGTTGGAGTATTAAGATTCGGTTTTCTCCCTCTCTGTTTTTAAGGGGTCCACGGATTCTGGAGAGAGAGAGCATTGGATATAGTTCTGTAAGGCACACCAAGAGAGGAACTGATCCTTTGGTTATTCCAGCCAGCGTATCGAGAGAGGGAGAAAGCAATATCACGCTCTCGGTAGGAGAGACGGGTGCCCGGATCTCGAAGAATAGGATATTGAATTGGCCGTGGATGGTGGCCATTGTTCCGGCGTACAAGATTCGGCATTTTTATGATATAAAATACAAGGGCCCCTGCCGTTGTTTTATATTATCTAGCTATTCTGGTGGCTTCTGCAGATTTATAATACGCTTACTGTGGCTAAAACAACGCCAGCGCTAGCAGGGAGCGCCGGCAGCCCGCTTAGGTAGCCCCCTTGTAGCTGTAGTTATTTATGGTGATTTGGCATTTCATGTCGCCACCGCTAGTAGGGAGGATGGCCGACCCGCTCCGGCCGCACCCTTGTAAGGTGGCGAGAAGGTGGCGAGAGTAGCTCAAGCGGAAGCCAAGCTGAATTGTTGAAGAGGAGGATATTCATCTCGGACATTCTTTTACTCGAACCGCGGTCGCTCGCTTAGCTAGTTCCCGCTGCAAGGCGGTCCGTGCGGACCACCGAACGTCGTGCCGGAGCACCCGATGGCGCCGTCAGACTCCGACTACGACCCGTCGACACCACCTCCTGCGCCAGCCAAACGTACCAGGAAGCGAACAGTAAAGGCGCTTGACGCCCTGCAGCAGCTCCCAACAACGAGAGCAGTACCGGGTCGACCTATACAGATAGAGGGCAGAGCCACGGCATTGCCGCTACCGCAGAACGATGAACCAAATAGCACGCAGCAACACCCAGCGCACTATGAACTACCGCCATTTCCTACCAGACACGTGTCGATCTCCTCCGAACGAGCTCCTGAGGGAGCCAGCGCCGGGATAGGGGAGCTGGCAGAACTCATCGCGAGCCTAAAAGAGACGATAGCACAGCAGAACAACATCATCGGGAACCAGAACAAGATCATCGAGGACATTCGAAGCAACCGCGCAACGTTCCAGGCAGAGCAGCAGCATCTCAAAGACCAGATTGTAGAGCTCCAAGAAACCATCGGCTCTCTTCGAGCGCAGCTCGACACCCTTTCGATCGAACCGCCGTCGACGCAGACATAGGCGTCGGTCGCAGCCAGCGGACAACCAGCAAGAGCAGGCACAACACTTTCGCGATCGACAAGCACAGGCTCAACAGACAAAGAGAACGTGAGACAGTTAGTAATTGATGTAAGCCGGGTAAGGGACGACATAGCGGAGAAGGTAGCTACTACAGAGGCGGCTAAGCAAGCCATCCAGCAAGGCATAAATAGGGTCGAAAGACTCGCGGGAACCACGGTTAAGGGGTTCCGCGTGTGGCGAGGAAACGAAGGCACAAGGGTGATTAAGTTCTCGGTAGACAAGGACAAAGAGGCAGCGGTCCGACAGACAACGGCAGACTGGCTCGAGCCAGCTTTACCAGGCGCAAGGCTGGTAGGGCCCAAGTAGTACCCAGTAAAGGCAGACTAGATCAAGGTGGCACTAGCGATGGACGCGGAGAGCGGCAAAGTAAGCAGGTCGGCGATGGAACAATTTGGCACAGAGAACAGAGTAGAGGTGTGCACGATGCGATGGCTTAGGCAACCGAGACCCAGCGGACAGCATGCGTCGGTGGTAATCAAGGTGGCGACGAAGGAGGAGGCGGAGAAGCTGCTAAAGTCGGACAGCGTGACGTTTAGCGGAGGCGGCATCATGGTGTCGCTGTTCAAGGAGCAGCGCACACCGGTGGCCTGCTTCAAGTGTAGGCGGTTCGGACACAGAGCACGCAACTGCATGCGGCCGGAGACGTGCGATATATGCGGGCAGGAAGGCCATCTGCAATATAAAACGGCTAACCTGCGCTGCATTAACTATTAAGGCCCGTATTAGGCGTCGCTCTAATAATGCCCAGCGTACAGGAAAGAGATAGACAGGATTCTTATGCGGCAGCGCTATGAATAGGGAGTTCCGGATCCTGCAGGCGAACATAAGAAGAGGCAGGGAAGCGCAGCACGCGCTCCACAACAACGCGGCACTCGCCGACTTTTAATTTATTCTAGGACAGGAACCTGGATACTTTCTTATAGAGGGAGAAGTAGTGCTATACAGCATAAATCCATGCTAGACAACGTATATACCGTATAGTAGGCGAGAAGGATAATATCTAGTCTAAACGTGCATCTAGGCATCTAAAAATATAAAGGCCACACAGCTATATATAGACTCGGCAGATATTACGGCCGTAGTAGCACACATAGGCGGAAGGAAGCTAGTCGTACCTCCGCGGTTGCAAAAGTCTGTTGTTTTTCGGCGATCACCGAGGCACGGCCACCACAATCAAATGAGCACAACACCATCAAATTACAAGCTATCTTTGTATCTATTGCTGTAGGCCGGTTCTGCGTGTTTTGATCTGTGTGCCAGGCCTTTCCAATATTCAATTGCCATGCGGTGTTGTACCTTTTTCTCAAAGGTTTCTGAGTGCTGCCAAACAACAATCATTTCCTTCTCCCTTTGGGCCTGCACAGCAGCACCAGCGCTCGTGGTGTTAAACCGAGCCCTGGCCAATTCCTTCTTCTGATCCTTGTGAAGATGCTCAATTGGGTTTAGGTCTGGTGAATTGGTTGGTGTATCAAGAAACTTGATATCAAGCTCATGAATTTGATCAGCCAACAACCGCCTTGCCTTATAATGAACACCAACGTTATCCTCAACAATATAGATCTCCTTTCCTGGATTAATCCTCCTTAATTCCAAATAGTAAGGAAATAAGGTTAATTTATACACTTTAAAAGCGTACCAAACAAAATCTAACCCCCCCTTTTTAGCGTCTCTTTCTAACTTCTCATATTTAAATAACCGATCGATTGTCATACGCCGCTTTCTTCCAACACGTTGGCCAGGTGGAAGCGATGCATTATAGCGTGCGATGTCGGCATTTGTATCCACAAGAAGTTGATATTGGGGCGTGCCAGGAATTAATGCTTGGTGTTTATTATGGTCCACTCGAGCCTTTAATTTAGACACCTGGAAATCCAATCTTCGCGCTAAATCTATTGTTTCCTCTTGCTCCTCGTAGTTCCAAATAAGGCATGGTCTTTTAACGCGTGCATCATTGCTGGCGGCGTCCCATTGCATCTTGATAAACCGTGGATCGTGGGCATCGTCTGTGTATATATCTACACCACGTGGAGCAGATACATGCGTGTGGCCGGTGCCTCCAAAATTAACAGGCGTCTCATCACAACTAATAAGAATTGTGTTGTGAGGATCCAGGCTTAGGATAAGCTCGATATATCGTTTGCGATCGTCTAAGTCTAATTTCGAGAGGGCCTTCTTTTCCAACGTGCGCTTTCGAGGAATTGGCTTCGAATCAATTGGATCTGCTTGCGAATGTTCTTTTCCTTGAAGGATATTATGAACTTGTTTAGCATCAAGCGTTCCAAGTGGCTTGCGTTGTGTTGTTGTATGATCCTTTCGTACGCGCTCAAACGCTTGGTTGGCAGCATCCACCTGGTGGTGCCACCTGTATTGTCCACGCGTTGCTTCTCGGATTCGAATTGACGCTTCAGATCCAGGTTCTACACGCCTAGGACGACCAGATCTAGGCGCAGGATCTCTATATTCAAGCAGCGTGTTGACATTGTTGGTGCCGGCGCGTCTAAAGGCTCTAGAACAGATTTGTTGGGCGGCGGCGGCAGAAACACCATCAATCTTGCTGGCAATTGCTGGAAAACTGAGTTTATCATGAAATCGATATTGAATAACCAATGCGCGTTTGGCTGAGCTGATTTGGGCCATGTTGTGTGGAGAAATCACAACTCCAAGTGGTGTTTACATTTCACGAGATTGGCGTTCGTGCACGGATCACAACAGACTTTTGCAACCGCGGAGGTAGTATTAGTATATATTCCGAACCTGTCCTTATTAATAAAAACCAGGGAGGAGAATATAGAGGAGCTTAGCAGCAGGCTACGCATAATTAATAAGTTAGTGTAATAAGAAAGACTGCGCGACCTGTATATTAAGGTGGTGGTTGCTGGGGACTTTAACTAATATAATCCGCTGTAGGAAGAAAGCTATATTAACAGCACGGCAAGCTAAAAAAAGAGCGCGCCGATTATTAACTTTATAGCAGAGCTGTTACTACAGAGCCTCCTGCCGGCAGGCGTAAGTACGTTTATTAGTAACGCGGGACGCTTATTAACAATTAACCTAATACTTATAACGCCTGGACTAGCAGAGGACTTAGTTAAGTGCTTAATCTAAGAGTATAAGTATAGGTTAGACCACCGGGCTATATAGACGCGCTTCTGCATTAATATAGAAAAGAAAAAAGGTTAGGAGAAACTGCTATTTAAGAACGCGCTGTAGGATAAAATTAGATAAACGGTCGAGTAAAAGAAGGAAGCAGGCTTTCCTGCGGAAGATATTAATAAGATAGCAATCCGGCTTACGCAGTAGGCGACTAGGGCGGTGGAGGCACACTGCCTAAGGGCGCAGCCGTTGCTGTATATAAAGCGGTGGTGGGATAAGGACCTTATAGCGCTAAGAAAGTTATATATATACTAGAGAAACCGAGTATATATAATACAGTAGCAGGGAAGAAAGAACGCGGAGCTGCGCAGCATAGTAATAAGAGTAAAACGGCTGTTCCACCGGATAATCTGTCGCTACCGGAAACAGCACTAGAAGGCTTTCCTTAACAACAGCAATAACATGTGGAAGGCGGCTAAATACCTAGATTTGCAGGCAAGCAGCTTATTTACTAGAGTGCCACCGATTAAGAAAACTAGCTAAAAGGGAGGAATTGCTACAGAAGATAATAAGATTAGATAGGAGCTGCTTTAGGCGTTCTTCCTAAGCCTAATACTATATAAGCAGGAGGAGGCGCTAGCAATATATAATTAACTATACTGCGAGCTAATTACTAAATATAAGGTAAAAGCAACTGTCTTTAGGGCGAGCCCAGACAAGGCGCCAGGAAGGGACAGCCTACCGGCAAAAGTATAGAGAGAGCTATAGCCGGTCCTAGGTAATAAGATTACGCAGCTGTTTATAAGATTGCTTAAGACAGGAAAAATACTAAAGGAGTAGAAGATTGCAAAGATTATACTACTGCAGAAGCCGAAAAGAAAGAACTATATAATAGCCAATAACTACCGGCTAATCTTGCTATTGCCAACGCTAGGCAAGGCGCTTAAGTTGTTAGTGGCCGAGAGGATAGCATACCTAGTAGAGGAATACAGCCTTCTCCCGAAAATACACTTTAGCGCACGGAAGCAGAGGGCAACAATATATACACTGTTGTACCTCTGTAAGAATATGTTTAAGGCGTAGCGCGGGAAGAAAATGCTGTTACTAGTATTATTTAATATTAAGGAAGCATATAACAATATAGCCACCGAGCCAGAAATTAGAAAACTGCGGTAGTAATAGATCCTAGAAAAGATTATATAGTAGGTGCAGGACTTTTACATAGACTAAGAGGCGTGCATTTTTATTAACAGCGTAATAATAGAGGTATAAAGGCTTCCGCAGGCAGGTTTCCCCTAAAAATCCGCACTTACTCTAATCCTATTCCTGTTCTTTAATATAGATCTAGTGCAGAGCGCACTATAATATAGCAGCTTAATAGTGTTTATAAATAACTACTTAGTATAGGTTATAGGGCTATTAGCAGAGGAGAATATGCAGGTTATCCAGGATAAAGTAGTTCTAATATTAGAAAAGTAGGAGTGTATAAGCAGGGCTTAGTTCAAAGCTACTAAAATAAGCTTTATCTATCTTACGCAATATAAAGCAGCAGGTAGGAACAGTATAACGCTGCTATAGTTTAAAGGACAGGATATTATACCTATAGATAAGGTTAAGCTCCTAGGTATAACACTAGATAAGGAACTAAGATTTAAGGTGCATCTTGCAGATAAAGCAGGCAAGGCGATAAAAGTAGTGCTAGCGCTGCGCAGAATAAAGGGACTATAACCTAAGGCAGTTAAGCAGCTAGCGCAGAGTGCGGTGCTGCCGGTGGCGGACTACGCGTTGCTAGTATAGTACCCAATCGCAACGCATAATATAAAGCAGCTCCTACTATAGTTGCAGAGGATTACAGCGCAGGCAGTAATTAGAGGATTCCGCACTATTACTCTATTAGTAGCAGAGGTAGAGGCAGGTCTACTCCCTATAGAACAGAGACTGCGGAAGCAGACAATTGCGTTCTAGGTATTAATCTATAAGCTAGGCCTATTATATCCCTACTAGATGCTTAAGCAACAACAACTATACACAAAGTATTAATTACTACTTATAAGGGTGGCAGAGATATATACAGAAGTTTAGATAGATACAGTGCTAGAGGTTAAGCCGTACGCATGCCCGCTGTAGGTAGCTCGGCCTAAGGTAGTAATATGCGAGGACAAAGAGCGGGCGCAAGCTGTTGCTAAGGACTACCAGCCAGGATAAGTAGATGTATATATAGATGCATTAGTATAAAACGGCAGAGCAGGTATTAGGGTATTTACCAGGCTATCGCAAGTATATATCTTAAAGACAGTAGCCAGGTCCGAGCAGGCGGACGCGCACTTTACTAAACTGTTAGCAATTAGTAAAGCCACCAACTAGCCGTAGGGCCCATCTTACGTAGCGCTTAACAGCGACGGCCAGCCCGTACCAGCGTCGAGCATCCGCATCTTCTCTAACGCGCAGTCGGCGCTGCTATCGGTGCGCAGTTGGCGAGCCAGCGCGTGTTAAGATATTGTGGCAGAGATTATCAAGAAACTATAGATAACCAACGTCACGCTGTATTAGATCCCAGGATATGCGGGGATTAAGGGAAATAAGCGGGCTAACAGACTGGCAAAGGCAGCAACAAAAGAAGAGAGCGAGCAGCCACTGCAGCGCGACGGTGAACCGTGGTATCTAACACGGCTAGCATTAAAAAGAGCCAACGTAATAGCAGGACCGCCCCCACCAAAGTGGGCAGAAACGGGAAAGTTCACGCAGAAGATAGATGCAGCGTTCCACCTAGGCAAGTTGGCAGAAATATACCGGCAGCTAAATAGCACCGAAGCGGCCATCCTCACGCAGCTGCGGACGGGTAAAACGTTCCTCAACAAGTATCTGTACAAAATCAAGGCAACAGACACAGCGGCGTGCGATTGCGGGTGCATAGAATCAATAGCACACTTTCTCTTTTCGTGCAGGCGATGGAGGCAGCAAAGAGCAAAGCTACAACAGCAGCATGGACAGCGATTCGGAGAGCTATCGTACGCACTGGGAGGGTACTCGAGTAGACAAGAGGGCGGGCAGAGCATCGACGGACCGATCAAGTACTGGAAGCCGGACATGGAAGCAGTTAGGGCGACAATAGAATTCGCAAAGAGCACAAGGCGGTTGCAACCAAAAGTACAAGACGAAGAAAGTAGAGACGAAGAGGAGGCAGAGGAGAGGGGCCAGCTGAGGATGCCCTCTTCTGCCTCGTGAGCGTAGAACGACAAGCTGTCTATGAACGCGCCTCGGCCAGTGCGCTGCCGATTAAGAGGCGCACGACGCCGGAAATGCCCTGCGGACGCGAGGCCTCGACAAGCCAGGCAGCTTGCTCCATACGGTAGTGTATTACTTTCCTTTACTTTCCTTTGTTGAGCATGGAGTTAGGCATCGGACGAGCAGGTCTCATGGTTGGCTTCTGAATTGGAGCAGACAGATCAAGGATAAATGTATATAGCTGGCGCTTCGTAACGGCCCATACCCATAGGGTGCATGGCCATAATAGAACACACACACACACACGTAAGGTGGCGAATTCTGCAGGTGCTTTCAGAGAGTTAAGTTAGTTGACCGGAGGCATAGCCAAGGCTGAGTCGGATCGCAAAGTGCCAAGGCCGGCCAGCTTGCCAAATCTGTGCACAGCCACAGGTCTAACAACCAGTAAGTAAATTACACAGCGATGATTATGTGGGCTCTTTGCATTAGCCGGGATTGGTGATCGCTTTGGTTTGAGGTACCGATCGGAGTGGCAACTTTGCGTGAATCTGCGATAGTAGCCACATGGCTGATAACGACTTCCTAGTATAATACTGAGGTTCTAAGGCTTAGATAAGGCCCTTTTATAAGCATTAGAAGTGATAAAAGCCTAATAATAGTCCTATGATGAAGGAATTCTATTACGCTATGCAAGGAGGCTCTCAGCAAATCGGCGCAAAGGCGACAATGCGAACGTAAGTTTAAGGTAGGAGGGTTTCCAAGTATTGAGGAGTAGCCACAGTAGACGACTTATACAGAACTGTGGGAAATATTAGTGTGTGCATAGAGTTTGAGTTGCTTGAAGTCAGGGACGCACGTTAGATACTCTATATGAGTTTAACACGAGCCATGCCTTAGACAAGAGCACCAGGACACTGACTCGGTTTAAATCGTACGGCGACGGTCTGATTTACATTTCACATTACGGTCTGTCGCACAGAGTAGGATCTTCCCCCTGATTAATGCAAAACAATGCGGGGGATTGGTGCGTTAAGATGAGCACTCCGGGGTAAGCTTGTCTGGGCATCGTGAATCATGGATGGTGAGCGTGATTCGGCCTTCGGGCTAGAATCTGTCGCGGGGTAGCTCCGCATACATATTCAAACCTTTCTCAAGCCAAAAAATGTCTTCCTGGAATGGGGTTCGGGCCGCAAGCGTCCCGCTATCTCACCGTTCCTGAAGATGAGGGAGGTGCAGACAGCAGCGGCAAATAGAGGGGCCAAGTAATGTATTGTTTGATGCGTGAGGGAGGAAGCTAGCTACAACGGAAGGATACATAGTTACACGATTCTAGGCTGAGTAAGCTGATAGCGAGGAAGGGGCGCCACAAAGAACAAACCCGGACACTTCGAGCATCCCGCCATCTGGCACACTCATACCGACCTTGAACGTATTCGCAATGACGTCCTTAACAATAAGGGCTCTGGGGGTCAGCATACGCAAACTTCAGCAAAGATAGCTACTCGCAAGCCAACTACACTATACTGGGCCCGAACGCGGTCTTATCCAGAGGAAATGTGAGTAACTACACCTCCTTCTCCGGAGATGCTCGTGCTGCTTGGCAAAAACGCCCTCATGTGGTACATTACGAAAGACCAAGCACATTGGGACCGTAGCACCACGATTCTCGATCAATGAGACTCGAAATTGGCTGCCATCATCAGTATCGACCGATCCCTTCTTGTTACTTCGTAGACTTGAAGGAGGTCTATTCGTTAACGCTGCGAAGATCATGGAATGGGAAGGGGGTTGAAAGGATACGGGAGCCGCGTGGCCAGGAGGTCCAGGGTTCAGCAACCTGTTGTACTGGCTGTTCTCCCGTCAATCCATTGTCGTAGGTTAAGCGAACTATGTGTGGTCAGCATTAAAGCTCTTCTGAGCTTTGCCGTCTATCTTAATGATGTCTCGCTTTACATCTATGCTATCAACGAGTATATGAACAATCCTATGCGCCAGCGTTTAGACTTGAGATACATTGTCTAAAGTTCGATGATTGACACGCTGTAATTTGAGTCGGGGGTCGTTGGACGAAGCGTCTTTACTCCTCTCTCATAAGAATGAAATGTCTTCCTCTCTATGGAGTCAAGCAACGTTTGGTATTTCATTCGTCAATTATATGCCTCAGCTCGGTGCGTGGTTTTGATGTTACATACGGGGTAAAGCTATGATGGTGGAAATGACCAGATATGCGACGCCGACTCATACCACATGGTCCGCACCACCTCCTGGAGAATTTCGACGCTCACAGAGCACTTCTTTGCTATGACTGTGCCTGGTGTCGGGAGCCAGGTCTTCCACTAGGAGTCATTGTAGGTGGTATATGTCTCTATCGGCACCTGTGTCTCTCAACCTCGTTATCATCTATCATTCTCGAGCAACGACTACATTGCCCTTTCGAGGTGTTCGACTGGTATAAGACTGTGTGTGTGTGTATGTCTGGAAGCCAAAACCTCGGCCAAGCAGAGAAATACCCGGGACAAGATGTACCTCGCGAAGGAAATCTCGGCTATCTAGCGAAACGTTACATCACAGAGAAAGGCCTTGCAAATTCTCTGGCAATGGCTGTACATGAAGATCCACCCCTGGGACAACAAGTCAGATGGCTTGTTGCATCTGAGCAATTTGCCGAAGTCGAAGGGATAGCACGCAGAGCAGCGAACAACTCCCCAACCCCCAGAAAGTCAAGGGTCGCAGAGCCAACCATGGAACCCGACTGGAAAGACTCCTGCTGAGGGCGGTGGGTGGCTCCAGTGGCGTTGTTATCAATACTATCTCGGGAAGTGCGAGTCTCATCCGGATAGTGCATGGGCATGGCACAATTTCGACAATTGTGAGGCTTGCCAAGTAGGCATTTCTTAAGAAATAAAATTGTTTGCAGATTCTGTTCCAAAATTCAAATACTAACACCATGTTCTCGTTCTGTAGGCCGCCAATCTTCCGTGCCCCAGTCTGGGTTACATGTATTAGTAAGAATGGGCTTGTTGCCGAATGCATCTACTCGACTGGTATGCCTTCCCCGGTTCCTTTAAGCAGAACAACGCTGACCTTGCTTCCATAAAGACAGCGCCCGAGTCTTGCTAACTCGGCCCGGAGTGCTCGACGATGTTTGCTTTTGTCTTGTGTTGGACTATGGGTTGTTTTTTGTTCTTGTTTCATACCCCTTACCTTGCATTACAATTGTTTTCATTTGTCCTATGGCTCGATGCCCAGCCTGCGCGTTATGGATTTCTGTTTCTCTTTCTACCACCCTTCGGCGAATAGGGTAGACATGGTATTAGTATGAATGCCTGCTCGTATGTACGCTCGTGTGGAAACAAGTACACCTATAGTACTTCATAGATGAAGAACTTTACATTGTATAAATGCCTCCTTCGTGACTATTTCTGAACGCAGTGAAAACTAAACCATAAGTTTGGGCACTCCTTACCACTGTTTGGGTTATCCTAATAAACTGTCAAGAATCCAAATACGATGTAAAATGCAACGCAGTGGATATTAGACTGTTTTTTGCCAAAACAAACCTGCTAGCTGGGGTGCTCCTTATAGTGGTGTTGAACTCGGGTTGCAGCACTACAACCTAGGGTCAGCAACTCATATGCAGTAACGTATCAGGATAACATGCTGATACAGGAGGAAGTAACAGGTAGTGCAACAGCAGTGCTGCAGCACGGTATCAGTACTGTATCAGGAAACAGGATGAATCAAGTAACGCGTCAGGAAGAGATACCACGTTATGCCCCCGGGGCTGGCCCCCCTCCTTCCCCTAGTATATAAACAACGAGCTAGACACCCATGGAAATCAGAGTTCACATCAATTTCAACCTGAGTGTTGAGCGAGCAAGAGTAGAGCCGGAGCAGTGATATATCCTTGTGCCCAAACTTATAACCAAGTACTGTAGCTTCTATCATAATCGTCAACATCTAATACACCATGTGCGGTATAGAGCATACACCTTGCCTGTTATGTGACAATTGGTAACATGAGCGGGATTTCTAGAACACGCGGAGGCTCCTGGACACCACCCACTCACGCAGTGGAGTCGCAAACATAATATTACGGCGAACTAGTGCATGCTAGAGGCCTCCGGGTACTCGAGAAGTCGGTCTCGTCACCAATTATTACAGAAGTGTAGCATGTACACGTTGTGTGTGAGCGAAGCGTGGGCTGTAGAGCTCCTACCTTACCCACGTGTTGAGTGCGTACTGACAATGGCGTTTCTACACATCGTACAAGGCGAATATGTGGGAATGACCTTATTGATGAGTCGATCTAATGCCTCAGCTCCGCATACATTGTGATCTTACTGACAGTGTCAGGCAGTGTGAACGATCACATTTGCGACACCGACTCATATTGACACTCATACTACACGGTCCATACCGCCTCCTGGCTCATTTCGATGTACGTAGACCACCTCCTCCTCATAATTATATGCCTCCTCGGAAACAAATCCTTCCGGTATGAGTAAATGCGAATAGGGTATAAGTATCTCCTATTGAGCGTCCGCTACGTCCTCAAACTTCCCTAGCAATCAGCCTGAAAGCCATACCTAAATACCATTTCGTAGCCCACGCTTGCTACATTCCACAACTACGATCAAATACCAATAACGCACCTCCAAGATGCCTCAACAATCAACCACCACAACCACCCAAGATATCCCTGAAGAGAAAAACTCGAACTACATTGCGTGCCTCGATTACCTCAGTAACGAGCAGCTCAAAGCACTCCAGCATATGTTCTACGGTGACTACGACCAGAAGGATGCCCTGTGGCTCGCATGCAGCATCCTAGATGTACCTGGCGTGAAGAAGTTGGCGGATCGGTTTATTTCGGATCGCGAAGAGGCCGCCCTGCGTTTCATGGTGAAAGAGGACACGGAGGCCGGAATGCTTGTCCCTGGTAACGAGCCCTTCCTCTTCTGCGCCGACAGCCTCAGCCCCCCAGAACTCGAAGCACTGCAATACATGGTCTACGGCCCCTACGGCCACAAGTTTGAACTACAGCTCGCGTTCGCCTCCCAGGATATAGGTGCGGTGAAGACACTGGTGCAGCAGTTCATTGATGATTCCGAATGGGCCGACGAAAAGTCCAAGGAGTTGGTAGCTTCACGGGGTATCTAGTGAAAGAACTACGACGGCCTCAAGTGATGGAGCCAGCGTACTAGTCAGGTATGCTACCTAGCCAATCAATGATCTCCCGTGACACTTGATGACAGTTACACTGACATTTCCACCAAAAGCAGACACCTCGACCCCCTATATCTTTGGCCCGGAGTGTTCAAAACTTGTTTCCTTGCCTCTTGTATTGGACTTTTGGTTTCTTAGAAGATGTAATACCTTCTGGTTCTTCTTTAGCACCCCTCATGTCTGCGTTCCAATCATTTCTATTTTTCAATACCCCTTTGTTCTATGACCCCTGTTCTATACTCCTTTCACCCCTCAGCTGGTCTATATGTTAGTATGTATGCCCGCTTGTATGTATGTACGTTCGCATACAAATAGACCATAAATCTCCACAAGTTCCAGGAGATGTGAACCCCTCATACGGACCACTTCGGTCAATCACTACCCTTGACGTGCTAAGTAATAAAACAAGCCGTACACCTGGCAGCCGTCCATACGCTACTGTACTAGCGCATCCTTAGCGCTATTCCTCAGCTTGCATGCGTCACCTTTCAGCTCAACAGGGTTCCTTCTCTCAGCTGGCTTGGCGCCTCTACGCCTATATATACCCATCCTCCTACAGCAATACACAAGAGTTCTCATCACTTTTCACCAGCTGCCAACACCGCGTCCCATACCCAACCGCAACCATAGACGTTGCCTACTAGCTTAGGCACTCTTACTACCAAACCAACATCTAAAGCAAACACCCCCTCTACTACTGCCCGCCGTGCCCCGTCACCTTCACTAAACCTACCTCTAGTCCGCCAACACGTCGTCTACTCGCCACCGCGCCGGCCCTCCCATTATATCCATCGTATCTAAAACTGCCAGGGCACGTCGCAGCCATTTACTCATCAGTCGTGTCCAAGCTTCCACCTTATTTTTTTCTCCAAGTAGTAACGTTCGTCACAAAGAGCATAAGAAGCAGCAGAGAGCGCACTGAAAAGAGTTCATTTCTTTCCATTCGTAGATCTAGACAACCAGAACCAATCTTTTATACATTGCACACAGAGTCGAAAGTGCGCGCCCGACCGGGTAATCTCGCCCTCAGTCATCGCGGCACGCTACCCATAAAACGCCTTGCGTGTCCCAAATCGTGCTTTATCCAATCTTTACACAACCTTCAACCTCTTCCACCCCTCCAATCCCCCCGCCTTCCCGCTCCGCGGTGTCCTAGTCCTCAAGAGCAATAGCCCACGATAGACACTTACACGACCAAAAAGCCCAATAGCGCCGCCAATCCGAGGCCCTTCGACAGCTCCATCACAGGCGCAGCACCAGTGCTCGTCGACGCCGCCGCCCCCGTACCCGTCGCCGAGCCCGACGCGGACTGCGTCGGCGAGCCCGACGACGCAGACGGAGACACAGAGGAGCTATTCGTCAGCATGCCGCCGAAGCCCGTCTCGACGTTCTGCGGGCTGACGTTCTCGGACGCCTTCTCGGACGCGGCGATATACGCCGCGGTCGTGTTGCCGGTATCACTACAACGCGTTAGCTTTGTTCAAAAAAGAAGAGAGGGAGGAGTAAACACATACGGCCCGTTAATCGCGCCCGCCATGCCGCTCTGGCAATGGCTCGCCTTGGAGCAGTAGAACCAGATGGGCTTGGTGTCGTTGACGGTGACGACGAAGGTCGTGGGGCTGACGCCGCTGGCGACGGGCACGAAGCCGGACCAGAAGCCGCCGGCCTTGGGCGCGCAGGGCTTGGCGAAGGTGCCCTGGGCGACCGAGTGCGCCTCCGGGTAGAAGTGGAAGGTGACGGTGTCGCCCTGGGCGGCTTTGGTGTTGTTGGGCGTGAAGGCGAGGTCGCCGTTCTTGTTAGAGACTTTGACGGCGAAGTCGGCGGCGAGGGAGGTCGAGGCCAGGACGGCGGTGGTGAGGAGGGTTGAGAAATGCATTTTGATAGTTGTGGTGGAAAAGAGACTTGCTCGTGGATGAATAGGTATTAGTAGAAGGAAGGGGGTATATGTGGTATATTTATTGGGTTGAATGGAAGGATGTTTGGGCCGGCCTGAGTTGATAGTGTTGAGCGTAAAGGAGCCAGCGCTCACCCTTTATACAAACCCGACCACGAAACTTCGACGCTCCAACGAGCCAGCCCTCGAGGCCGTACTGAGCGTGGGCGCCATGGCAGAAACAGGTACGAGACGGTGCGAGTGTGAGGCCGTCTGGTTACCCGCTTTGCGCCTCGAATAGGGAGGCTAACCGAGCATTGTGATTGGCGGGTAGCGGCCTCAGCGCCTGAAATCAGCCACCATCACCGCTCGGCAAGCGAGAGCTCCTGTGTCGACTGCGTGGCCACAGCCCTTTCTCAGGGTGGTGATGGCCGGGCTGCCATTAGCTAGAGCGCAGTCTAGACGTTTGGTGGAAGGGGGTGAAACGGGGGAGGTGTATCGCGGGGGTTGCGAGACGTGTATCAGGCGGGCCCCCTGAGTTTGGGAGACACAGCCGGGCTCGCCCCCCAACGTCAGAAGAAGGTTTTTCTAAGCTTTGACCGGCGTACGTGGCGCCTGGGGCTGTCTCCGCGTTTTGTGCTTGCTGTAGAGACGGCTGCCGGGGGGGATGGCTGTGAAGTGGCATTTTTGGCGCGAGAGGGTTGGCGGCACTGAGGCATGCAACTTACGCAACGGAGCAACATGCAGAGGCAAAAACAACAGCGCTGTGACAGAAACAAACCAGGAAGCGGACTTGCGGTTACTTATACTCCACGATGCGCGGATTTGAGAAGGAAAGATGCGCAAGTTTGAGCGAAGTCGTTCGCAGCCAAGGACGACGGGTTTCAACCTGCAAGAGGCGGGCAAGTCCTTTTTGCCCGGCATCTGAAGACGGCACCCCTTTCTACATAGGCTTCCTCATACGTAAAGATGGATAGAACCTGTCTTGCGGATGCTGCCGTGTTCAAAATAGCACTTGGCGGGGAAGAAGTCTCGACGAAGCAGGCGAGGCTATAGTTACACGAGCAGGCCATCGAGGTGCACTACTGACGCTTGACCAAAAGCAGCCTCACCAACCCCATTCAACTCGCCGCCGCTGCTCTTTGCCTATAACAACGCACCCAATATAGACACGGTGCACGTGTATAGCAGAGCCCGCTCACCCAATACCACACCCAGCGCTGTCGGCGGTTACATCGCAGCTCGGGGGATTTGCATCGGCCCTACCCTCCTCTGCGTCCTCCTCGGTCCCTGAAAGCTCTAAATATAGATCCAGCACCCGTTACCACCCCAACCACCCCAACCACCCCAACCACCCCAACCACCCCAACCACCACCTTCCACCACCGCTCCTCTCACCATCACTGCGGTGCGCTGACACTGGCTGCCAACTGCACGCGGGTCTCGTTCCGCACTGCGCACTCGCCACGCTCACACCTTGTCAGCGCCGCCCAGACACATGACGTCCTCTCTCGTAAAAGCTGCGAGGTGTCCGGCGCAACGCGGTTAGAGTGGCTGCAGAAGACGGCAATGATGCGCGAGAAAGAGCCGCATTCCGGCTGCCAGATCACCAAAAGCGGGGCGTGGTGCTCTTGCACTCAGCCTTGTCCGGCTCACCGTCTGTCCAGTGTCCCGTTGTGGGTGAGGGATGTGCCCTGGTGGAGTTGCGAGAGCGAGTGCAACCCGCGCCGCTGTGCTGGGAGAGACACGACGGATGGCCGGGTAGCTGCGTTGTTTAGACACGAGAACGGAGGGCTCGTACGTAGAGCAGGTGGTAGGTCTCAGTAGGTCTTGGGAGGTTGTAGTGGCCTTTTCTGTCTATAAATCATTGACGCTGTCGCCGTTGTTGTGTCCATCATCAGTTCAATCAGCATTCCATTCCATCACACATTCTCAATCTCAATCTCATACCAAGTCTCTCAATTACCCGAATCACCAAACCATCCCAACCACCACCATGAAATTCACCAGCACCCTCTCCACCCTCGCCGCCCTCGCCCTCTCCGCCTCCGCCGTCACAGTCTCCTACGACACCGGCTACGACGACGGCTCGCGCTCCCTGAACGCCGTCTCCTGCTCCGACGGCGCCAACGGCCTCGAGACCAAGTACGGCTGGAAGGTGCAGGACGACATCCCCAACTTCCCCAACGTCGGCGGCTTCGACGGCATCGCCGGGTGGAACTCTGCTCAAGTACGCCCCGGCCCCTATACTCACTGCGCCAAGCCCTCATCTCGAGTACAATCGCACGTGCTAATGTTCAATTCCAGTGCGGCGCCTGCTACGCCCTCACCTACGCCGCGACCGGCAAAACCATCTACGTCCTCGCCATCGACCACGCGGCCTCGGGCTGGAACATCGCCGAAGCCGCGCTGAACGACCTGACCAACGGGCAGGCCGTGCAGCTCGGCCGCATCGATGCTACGGCCGTGGTTGCTGATGTTAAGAGCTGTGGGATCAACTAAACCCCGACTCCCGCAAAAGCTGCGATGCAATGAGCGAAAAAGTGTATTTATAAAGCATAGCGAGCCTGGCATGGCTGTGGGTGGCCGTCAATCCTTTCACTATCATAATGACGGGGCGAGGGGATACAGGGGCGCCGGGGGATGGACGACTAGCACAATCCTTAATAATGATAATCCGATTCAAAAGAAATGCATGCGTATCGTATTGCAACTGAATATATCTCAAGTGCTTGAGTCGTATGCATCGTGACCATTTCTCTCGAAATTCACGTGAAAGCCACGTGGTCTAGAGCTGTGGAGTCACGTGCTCCCATCCCCATCCACCGCAAAAACAAGCACTCTCCGACTTTCCCCATTCTCGTCGAGACTAGCGATCGTAAGTTTGAGCACGCACACGAATATCTGACTGCTTCTGCTCCACCCCTTACCAGCTCGACGCCACTGCCAGGAGCACGCAGTTAGCATGTCGCGGGTTCAGTCAAAGAGAAGCCTGGTTTCCACTACGTTGAGCTTTACATCGTATTTGGCGTCTTAACAGCCTAGCGGGGCACCCCTAGCAGTTGAAAGGAGTTCCCAGATGTATGGCATAGTGCCGTGAGAGGACTGTAAGTTTTAGGGCTTTTGCGTACACACGTGCTGCGCATAGCCCCGTCCACGACACAGCTTTTGACGGAACTAACATGTGTATGGACCCGATGAACGACGGAGCCTTGGAGTGACTCTCCGTTGTTTTGTAGCTAGCTCATCGTCAATAGACCATCGCCCATCACCGTCCATTTGTGCCTAAAAGCGTCCCAAAGTTCCCAGATATCCTCAATACACCACTCCCGCACACCAGCGACGCCCTCCCCCAAGTAACGCCAGAACCCGCCTAGACCCGTACCAAATAAATCCACACCATACCCTCCCATCAGATAGCACGTCAACCCACACCCGCCCAAAACCCCCCCTACAGCACCCCCTCCTGAAACCTCTCCACCCCCCTGCGGATCTCCTCCACAATCTCCCGCGCTTCCTGCGCCCCCCCCTGCGCCTCAAAGTCATACCGCTTCGTCTCGCGCTCCTTAAACACCACCACCCTGAACATCCGCGGATGCCGCCGCGACACTTTACTCCCGACCACGCTGCTAAAATGCACCGTCGTTGTCTTGCCCCCCGCGCCCTCGGTGATGTGCTTCGTGTTGTGCGGGTTATTCGTCGACTCGCCGGGCATGATGTGCATATACTCACCGTCCAGCGCCAGGATCCGCGCCGACGACGACGAGAACGACATGGGCTGCTTGCGGGTCACCGCGTAGCGGCGGTAGTTTGCGTTGGCAGCGAGGAACGCGTCGGGCGTGCGGTTCTGGGCGAGGGGGTGCATGAGGCCGCCGGCTGCGGCGGGAGCCGCCTTTTTGTGGTGGCCCTTTTTCGAGACGCCGCCGGGCGTGCTGATGAGGAGGGGCGCGTTGGGGGACTCGGAGCCGGGCGAGCCCGAGAGGCCGTAGGCGCCGTCGCCGATGAAGCGGCGGCGCGCGAGGTCGAGGTCGGTGCGCCCGGCGAGGGCTTCGACAGTGCGGTCGGCGGGCGCGACAGTGGCGGTGCCCGACACTTTGAGCACGTAGAGGGCTTTGTCGACACGGAGCTCGTGGCACACGCCGTCGAAGACTTCGGCGATGTAGGTGTCGGTGGTGCACGGGATGGCGAGATGGCGGGTTTGGAAGTTGTCGTCTGTGAAGTGGACGGCGATGGTTTTTGGGGCTCCCGTGCGAGGGGTGGCGTGAGAGGTTGTGACTGCTGGCGCATCGAGGAGATTAGTACTATCTTTCCGGAGGTTTGAAGGTGCGAATAATGGACCGGTGATGGGGTTGCGGAATGAACGGGCTGGCGCCGGGGGTGGTTTTGGGGGAACAGCAGGGCCTGACATTGATGGTCTTGCGCCGTTGGGACCAGTGGTAGATGTGGTGAAGGGGTCAGCCTTCGAGGGGGCCTCTGCAGCTGCAGCGGCTTCTTTACTGTATAATGGAGTGAGATTCTCGTTGTCCGCGAATTCGCGCTCGTTGGCTTCAACCAACGCAAACTCGTCCCAGGGCTTCTCGCGCGACCGGGCTCGCATGCCCCGGCTGTTGTTGGAAGCGAAATCTGTCACCTCTTTCGTTCGTGAGAGTGCTGGGAATTCCATATCAACCTCGTCGTCTTCGTACATGCGGAAGACCCAACGATTGACGTTGAGTTTTTGCGGAGGCAGGGGTGGCTCCAGCTTTTCTTCGTTATACCTGTAGAGAGCAAATCCGATAGCTTCGGACACAGTGACTTTCGTGTTATCGTCCAGCGTTTTTCTTAAAAGCACCTCAAAGGGTTTATTTGGCTTCGTTGAGAATGGAGCATAGATTCTGATGTATAAAGGATTCGGATCACCCTTGCCAGACAACGTAGCAAATCGCTGTAGGGGATCCTCGGGCTTTTTGTCTTTTGCTTTTAGAGCTTGTGTTAGTGCGCTGACAGGCTGGAGAACGCTGATGGGTCGTGGTGGTGGTAGTGCTTGAAGCATAGGACCAGTCTGTCTATTTTTCTTTGGAGAGGCGTTGAAGGGAGTGATTGGTGGTGGTATGGTTGACATGTTGGTACGAGGGGACGAATCCATTGGATTTCCGATGTCTCCCAATATCGAATTCGTGTCTGCAGTGCCGGCAAATTCAGATGACAAAGTGCTATCGTCAGACTCGTTTCCTTGGTCGGCGTCGTCCAAATGAGCATCGCCTTCGCGGTCGTCCTCTTGGATCCGCTCCGAGAGCAATTGGCTCGCCTTCGCCGCTCGGTGGGGATTGAGCTTTTTTCTTTGAAACACAACTGGGTCCAGCTCATTCTCGGATGACATTTCGCTGCTTGTGACAGTGTCTCGTCTCGCACGTTCCTTGATTGTCTCCACTGCACCCAAAGACCCTCGTCGTAACCGGCTATCGGGGGGTCTAGAAGGCGATGTAATCATCAAAGACGGACCATCCTGAGTATTGGATCCTGAAAGCAGAGTGTTATGTAGATAAGAGCCGCGAATGGGCGAGGACCCGGCTCGTGTCCGCAACGGCATCTTGGTGAACTTGATTTGGTTGGCAGGCCTAGTATTGTTAGAACAATCAATCTATCGCACAAGCAATCTCACTTTACCTCGTAGCATCCGCATCGTCGTCGCTCTCGTCACTAAGATCACTGCTGTCATCCTCGTCCATCTGCTCCTTCCGCCGCCTCCTCTTTGTATTCAACGCGGGGCCCACGGTATCATTGCTCCCCCCTCCCGTGACCATGCCGCCCTCCTCATCATCTTCGCCAAAGCCCTCTTTCAGACCGGCCGAGCGGGGTGCCTGGAAGTAGTCGGAGGTGATAGCAGTGGGGATCGGTGGCGAGTAGGTACGTCTGATGTCGGCGGCATTGGGGACCCAGCCAGCGGCGCGAAAGGCCGGATTGTTGAGGACAGTAGAATCGACGGTAATGAGGCGCTCACCGACGCCGTCTTTGATGCAGGATAGGTATGCTGTGCGTAGCTGGTAGAGGACGAAGCTGGGGGGGTGGTCAGCGCGAAGACGCGGCGGAGGAGAGGCGGGGCTTACTCTTCGTTCTGAAGGAGAGACATAGCGAGGTAGTAGGGACATACTCTTATGCTGAATAGGTGCTTGGATACACTGGGGTCGTCCAGGCCAGCTGGGAGTGGGTGTGGGTGAGGTCGTGGTTGATGCTGGGGATCGGCGCGTCGTGAGACCCTGAGGATAGACATCGTCATCTTGGAGTAGCATTTTCAATAACCTTCACACTTCACCACCACAAATATCCACAGAAAAGACCGCAGCAACCATGAATCTAGTCGCCTATTCCGACTCTGAGGGCTCCGATAATGACGCTCCCGCCCCTCCAAGACCCAAGCCCGTCGCGAAAGCCTCCCTCTCATCGAAACCCGCCTTCCAAAAAGTCGTCGACCGCGCAAACCCAAACAAGATCAGATTAAACCTCCCGGCACCCTCCCACCCAACCCAACCCAAGGACGACATCGATGCCGATGCGCCCCCAGCAAAGAAGGCCCGCACCAGCGGTGGAGCGTTCAGCGCATTCAACAGCATGTTACCAGCCCCAAAAAAGGCGGCAGCTCCAGCAGGTAGCGCATCTGAATCGGCACCGGCCGCCAAACGACTAGGCAAGGGACTTGGCTCTGGTGTCAATCTGCGGACAGGTGCAGCACCCGGTTTCAGTAGAGAGCCTGTGGAGGTGCCCGACTATGGCGCAGAAGAGGAGGACGGTAGCACAGCTTCAGCAGCAGCAACAATCGCACCAGGACTCGCACGAGCAGAACCGAAACCCCAGGAGCCGGAGCTCAAGCTAGTCGGGAAACCCATGAGGTTCCGGCCGCTGTCCGTAGCCAACAAGAAGAAGAAAAGGGTCCTACCCGCCGGCGTGTCGAGTGCTGCGCTCAAAAAAGCGCCCACGGTAACGCCGACTACGGCTTCACCAGCCACACCAACCACGACGCAGAAACCCGCGCCAAAACCAAAAGTATCGCTCTTCTCAATGGCACCGGTAGACACACCAGAGCTAGCAGAGCCCTCAAGCAAAGGCGAATACACCCCCCTCCTCCACGTCCCTTCACCCGCCGACGAATCGAAATTGCCAGATTCCGCCTTCTCAGAGCCCGCCCCATCAACGAACACCCCTCAAACCCTTTCATCCATAGCAACCGACCTCAACCTCTCGCCCCACGAACTCCGCCAGCTCCTGGGCCGCAACGCGTCCAAGAACAGCGATCTCTCCGCTCTCAATATCACGAATTTCAATACAGATGCCGAATACGCGCATAACGAGCAGCTGCGCCAAGCCGGCGAGACGGTGCAGCACCATGCGCTGAAATCGATTGCAGGCACGGGGAAGAACAGTCTCAAGAGTCTGGTGAACACGGCGAGTACGCAGAAGGATGCGTTGGAGGAGCATTTTGCGGCGGGGAGGCGAAACAAGAAGGAAGCGGGGGGTAAGTATGGGTGGTAGATGGGGGTGTGAGATGAGGGGGGTTATGGGAGGGGTTTAGGGTGTGATGATTATGAAGCGTTCTATTCGTTGATGGTCTCGAGCGCACTGTATGCAGCGACCTCATTAAAATTGAATGCTAGCAGTCGTTCTGGATTACGGCTGGCACTGAGTGTTCTTTTTGATATCAATGTCTACTACTGTCACATGATATTTTACCTAGCGCGTACAGCCCGTACACTTGCTCACGACCGTTTAAGGTCCTTCACTACAGTGCCAGGTCATATGTTTAGGCACACATATATCACTGCTCTAGCCCCACTCTTTCTCGCTCAACACCACTGTAAGAATTGCCCTAGCTAGCAGGTATTAGCTTTGCTAAAAGGTAGTCTAATTTCCACTGCGTTAACTGTATATTATACATGAACTTTTAAAAGCCTACTAGGGAACCCTGAATAGTTACAAGGACTGTCTAAACTTATATCTTGGTACTGTACATTATTAACAACATGCTTGTAATTTACAATACCTAACAGCGTTTAGGCGAATACCTCAGATTCTACCGTAATCTGCTAACAAGCCGTCGCCCAAGATATCAAAACTCGGAAGAGATACGTCTAAGCAGTTATTATCAGTACCAATTTCGTTTAGTAGTAGTACTCAAACATTTCCCTTCCTTTCCAATAAGAAATCTATGTCACAGAGGTAGGGCGGCAACACCTGACGTGCCTAGCATGCGTAGAATCTTCTTATTTGCCTTTTTTCGACGGACTGGCAAGCTTGGGGTCAAGCCGAGCGAGAAGCGTTGGTTCCGGTACCTTTGTACTAAGACATAAGTTTAGGTAGTCCTTGCAACTATTTAGGGTTCCCTAATAGGCTTTTAAAACTATATATAATATAAAGTTAACGCAGTAGAAAATAGACTACCTTTTAACAAAGCTAATATCTGCTAGCTGGGGCACTTCTTCCAGTGGTGTCGAGAAAGCAAGAGTGGGGCTAGAGCAGTGATACATATGTGTGCCCAGACTTATGATCTAGCACTGTATTTTTGCGTCAGAAAGAGGACGAAATCAGTAGGGAGGTAGAGGGCAGGTACCTGTGGCCGGGTACAGTGCGACTGGCAGTGATCGTTGGGTCTAGTAGCGGTTTCTATGTGACTGCTACAAAGGTACTCTCATGTAGAACTTAGGGTTGTCACTCGGAGCTTTCTTAGTGCAAGATAGAGGTCTTGTCTTGAGCCTAATGTTACATATGGGCAATCGGGTCGAACTGGGCTTGAACATCAGACCCATCGTCGGTTCCTGAAACCCAAGCATAAAGCAGCCAAACGTTTAGAAACAGCTCGAGGACGTTCTCATGCAAGATCCAACCGGTAGAGCTAGCGCATAGCACACTGAAGGCCATTCCAAAAAGGACGCCCAGATGATCTGGTGCTCGACCAATCCAACCAGACGGAGAGCCAAGTAGTCTTTGTCCTCCACCCCTGCCCTGGGCTACTCCAAGCGGCGTTGCATGTCTCTCTCCCATTGTGAGTCTTCGCTCTCAACCTCCCAGACCAGGCACCGGGCCTGCTCGTACCGTTGATGATCCTTCCCCATCACGGCGCCTGCTACCTCCAAGGAGATCCTAGCGCATAGGATGGCTGCTGGATCACGACCCATCATGCTGTTTAGTCGGGCGAGCGTTTCTCGGCTAAGCAAACGTTAGTTTGATCAACATATCATCCATTTTGAGACGGTTGAGCACTTACATTCTCGCCACCTCAATATTCTTCGGCCCCTGCTTCTCCACCATACGCAGAAGCTTCATGCCCTCCTCAACCGCCCTACCCAGCTCCTTGAGGCGGGCAAACTTCCAGAACGGGGCCCAGGGAGCGTCGATCTTGGTGAGGAAAGCCCGGATTGGTTTCATCGCCGTTACACGCTCGTCCCACGCTTTCGAGAGCTCCGGGTCACTGCATACAGAGCACGTGCATTCGAATCCCCATTTCTGCTTCAGTTGCGCTTGACGCTCGGCCCGCTTCATGAACGTCGTCGTGTTCTCCAGGTCGGCGGTCTTCTCGTCTTCCAGATAGGAGATTGTGAGCTCCTCCCCTGCTTTGATGTCGCTCAAAGCGTACGCAGTCATCTTGCCACGGGATTCGCAGAAGCTGACTCTGGCGTTCGGTGTGCAAGAGTGATTCAGGCGGGCGGTGGTAAGAAAGAGGCCGTAATGGATGTTCTTCGGGTTGTGGACGTTGAAGACTTTCCGGTTATATGTTTCCCAAGCGCACAGGAAGTTGTACGCGCGCGCTGCTTGCGCAAGTTCGTTTTGGAGTCGCAGTTTCTCGGGCCAGGTAGATAGCGGCATCTTCAAGACCTCTGAAAGGTTCTCTGCGAGAGAAGGGGGTATGTCATTATCCGCTTCTTCTAGCCTCCACCATATCGATCTGATCCAAGGTAGCCACTCCTCTTTTGTGTCGGGCTTTGCGAAGTTGTGGAGGCTGATGATCTCTTGTTGTTCCGTCTCGCTCAGCTTAAAGCATTGCTCTAACACTGGTGTTGTGTAGTACTCCTCGCCATCATCGGTCCACGGGTGAGTGACAATCGACGACTCGGAGAAGATGCAAGTCCCACGAAGCATGGGCTGAGTTGCCCTTAGGCCATAGCCGGCGTGAGGAGTCTCGTACTCTTCGATCTGGGGATGGCAGGTGGTATCGTTGCTGGTGAGATGTGAACCAGCGGCAGAGCCTTTCCGAGTGAGGGATTCTCTATGGATGCCACTCGATGTACGCTTTTGGCCTCGCGGACTCTCGGAGCTTGTTTTTCGGGGAGTGGTACGGGGTTTGTGGGTCTCTTTGGCCGAGGTGGGACTTTTCAGTGGCGGTGAGTCTCCTAAGAGAGTGTTGCTGGCGTCGGAAGCCATCCTAGATGGCTGTGGGTTGGTGAGGAAAGGCAGCCTTTACCAGCAGTCTGTTGAATCAATCCGCGCTGTTGTAGCTCCCCGGATAGAGTGAAGTCGTGACTGGGAGTGCTGGAAGAGGATGTGTGATGCTCGGAGAAGCCCAAAAGAATGAGTGAATTCTTTTGTGACAATGAATGATTAGTACGTGAATATAAAAATGTGTTAAACTGTCTCGTGTGTGCACCTGTCTGCCACTGTTCGGGTTGCTTCAATGCATTTTCAAGGATCTAAAGAAGATAGATGCTCTTCGCCTTGGGCTATGTGGAAATTTGTTGAAGCACTCCATACAGTGGCAGACAGTTGTACACGCAGGCAGAGTACTTGATGAGTGTTTTTTCGTGCCTAGCGTGTCCGGGTAGACATCTTGAATCGCAACATGGGTTGAATGACAGCGAAATTCTAGAGAGAAATTGACGATAGCGGAATACTGGCACTTACCTGCCCTACGCTTGGAATTGCGCTCTTGCTATCTAGACTTGCGATCCTCAGTGTTAGTACACTACGAGAGCTCTGTAAGTGGTGGCAGCAATGATGACAGGCCGAGGGCAGAAGAACGCGTGTGGTCTGATCTGCAGAGATACAAAGACAGAGTAGTCTCTTGTGGTAGACCCTTTACAACTCACGCTCTATGCCGGAGGGGTGGACTTCTATGTTCAAGGGTCTTTGTAAGTTTAGAGCTGGTGGTGGTGGTAGTGTTTAGCGAAGAGGCGTGAGATAGTTTAGGACGACGCTGGCGCTAGATCAGTCAGCCAGAAGCCTTCTACAGTTCTCACTCAGAGGCGAAGGCTATGTGGGCATGGCAGGATGTCGTGATGACGATGGAAGTTGGAGGTAGGTCGCGAAGGAAGTGCAAATAGAGTTTACGCGTTGTAGAGAGCTTTGGCGAAAAACAGACCCCGCCCTCATTCGGCCTAGCGCAATAGCATCTCTTTCTCTGCCCAGGTGCGGGCTCCAGGACTCCTGCACCATAGCCACTTCCAGGCCAATTTTTTACATGTCCCCTTATCAACATACAGTGTCATAGGCCCTCAAAAGCAGAATCTCTCAACTTCCGTAGCATACGTGCCATGGGCCTCGAGCTCCCTTCAAAGTCAGAGTAGAACTTAGGTCATGTCTGACACGAATCAACGTCTCAGTATCTCTCAAAGGTCAACTCGTGCAGCTCCTCCATCAACTCACCTTCCCCTGGCCGCTCTGCGAGGGATTGAATTCACTTCGTGGCCCTCTCGGAACACAAAGACCGCCTCCTTCCACCCCGCATTCCAGGATGACATTAGGCTAAATCTTGTATCTCCTGGTGATGCTAAATCTGAATATCGACCGTCCCGAGGGGCCAGAGTAGCATTTACCTCCTCTGTATCTGCCTCGGTAATCTGATCAGCCTCTTAAATTAAGGTCATATAATATGTTTTACACGGAGGATCTCCTCCGGACCCAGAGCGTCAACTCCCCTCTACTTAGATTGGTGGACGTTGGATCTTGGTTTTACCCCGTCCTTGTTGAAGGGACGATTCCTAATGGAGGGTTTCACTTATGAGTGGTTTCAGCAAAACCGTGGTCCAGGTCCTCCCCCTCCCTCCGATATACCTGGTTCCTTCAGCCCGGAATGAAGTTCGCTTCTGTAAAAGCCCACGGTCAATTCACGGCTGGTCATGAGATCTCCGTTAAAATTCACATTCCTTTTCGATTGAGATTTCCATGATAAATGTACTGATGGTCCACCGCCCAAATGTTTGAAATCGTAGCAGAACTCTTCGCCATGAGGATCTCATCTTTATTCTTCTCCAGCCTTCTGGCTCTTTCAGGCACGGCTAAAGGCGCGCCTACTGATCTTAGTCCTCGCGCTTCAGGGTTTGTATAGCGATCTGGGACTCATTTCACGGTTGATGGCCAGAATTTCTATTTCTTCGGCACCAATGCATACTGGCTCTCGTTCCATGACGTATGAACCTCCTTTGACTCAATAGTGTGATAAAATAGCTGACCTAAAGCGTAGAATGCTGGCGACATCAAATCAGCCTTCAAGACTATGGCTAGCAAGGGGTTGATGGTCTGTAGAGTAGTGCGAAACTATATTACCGCTAACTTATTCAAGCACCCGCTAACTTGATCACAGTGGGGATTCAACGACGTAACTTCACCAAGCGGCATCTATTACCAGAGCTGGAGCGGCCAAACGGGCACCGTAAATTATGGAAGCAATGGGCTCGGGCACATGGACACCGTTGTCCAAGCTGCCTGGGACGCCGGCGTGAAGCTGATCATCACCTTGGTCAATAACTGGGGAGACTACGGCGGCATGGATGTTTACGTGAAGCAGCTAGGAGGCAGCTACAACGACCAGTTCTATACTTGGGACACAGCAAAGACTGCCTACAAGAAATACGTCAATGCTGTTATCTCTCGGTACAAGGTGGGCAGCTCGGGTATTCAAATACAACCATAAATTCGCTGACACGAGCCAGGTCTCTTTCGCAATCATGGCTTGGGAGCTCTGCAACGAATGCCGATGCGCGAATGGAGATTCCAGTGGTCTTCCTGCATCAAGCTCCTGCAACACTTGGACTATCATTAACTGGGCTTCCGAAATGAGGTAAGAAAATCCCAGCAGCGTGGTTAGTAAACCGGCCAATCCTTAATCGGATTGACGGCCGGTTTATTAGTATAGACTCTAGACAATCCAATCAATCAATCCTCTAGCTAATCAAACTTCAAGCGGAGATTGATCCGATTGATCTGATTGGTATATATAAATTGGAAAGGATATATACGAATCGGAAAGGATGCGTACAGACGTGATTTCTATGGATTTTTATGGGTATAACTTCATTATATGAGCTCACTACACCTATGGATGAGGCTACGGAGTGCCCCAGAGTAGAGGGCAACGTAAGAGGACTATGGTGGTGAGGCTCTAGGTAAGGGGGGCTTAGGATGTCCCTTGGGAACGTCGGGCGGAGTAGCAAAGGGGGGCGCATTTTTAAGGCCTAGAAGACCTAATAATTTGCGTTAAATGTAATTTAACCTGTAGAAATTAATTCCTGTTGTCTATTTAAGCTTATCTTATTATAGTAGAGTGCTAGTAGGGGGGCAGGGCTGTGGTTAATAAGGCTGGCGATATGTATTCTCCCGCCTCCGCCGGCGGAACCTTAGGGCGGCAGAACGCTGTAATTCTATTAGCTTGTTAATAAACGGTAAGGGCCTTAGCGCACAGATCTCGGCCTTATTAAATTTAATAACACAGTTCTTATTAACACCACTACCTTTATAACCTATAATAGTCTATTCCTCTATCCGTAAGCTGTGTTATTATAATATCTAAGTTTGTAGAAAATTTTCTAGCTACTTTTAAGCGCGTTTAAATACTTTACTATTGTAATATAAAACGCGACGTGTTTATAATTGTTACGTCCCCTAGCACGAGCACGATCACAATCACGTGCTATAGATCAGGTGACGTCTGATCACGTGCGCTTCAGGGCCTGCATGGCCCGAGGCTCCGGCCACGCCTACGGCGTGCGCACCGGAAGGCTATAGAAGCCTATAATTCGCCTGCGCTTCCAATTAAAGCGCAGTCGTTCTGTTCTTTTGGGCTGGCCTGCGGGCAGCCTGGCGTAGTGTCGTAACAGCAGTTCCTTTTGGACTATTTAAAGATGTACTTAATCCTGCTATTGTTAAGCATTAACAAGGCCGCCCTCCTGCTAAGAAGAGAGGCCACTATATGTACAACAATACCTAGAGAAATACATTACGGTTTAAGGTTGCTATAGGTATAGGTTTAGCAGCTTAACGTAGAGGTAAACAGGACGGACAACAAGGCACAGCTCTACGACACCTGCCCGCTTCTTTACAGCTAAATCCGGCTATCCCTGTCGCTTAGAATGCCCCTCTGTCAACGGCTACACTCGCTAGGACTAGTATTAATATTTCTCAAATTGATCCGGCCCTTCTTGAGCCTACGGCAGCACCTACGGCAGCGCATACGGCAGCGCATACGGCAGCGCATACGGCAGCAGCGCATACAGCAGCGCATACAGCAGCGCATACAGCAGCGCATACGGCAGCGCATACAGCAGCGCCTACGGCTACACCTACAGCTGCACCTGCAGCTAAGAAGCGCGGTCGGCCGCCTGGTGCAAAGGATAAGGTACCACGGAAAAAGGCACAAGCTCAGAGGCAAGATAGCGCTCAGCCTACGCCTCAGCCTATACCTCAGCCTCAGCCTCATCCTCAAGCACAGAGGCTTAGCCGAGAGGAGCTTCTATGTCAGCTTACAGCGTATAATAAGGAAATCGAAGGGTATATTGATCAGGGTGAAGAGTAGGTGTAGGCGGCGATGCTAGGGGGCCAGGCTCGATGCAAAAGAGCCGTAATATGGTGAGGTTTTGACAGGTTTGGCATGCTTGTAGGCACGTAGGCACTTCTAGAATAGAACTTCTATTCTATACTTAGAAGTCATCACGGGCTCGTGCACGCTACGGGCTCGTGCACGCTTTGATCACGCATCACCACCAACTTTAAAACCTCACAACTCAATTAAATATGAATGGATTTCTACTAAATTGAAATACAAGAGGCTTTTGGTGTTTCACTTTCATTCTATAACCACCACGGAGTCGTCGTGCCATTTAGGGGGGTTGCGCATTCGCTGAGGCCGGCCAGAGGTCGCCTTCACAACCCCATCCTCCCCCTCACACTCCTGCTCAGCAGAAGGCTCCTCAGGAATAGTGAATACAACCGTCTTAGCCTTCTGCTTCTGCTGCATCAACTTGCTCTCCTCTTTGAGCTGCTTGTTGAACTCACGTGCATAACAAGCATCATCTGCAGCGCGCTTCTTCTCGCCCTCAGCATCTAGCTGATGCTTTTTCTTAGTAGCTTTGCTAGCCTTCGTCATTTCCTTAATTCTTTGCTTGTCATCCTTTGCTAGCTGCCTGCGCACCTTATCCTCTGCCTTGCGAGCAATATCAGCTTCCTTAGCATCCTCCTTCTCTTGGTGGAGCTTACGTGCCTGCCGCACCTTATTAGGTAAATAGACAATAGCTCTACCACTATTATTAGAGGCTAAAATCTAAAAAAGATTCTTCTGCCTCTTCCTCTTCCTCTATTCTATTTTAAACACTTCCTGGTAGCCTTAAATATAGCTTTAAAAAAGTAAATTAGTTGCTATAAGCTTATAAATATCCCGGGTAAGAGCCCTTACTTATCTATTAGTCTTAGATTAAACTATATTCTTTACCACCTTTTTTAGCCGGGTTTCTATTTTCTTCTAATTACTAGCTGTAAGAATTAAGTTTATAGAGTTGCTAAAGAATAGTCTTTTTTTATATTTTTTCTTTTTAATATTAAATTAGTCTAATACTATATTAGGATCCTAGGGGTGTATACTAGTCCTTTTCCACCTACTAGCTATATTATTTAGTATTATAGCCTTCTTCTATACTATCTAAAATATCCTAAAAAGGTCCCTTTTTATAAAGCGTAAGAATTTTTTAGAATTTAAAATAAACCGGTTTAATTTAGTTAAGTAGTAAATAGCAAAAAAAAAAAAGAAAAAAATATCTAGAGGCTGAAGCCGGTAAGTTAAATAAGAAGAATAAATAGCCAGGAAAATCTTATTTTTATAATAGTACTTAATAAACTTTATATTTATATAAAAACTGTGCCTATTAATAATAAAAAGCCTTTAATTTTTTTTAGCCTTTTCCTTTATCTCTCTATTAAAGATTTTTAACTACTAAAGGCTAAGGTTATTATTAGTCTATCTAGAAGGTGTTAATATAAAAAAGCAGCTATATTTATTAGGATTAAAATCCTCTAGCTATATATCCTGGATATTATAATAGGTTGTTTTTTCTATACCTTCTAAGTGTTATATACTAAGGCAAGGTATAGGTAAGTTGTTATCGGGGTGTAATAGTCTTTAAAAAGTAAGGTAATAATTAATTAAGGTATAAGACAGGGTTATTACTTTTAATAGGTAGTATTAAAGTCTTAAGTTAAATATAAGGTTTCTATTTATATAAAGAAGCGTTCCTTTATATAAAAGCTCTGTTTTAAGAAACCTCTTACTTATATAGCTCGCAGTTTTAAACTTTTTAAGCTGCTCTCTTAGCTTATAGCCTTAAGCCCCTTAAGCGCTCGCTTTGCTTACTTTTTTAAGCCCTTTAAGCTATTATATAGCCCTGTTCTTATAATATCCTATTTTTAAATTATTCCTATCTACTAGCAGTCTATAGGGGAATCCAGGATCTCTATATATTCTATATATAACCCTCTTAGTTCTATAACCTAGTTCTGCGTAATTAGTTTTATCTGCTTATTTATTTCTATAAGTGCCTCTGTACTCGGGTTGTTTATATTACGGGTTATAATACTCGCTCCCTTTTCTAAGGCTTTCGGCCTAAAAGTATTTCCGTGGTGGGGTTTTAGATAAGTAGCTGGCGATGCCCTATCTATTAGGCTGTTATTATGCCACTCTGTTTCTTCTTTTATAATATCTAATACCTTAAAAGCTAAGAAATAAAAAAGCTGTTTTATACTTGCTAATTATATTAACGCGTCTAGTTTAAAAGTTATACCTTATTCCTAGTGCAAGTCTCGGGGTTTATTATATATAGTTTCTATATCTAACTTAGATTATTATACCGCCTGTATTCGGGCGCAATAATTAAACTATAATATTACTAGTATTTTAGCAGCTGCCTATAAGCTATTATAATCTGCTATTACTTATAACTATATTCCGGCTAACCTTTCTAGAGCAGAAACTAGCCCGCGAAGAGGATAAACTTTATTATAAGGAGTTAGAGACTTATACAACCTTAAAGGCGGCTATAGCAAAACTTAATTACCTGGATTTTTAAAAAGGGTTACTGCGCAAGCGTAGTAAGGAGATAATATATTATAGTTTTAAGACTCTAGAAAAGCTTAAAAAAGATAATTAGAAAAAGGCTAAGTAGAAAGAATAAGAGCGTGCTAAGCAGGAAGGCTTGCCTTCTGCCTTAGGAACTGTTGGGTACTCTTCTTTCTTTTTAGGTGTACCGGGCACTTCTAGTTATTTTCTTTAAAGCCGTGTATTCTAATTATATAATAGTTATAATCTGTTCTTAGATTCCTTTAATCCTTTCTAGTTAAATAGTGCGCTGTTGCTATTTTTCTAGGCTACTCCGAATTCTAGCAGTAAAACTGCTGCAGGAGTTTCTAACAGTTTACTAAACTTTTAACCGGTTCCTATATATTTTTAGAAATGCTGTATTCTTTCTACTTAATTAGGTACTTCTTTTACTAACTATGCTATTAGAAGTCTAGGATTTACTTAACCTTATATTTATTATTATTATTAACCTTAATATCTTTCTCTAGCTTAGTATTAGGTAGTACGGGTTCTAGTAGCAATACGTGGAAGACCGGGTGTATTTTTATCCTATTAGGTAGCCTAAGCTTATAGTTTACTAGGCTAATAACGTTCTATATTTTAAATAGTCTAATTTTAATATAGTTTAACTTTATACTTAGTTATTTTATCTTAATATTTTTATAGAGTAGGTAGACTCTATCTCTTTTTTTAAAGGTTGGTGCAACACTCTAGTATTAATTATAATATCTTACTAACCTTAGTGTTAGGAATTAGATATTTATTAAAAGCTGTCTCTATAGCTCTTTAATATTTTTAACTAATAGCAGTGCCCTTTAGGCCCTTATACTATTAAGTTAGGGTTTTTAATACGCCTCTAAATTAAAACTATAGTTTATAAAGAAGGGTAATACCTTTATTATCTCTGTAAATACACTATTATAGGCAAACTAGGCTATTAGTAGTAGTAATACCTAATTATCCTGCCTGTAATTAATATAGCATTGTAGGTACTATTCTAAAGTCTAATTAAGCCTTTCTATTTACCCGTCCGTTTAAGGGTAAAACACTATAGAAAGCTTATACTTTATTCCTAGTTATACAGTAAAGGTCTGCTAGAATTTTAATATAAAGAGCTTATTTTAGTCTGAAATTATCTCCTAGGGTAGCCTATAGTTGCTAATAATATATTTTAAAAACGCGTAGGCTAGATCCTCTGCTATTAATACTTTTTAATAAGGGATAAAGTATATATATTTAGTTAGTCAGTCCGTAACTACTAATATTACGTTGTACTTTATACCTGTTATAGGTTTAATAAACTATAGTAGCTTAACTATAAAGTCCTATATAATAGATTTCTATACCTTTTCCGGTATAGAGGAACTTTTTATTAGTCTATATAGTGCGTGTTATACCGACTTATTTTTTATACACTTATATTTATATATAATTTTCTCTGTTAGTTTCCGGAGTCCGGGGAAATAGAATGTTCTTGCAATTTTTTCCTGTGTTTTTTCCACTTCCTAGTACCTATGCACTAGTATACTATAGAATTCTTTAATAAGCTCTTCTTATAAGGTTTTAGGTATAAATATCTTATCCTATAGGGTAATAATACTGTCCTGGATTTCTCCGTGTTCTTAGTTTATAGGTTCTGGGCGCAAACTTTGCCAGTTATAACCTGCTAAATCCCGGCTTTCTTAATCTAGTTTTTGGGCTGCCTTAATTTATTTATACTACTTATTATCCTTAGACCTATAAGCAGCTACTACTTATATATAGTTAAATTTAAGGGTTTCTAGACTTCTCTTCCTAAGTATAGATTACCTGGTCTTTCCGGCTCCTTCTATATAGTCCGGCCTTCGGCTAAGTGCGTCTATATAAGTGTTTTTAGATCCCTTTCGGTATATAATCCTAAAATTAAAGGTTCCTAGTTTTTTTAACTATTTTACTTATCTTCTATTTAACTTCTTAGTTATAGTAAAGTATATTAGATTTTTATAGTCTATATATACCTATATTATATATACTGCTTTTTTAAGGTAAACTCTCTACTAACTAAATACTTCTACTATAGCTAGCAGTTTCTTATTATAGATATTATAGTTTAGCTTAGCTAGGCTTAGCTTCCGTAAGTAGAACGCTATAGAATGCAATTTCCCTTATTTATCTAATTAGTTAAGTATTGCTTTTAATATTTTGTTTAATATATTACTCTTAATAGTAACTAGTTTCTATAGATTAAAGATTGCTAATACTAGTTTTAAAGTAAACTGTGCCTTTAGTTTATTAAATACGCTCTACGCTTTTAAGGTCTATTTATACTTAATATTTTTTCTAGTAAGTTCTGTAAGTAGCTCCGTAATTTTCGAGTAGCCCTTAATAAACTGCCTGTAGTAATTAGCTAACCCTAGGAATAACTATAGTTCCTTTAAATTTGCGGGTTCTAGCTATTTTTAAATAGAGGACACCTTGCCTTCTTCTATTTTAATCTATTCTGGACTAATAACGTATTCTAGGAATCTAACTCTCTGCCTATAGAACTTGCACTTATCTAGGTTTACTATAAGGTTGTATTTTTTAAGTCTTTTAAGTACCTTTTATATATATATTTTGTGTTCGCTTAGCGTTTCTAAGTATATAAGGATATTATTAAGGTATACTACTGTAAACCGGTTTAAGTAGCCCCTTAGTACTAAGTTAACTACTACTTAAAATATTACTGGCGTGTTAGTAAGCCTAAATAGTATTACTATATACTTAAAGTATCTATATTAAGTTTTAAAAGCTGTCTTCTACTTTTTTTCTTCTCTTATTCTAATTAAATAGTACCCTTTGCATAGGTTTATTTTTATAAAGTACTTAGCCTTATATAGTTAGTCTTTAAGTTTAGAGATTAAAGGTAATAGATAGCAGTTTTTAATTATAATCTTGTTTAGTTATCTATAGTTTATATAAAGGCGTAGCTTACTATTTAGTTTTAGGATAAATATTATAGGGTAACCTGCGGGCAATTCTAATAGTCTAATAAATCCTTGCTTTAGGTTCTTTTCCAGGTATTTTTCTAGCACTTTTAGCTTGCTCTAGGCTAGTAAGTAGATTAGTCTAAACTGCGGTTGTTCGCCTAGTACTAGGGGAATATAGTAATCCTAAGGTTAGTGCTTTAGTAATATATTCTAAACCTTCTTTATAAAGATTTCTTTAAATTTATTGTATTTTTCTAGTACGTTTAGTACTTTTACTGCCTTGGCTAGCTGCCGGCTGCTTAGGGGTCTAGGCTACTGTTAGCTCGCTGCCCTATTTTTTTCTTAGGCTTTCTTGCCTCTTAAGGTATCTATATTAATATTTTGTTTTTACTTAGGCTTATCCTAGCGCGGGGTGCCCTTTAGTCCGCTTTCCGATTAAATCCTTACTTTACTAGACTTCTAATTAACTTAAGGGTTATACTGCTTTAGCTATAGTATACCTAAAATTATATTATATCTTGCTATATCTATTATATCTATACTAATAGTTTCTTTATATTTTTTAATCTATATAACACCTGGTCGAGTTTTTATAGTTACCTGCCTATTGCTATATTATATAGGTGTGCTATCTACTATATATAGTCTATAAGGTCTGTTTTTCTATTACTAAGAAATCTAGTTTCTTCTAATAAAGTTATAGAATATAAAATTTCCCTGCACGCCGCTATTTAGCAGTACTCTTACCGGGTTTCTACTAATTTTAACTAATAGGATTACGTGTCTATAGTTCTAAATAGGAATAGAGTTAGGCTATATTACCGGGTTCCTTTTTTTTTCTGTAATATAGGCTTTTCCCAC